GGCAGACTGTGGGCGGGGCTCACAGCTGTTTGACGCTTTCAGTGATGCTGCAGGGGATTGTGGGACTTGAATGCCAACAGTGACATGAGGGTTATAAGGTACCAACGCCACCTGAAAATCTTCATTTGGACATAACCAAACAATAACAACTGCTTAATGTACACACAACTAACACAGAGGTCTTAATGTACACACAACAGATACAGAAGTCTTAATGTACGCACAACACCTGCAGGTTCAGTCTATTAACACTAAACACCTCTAATCGCTCTATTGTAAACACAAGTCCCTCAAACACATGATGTATGTACACTCATTGTGCTTGTTTGAGTGTGTTTGTGTGTGTAATGTTGTGTCTGTTTGTCTGTGTGTGTTTGTCTGTGTGCAGCAGTTGTCAGTGGTCCTGATTTGGTGTGGTTTGCATACTAACAGTGACCAGCAGGGGGAGACATACACTCAGAAAAGAAAATTTCAATGGATAAAAGTCTGTTCTTTCTTTCTTAAATTTATGAAAATATTGATTAATATTAATTATGTAATTTATATTATCAATATTAGTATTTAAACTCTCTGTTTTAAATAAGAAGAGAATAAAAATAAGTAAAACATCAATATGACATGAAATAAGTTTAAAATTGCTGTTTATAATTCAAAGAGTGATCATGTATTCATGCAGTTAGTCTAATAATAATTATTAATATTGGTCATATAAAATTTTTATAACAACAATGATACTGCATTTGATTGATATTATCAATATTTTTTTTTATCATGATGATAAAGGAAGATGGATAGGCAGAAAGTAATTAATTACACATACTTTTACTGTCGTAATAAAGCAGTTTTTGTGCACTGGTCATGTTTTAGAAGCTTGTACTTGAGTATTTTCTGGTCTAAGTCCCACTAAGAAAAACAACTATAAAAAAACATGAGTTTGCCATTAACATGGCTCCTAGAAGCCGGATTATTGGACATTTTCACTGCACAAAAAAGCTAAAATCTTATTGAGTGAAATTGTCTTTCTTTGTTAAATGTCTTATTTCTCTTATTTACACTATACTAGAACATGGGACCAATAAAAAACTCTTAAGATATTAAAAAAAAGTATCTTGGTTTTCTTGGGATGTCTAGAATTTTTCCACTTTGTTTTTTCTGGTCAAAATCTGTCAGGTCCTTAATTTTCCACCCTACTGCCAGGAACTAAAGTTAGAATTCAGTTTCCATCATTACAGGAAAGAATTAAACTAACAAACCTTTAATTTTCCCTTCATGTATTTATTGTGAGTTAAAATCCTCTTAATTATAAACATAAAGTCAAGTCAGTGGGATGTGAGATACTCCAGTATAAACAGGTTTCCTTTCCATGAATGTCAGACTCTTTCATTTCCAGACCTGACCTAGTAAACTGTGTCCGCTCTCACCGGTCACTCCTCTTACTGGAGGGGGCGGCTCTCCTGCTCTCTAGCTCCGTCCTCCTGATTGGCCCGCGGAGGTGTCAGTCATTAGATGGGCGGGCCTTGTGAGCTCCCGCAGATCCGAGCGTCGGTTTGTTTTTCAGCCTGAAGAAAAGTTCAAGATCTTCGGTTTGACTCATCCTGAGAGGAAACCACAGAAAGAGGAGGAGGAGGAGAAGGAGGAAAAGAAGAAGAAGAAGTTTGTAGGAACAGAACAAAGTTTGGATCCTTTCTGTGGGACTTTATTTCATTTATTTATTTGGGGTTTTTTTAAGTTCACCCCAAAAACTGAATCAAACGGTTGGACAGACAGGAGGACAGGAGGACACACAGTCCTGTTTGAGTCTTTTCTCTGAGGACAAAACAGGAGGAGAGTCTGTCTGTGTGAGTCTGTCTGTGTTTTCTCGGCCTGTCTGTGAGTCTGTGTGTCTGTCTGTGACTCGGGGTTCGGAGGATGGCAGCGGGGTGTGTCGCCGCCCACAGCCGGCCTCGCGTCTCCTCCGCCGGGTTAGCGAGGCTCTGATGTCCCGCCGCTGCTGCTGCTCTGGAGGTTATCAGGACGGGGAGTGGACCCGGGTCCGGATGAGGTTTATTGACCAACAGGTCCAGACCGGAGCTGAATAAAGAGGGTTCAGGATGCCCTCTGAGCTGGCTGTAGGTGTGGTCTTCAGGGTTCTTTTGCCCTTCACTTTGACTGCAGGTAAGACGACCCTCATAATTACCACAGTGACTGAAGTACCACACAGAATACAGTACTAATATCACACTGAATAACATACAAATACTTCAGAGATACGTGAAAGATTAAAGTACCGCTTACAAGTAAAGTAGGTCTACTGATACCACACCCAATAAAAGTACAACCACCTCACAGACTGGAGTACAAGTATCACAGTGATAAGAGTACCGTTACCACGCTGTGGCAAGTACTACTACAAACCAAAGTAATGTCAGTAAAGTAGTGCAATAATACCACTCAAACTAAAGTATTAATAACACATTTTTTATTGTTTGATTATCACAGAAAACAAAGTACATATACTGCACTGATTAAACTGTACTGATTTAGGTTCTGTTACGCAGAGTAAACTACAAATGCCACAAAGATTAAGGTAATTATACCAGGCACCATTAAGTACCAAAAAGATGATGAAGTATTTGTACCACTACTGACCAGAATAAAATACGTGTATTTAAGTATCATTAACATAAAGTCTCAACGACAAATACAACTCAGTTAAATCACTAATTCTACACAGGATAAAACACAGATTGTTGTATTCAAAATACACAGATTAAAGTACGCATACAAGATATATTGAAGTATTAGTACAACGCGTTTTAAAATATTGATACCACAAAGTTCAAAGTAGTAAAAGCACTGATCAAACACAGTGCTCAGATTATATCGATACTTACACTTGATGAAGTATTTTATTGTTACTCCATCAAAGTTTATGAAAGTATTAAAGTACAGGTTACAGTGTATTTACTGCAGTACTGTGTAGGAACTAAATTATTCATTTATTTGTATTTTTACTTTTATAGGCCAGACCGACACATCTGTGCAGTGACACTAACCAAAACTTTATTTATTTGCAAATAACGTAACGTCAGAGATGAGTACATCATAAATCAATATTTCTATATCAAATCAATATAATATGTATTGATCATCTTAATGACAACCTATTAACTTTATTGATGCAAATATATGAGACAAAAACAAATATCTCATTCCTCCTGGGTCTGTGTATTTGGTAAATATCTGATAATGTCACAGAAAACACCTCAACGTATCAGTCAATCAATCAATCAATCAGACTGTGAGGCGGCCAATTTATACATCCATGTTTTACCACAGAAGGTTAGAGTGAAAGAAAACAAGAACAACCAGGATAAGAGAGGGAAAGAAAGAAAACAGTGAAGAGAAGAGGACAGAGGACATCCAGGAGACGAGGAAACACAGGGACGCAAAAGAGAAACAACTGAGAGAGAGAGAGACAGAGGAGAGAGAGGACACAGAAGACAAAGGGGACGAAAATAAACCAGGAAAATGACAGAGAAGACAAGGAGACAAAGAAAGAAAGATGACAGAGGAAACAAGAGCGGAGAAAAGGAAGACAGGAAACAAAAGGAGTTGAGCTGAGGGAGGAAACACGAAGGACAAAAGGTGACGGAGGAGAGAAAGTCAAGGGCAAAGACAGAAGACAAGGTCGAGATGAATGAGACGGAGGAGAAGGAGAGAGAGAGAGGAAGTAGAGGAGACAGGAGAGACAGAGGAGATGGAGAGGTGGTTTTGAATGAGTTCAGTGCTCCTCTCTGAGTCTCCGTGTTTTTTTAAGTATTTAATCCCATATCAGTCTAAAGATGAGCCCGTCTGTTGCTATGGTTACTATTTAACACTCAGACCTTTATTGACATTATTGAGTTTAACAGAAATCATTTCCTCTGCTGTCTGTCTCTCAGCTCAGTTCACCTTCAGCAGGAAAGTTCTGGTGGTTCTGAATAATCTGCTTTTGTTAGTTTAAGTGTAAAAGCTGCTGAAACAGCTGACAGCACACTGATATTATCTATGATGACCAGATCTATGATGACCAGATCTATGATGATCAGATCTATGATGACCAGATCTATGATGATCAGATCTATAATGACCAGATCTATAATGACCAGATCTATGATGATCAGATCTATGATGACCAGATCTATGATGACCAGATCTATGATGATCAGATCTATGATGATCAGATCTATAATGATCAGATCTATGATGACCAGATCTATGATGATCAGATCTATGATGACCAGCTCTATAATGACCAGATCTATGATGATCAGATCTATAATGATCAGATCTATGATGATCAGATCTATGATGATCAGATCTATAATGATCAGATCTATGATGACCAGATCTATAATGATCAGATCTATGATGACAGATCTATAATGATCAGATCTATAATGATCAGATCTATGATGATCAGATCTATGATGACCAGATCTATGATCATACTTCTGAAATCTTTTGATTCTGATTGATGACATGATCAACAAAAATGTCCCTCACTGCTCCCTGTTGTGAGCCTGAAGACGTTTGGTGATGTCACAGGTCAGTGGGGTCATGGGTCTGTCTGCCTGACGTCTCAGTGAGTCTGTTGTCATGGTAACAGTGATTTTTTTCCCACCTAACGGTTGACGCGCTCCCTGTAAAATCTTCGGGGACAGATCACCGAAGAACCCGGAGTTCAGAAGTTTGGTGGAATTTCCCTTTAAAGAGAAAACAGCTCCACATTCCAGAGACAGGGGGAGGTGTGAGTGTGTGAGTGTGTGTGTGTGTGTGTGTGTGTGTGTGTGTGTGTGTGTGTGTGTGTACGTGTGGTTAGCTGTATGTAAACACACACACACACACAGCCAGATGTTGTTACCTGAGAGAGTGGAACCAATCTGAGCATGCATGTTGGGGGAGGGGAGCGCTAACTAGGGGGCACTCTTCCTGTCCCAAACACACACACACACACACCTACACACACACTCACACACACACATGCATATACCAAGAGCACGAAGTCTATTTTATCTAGTGGCAGCCTCAAGTCGTAAAGGTGGTGTAGGCAGGAATCTGTTAAAGAAGCACATTTTTTTGTGGCGTACATACAAAAATCTTCTAATATCAGTCAATAGTTATTAGTTATTGATGACATTTGGTAATATATCGATATCTCTGTGTTCTCTTCTGTCTGTGTCGTCAACATTTGAACATTTTTGAGCGGTCCGCTCTTTCTGACTGTAAACAAAGCCGTTCTCCACCTCCTCTAACCTGATTGGTTGTGAGGCAGACGCTGCTCCCCCGTGTCGTTCAGGAGCCCAAACAAAGTTAGCGTGCTACAATATCGGACAGTAGAAACCAACCAGAAAGTTCGGAAAATTGTCTGAATCCTCCTTTGGCCACGACTGCCGACACAAGCAAGAAAACAAAGTAAATACCGGAGACTCTGGAGGAATAACGGGCGCTTAAAACGGAGGTAGACCGGACAAGAGCTAAAAAGACGGGTCAACATAAACCATGGGGGAAGCTTGGGGATCTTGGTGACCCTGTAACCTTTCTGCTGGACAGGTAAACCGCTTTAACAAAGTAAGACAAGTGTCTGTAACAGAAGTGTTTCTTGTCAAACGGACCTGCTGTAGCGTGTTGTAGCGCCATCGCTAAACTGTCTCCCTCGGGTCCTGGACTATGTCACTTTATCCTCGTTGTAGAAGTCCTGCAAACATTGTGTTTGCTGGTAGTCTGTTGGCATCTGCAGTAGCGCCAATGCTTTTGACTTTCACCTTGACTGGGCCCCATTTGTAATGATCTGAAGTATTTATCTGCATTATATCTGAATTTAATCGGAACGAGCAAGAGCGTCTGTTTGTGGGCGGGGCTTGAGGGGAGAGGAGGAGCTGAGGGGAAAACTGGTTGGAGGGGTAGAGTTTACATTCAAGGTTTCTCCTAAAACTGGAACTTCATCAGATCCTGACTACAACACCTTTAAGAGTGAAGTCAGTGCATTCGTACTAAAAACTGCAGTTCCTCGTGTGTCCACTTGAGGCAGACTCCTAAAGTATCAGGTTCCTCATGCAGATCTATTAAAAAAAGCTAATCTTCAAAATTAGTTGCCTTGATGACTTGACTGACTGTTGATTCATACGCTGATGTATTGATTAATGTATGGATGTTCTGACGTATTGATTAATGTATGGATGTTCTGATGTATTGATTAATGTGTGGATGTTCTGATGTATTGATTGATTGATGTCTTCACAGCCTGTGTGTTGCGGTTCAATGGATTCTCTCTGCTGTATGTCCTCCTGCTGCTCCTGCTGCCGCTGCTGCCAGACCCCGCCTCCTCCTCAGGTTAATACCGTTCTGTAGTCCCGACTCCGCCTCCACATCACATAACAATGACATCACCAGTTGAACATGTTACTTCAGTGACGTCTTCAGTCTTCAGTCGAGGCTCGCCGTGTTTGTGTGTGTTGGGGAGCAGAGGTAGAGATAAACCCTCCGTGCACATCCTAACACACACAAACACGGACACATCGCCAGTTAGCAGGTCACATGACCTCAGGATGTGCGGCGTTTCCTGGAGGAAACAGAGTTTGTATTTTTCAGAGGGGGGTCTCCACAGGAAGTAAGCTTGTTCTCTAAGAGGTCACTTCCTGTCCTCTATTGTGTATTTCCCCCATGGACTGTTTTAGAAGCTGGGCGACATTTACCCTCTCCTAAATTGAAGCTGAAACATTCGGAGCTCCCCCTGGTGACTGGCTGCAGTATAGGTCAGACAAGTCTCCATGTTAACAGATGGTACATGGCTAAAATAACAAAAATCGAAATAGACGTCAAATGTTTTTCAGACATTTGTGAGGAAGAAGAAAAGCTAAGCTACCTTAGTTTATGAGTTGTTGGCTGTTGTTGTGTGTTGTTGACGTGTGTGTTGTTGACGTGTGTGTTGTTGACGTGTGTGTTGTTGACGTGTGTGTTGTTGACGTGTGTGTTGTTGACATGTGTGTTGTTGACGTGTGTGTTGTTTCTTAGGGAGCGTCCGGCGCTGTGTGATGGCGTTGTGCTGCTCCAGCTTCCTCTTCCTGTTGCTCCAGTCGTTCTTCCAGCTGACCAACCTGACACTGCAGCCCCCAGCTAACTGTGAGACACACCTGTCTACCTGCCCGTCTACCTGCTCACTCTCTTATCTGCCCGTCTCACTCTGTCGGCCTCTCTGGTTAATCCTGGTCTGTCTGTTTGCAGGTACATCCTGGCAGAATGCTCTGAGCCAGCTTGGCCTCCTGAGGTAAGACCCACAAACAGACTAAAGGGGGGCTGGGAGACATAGGACAATCCGACTTTAGTCCATCCACACTGGGAGTTTAAGAACCCACTCTGGCAAATGTTCAGTCTTTGGTGGTCTAAGGGGGCTCTGCAGCTGTTGTTCCTGCACTTTGTTGTTCCAGGCATTAGCTGTCTTGTTTTTGTTGGGGTTCTTGATCTGGTTTTCCTGGGGGACAGTAGGTGTTCTATGAAGAACCTGAGCACTCGGTCTTAGTCGACCTGGAGCTGCCTGTCCTGTGATTTTCCCCGTCCACCAATTCCTTCTGGATCTGGTTGAGAGACGAATTTCGTAGTGGATTACTGACAGCGGTAATCGCGAGAACTCACAAGAACCCGCAGATTCACGTTCAATCGCGCGATAGCGAGTTGTCTCTCTAAAGACAGACACATAGACATATAAGCAGTAGATTGTGTCCTTCCAGAGGAGGAAATCTACTTCTAGACTTCTAGAATCAGCATCTCCTCATCCATGGTGTCATCGGGGTGAAATGACGTCTAAAAACCTTTCACTTGTTCGTCTCCGCCCGTTTGCATGGTGTGAAATACGATCCTCCTGAAACACGGAGTGTTTTATTTTGAAAAGAAGCCGGATGTTTTATTTTGTGTCTGTGCCCGACTTCCTTTCCAGCACGGGTTAATCTGTGCTGAATTTATCCGCCATGCTCCGGCGTCCAGAAAAAATAGAACTCTTGAGATCAGCTGGAGGTGGAGATTTGGGGGTTACTGTTGTTAAAAGGTTGTTCTGATTATTCCTGTGAACTCTGGAGACCTGGTCTTATTGTCAGCAGTATTGGCCTCCTCTCCAAACCTTCAGACAGCCTCTTATTATCTAAAGTAAGTTATTCCTCTTGTGGCACAGTTAGTCAGCATGATGGGAGTTTTCTTATCTCCAGATGTTCAGGTTTGCAGGACTATCCCTGACTGAATAGATGAGAAACTTGGTGAATGATAGTTTGGCTCTCCAGAGGTTGGTCCAGGTTATTGTTCTTGGTGTTCCCGTCTGGTCCCCATCTGCTGTGATCGTATCCTGAGACAATCACGGCTTCTCTGAGGTCGTGTGACGGCACAGTTTGGTCTTTGGTGCTTTTGACTGAAGCCGCTCTAGCCTGCCGACTCTCTGTGCTCCCTCTGTAAACTGCTTTGCCACCAGTTCTCCATTTTCACACCACGTCTGATTTTACGCGGGTCATACCTGCTCTGGTCCAAACCTCGGGTCTTTGCTGCTGCTCTCCCCACCTCAGGCTTTGACATCCCAAGTCTGTATGAGAAAGGTCAGGCAGCTCCCAGAGTAGAAGTGATCGCATGTTGACACTGAGGTCTCTCGGACTAAAGCAGTCCGGACCGAGTTTGTCCTAAATGTGCCCGTCTCCTCTCTGCAGACTGGGGTTCTCTCAGAAGGACGGTTTCTTTCCCACAGTTTGTCGTCCGCTCCTTCTCCGAACCTCCAAATAGAAAAAAAACTTAAAGTAGCAGTCTGTCCCCTTCGAGAGCACGACCACGCTGACATCTGATCCTGTGTGTGTGTGTGTTTGTGTGTGTGTGTGTGTGTGTGTGAGCCACAAGAGGTACAGACAGTAGTCACTCTGTCTGGACTACATGGCTCTGTAAACACCTACGCACGCCATTAAACACACATATGCTGACTTATAGTGAGCAGAAATCCTTCAGTGAGTCTGAACAGACAACAAACACCATCTGTCCCTCTGTCCGTCTGTCCGTCTGTCCGTCTGTCCTCTGCTGTCCCCGTCTCTCCGCCTCAGTCTGACAGGAAGTGATGCCGGCTCTGCTGTAAGACAGCTGTTTCCAGATGTCGGCGTGCTGGTCGTCAGTTTGCTGACGTGGAGGCTGATTGTGAAACTTAACACCAATACAAATATGCAGGTAACACACACACAGACACAGACACACACACACAGACACAGACACAGACACACACTCCAGTGAAGCAGGTGTAACCCTATTAAGTCGTCTTCTCTTGTTTCTTAGTGATGTTTCCTGTCTATTAGCGAGTAACTCAGTCAGCTATTTATTACTGTAACATGATTATGTGACTGCATCAGGACACACACACACACACACACACACACACACACACACACACACACACACACACACACACACACACACACACACACACACTAAGTGATTAGGTTTTGGGTTCAATCAGTTTAATATTTATTCTGTCAGAGTCTGTTTGTTAACATGAAACCAGACCTGCAGGACACCAGTCCTCCTCCTCCTCCTCCTCCTCTCCTACCTCCTTCCCTTCTTCCTTCCTCCCATCCTTCCTTCCTCTCCTCTTTCTCCACCTCCTTTCTTTCTCCTTCCCCCCATTTAGGCTTTTGGGTTTGACCTCTATGTCCCTCACTGAGAGGTCAGAGGTCACACATGTTTCTGTGTATATTCAGCCTCAGCAGGATATTCAGCCGCAGCAGCAGCAGGAGGAGGAGCTGATGTTTGAGGAGGACTCTGTGCTCGGAGAGGGGGGCGAAGAAGAGGAGGAGGAGGAAGAAGAGGAGGAGGAGGAAGGGGGCGGCAGAAACAGGGTCCTGGTTGAACTGGAGTTGGTGATTTGTAAAGCCAGGAGGATTGTGGGAAACATGACGACAACCGGAGGGAAGGTGCTTCTGACGGCTTTACTGGGACTGACAGGTAAGAGAAGAAGAAACCAGTCATGGGGGGTTAGAGGGTCCAGAAGTGTGACGGTTTCCCTTTAGTCCTGACAAAATCCAAACGGGTCAGTGAACCTCGATCGTAAACTACAGCTGTACCTCAAACTCTCTCATGGTACCTCCATACTTTCACTCCCACTGTTCCCAATACTCCCACTGTTCCCAATACTCCCACTGTACTCCATTCTCAAACCATGTCCCATCATCTCATGGTAACCCAGACCTATACTGTGCTCTGTACTCTTGCTGCACACATTATTGTTCCCCATATCCTTCACTTTAACCCACAGTATTATTATTATTATTATTATCATTATTATTATTATTATTATTATTATTAATATTGTTGTTATTTATTATTATTATTATTATTATCATTATTATTATTATTATTATTATTGTTGTTGTTATTTATTATTATTATTATTATTATTATACCCTTTATTTAACCAGGTTTGTCCCACTGAGATCCAAGATCCTCTTTTGCAAGAATGTCAGCACATACAGTTTCAGAATCACATTAATCATTTAGAATACAAAGAATACAAATAATAATTGAATTTTCAAAATTAGGTAAAAGAATTTACAAGATTAGTCAAATATTTGTCCTCCTGGATTTAAAAACATTCAGAGATATCAGACTTTGGAGTTTCAGGTCTGATTTCTTCCCCATCTCTGTCCTGACCTTAAAAACAGTAAAATAATTAAAGTCCTGGGAGCGGAGACTGTCGACCCGATTATTCAAGATTAAAAGTGATGATAAATAAGATGGAGTCATCTGAAGAACAGCCTTATAAATCAACACGTACTGATATAAAGACGGTCGATTTACTTTAGTGTATAAGACACAATGATGAGTTTGAGCTTTTGTAATAAACCTCAGAGCGCCGTGATTCACACGATCCAGCATGTGGAGACATTGAATAGAGGCGTTCATATATAACACATCATTGTAATCAATAATCAGAGGAAAGGTCGACTCCACCAGTTTCTGTTTCACACTAAAAGAAAAAAAAAATCCTGTTAATGAATTTAATCCTGTTTTACTTCATCCTCTCACTGCTCCTCATAACTCTATAGACACCCAGACACCCACCCTCCAGATGTTCCCCACTGTACCCTCTGCTCTCTCTGGACCCCTTACACTCCCTGTACCTCGTACTCTTCAAGTTCACCTTCCTCTTTCGTACCGACTAAACGGTCCTGAATGAGTTCTCCTCCCCCCTCTCCCCTTCTCCCCCTCCAGGCATCGTCTTCCCCTCCCTCTCCTCTCTTCTCTACCTCCTTTGTTTCCAGGTGTTGTGTACCTGCTGGGCGTGGTCAGGTCAGGTCCCAGCCCTCCTCTTCAGGTGTGTTTCCCTGATGTCACTCGTGTACTCCCCCACCCACTTCCTGCTGGTGTACTGCTATCAGCTGCCTTCACTTCAGGAGGCGTGGCCTCCAAACTGCACCTCTGCCAGGTAACTCATCTCTGTTGTCACCAATAAAGAAAACAGGAGGAGGCGGGTAAAAAAACAAGGAGTTTGGGAAGGAAAGACGGAGGTGAAGAGTGAAGGAGAGAAGGAGGGTGGATGGTAGAAGAAGTGTTTTTAGATGATCTAGTTAAAGGTTAAAGAGGAAGAGTAAACAGCAGGAACAGTTCAGTTTAATAACAGGTTGGTCTGAATGTTTGGAACATGGTGTGTCTGTATCAGCAGGTCGGGGGGGTAGACGTGTGTGGACCTGTAACATTATGCAGAGGTGTCCACACACACCTAAATTATCCGATAATTGGTTGATTGACTGATTGTCCTCTGCAGTGTTCTGGGTCTGGTCTCCGTGGCCTCGGCGGACTGTGCCGCCCCCTGGAGGCTGCAGGTGAACTCCGATCTCAGCTGGTTTCACTTCTGTGGTCCTCTGATGCTGTTGCTGCTCTACAACACGGTGGCTGCTCTGTGGAGGAACAAGGTGACGTGGTCCAGCATGAACAGGGAAATCATACAACGTAAAGAAATCAGACTGTGACTAAATCCAGAGGCTGCAGCTGGGAGACGGCTTTTCCGACAAACGTGTCCTGCTTCTCTGGGCCCTCAGGTGTATCCTTCACAGCCCCGCTTCTTCAGCTGATCCTCTCAAACTGCTGAGTAATAACCGGTTAAATTAAAGTAATCTGTCCAAACTCAGCAGCTTCACAAAAGTTTTAAAGAAAGTCACAATAAAATATGACCTGGTCTTTGAAATGTTGGTGGTGGTGATAAGTTACAGGATGCTAGCTGGCATAAAATTAAGTTAGGGTCAAACTCACCGTAACACCGAGTTAGACCCCCCCTCCAGAGATGAATGTTGTCGACCGCTTGCTTCTCTAGTTATACCAACTTTAGTAACGACCGCAGGATAGAAATACAGAGAGCCACGCCCTCAACCAAAACGCCACTCTATAGCCACAAATAATGCTCAGAACAGCACCTAACTTCATCAACAGGACATATAGGGTCACAGACATAGTACTAGACACCAAACATCTTTTTAACTTTGACTCATTTCTTTAGCAAAGAGACTAAACACAACTCACCTACTCTCTTCCAGCAGCCGCTTGTTTGTAGGGAGACCTCAGGCCAGTCCATTACGGACTACAGCGGGGTGACGCAGCTCAAGGAAGAACATTTATGATCAGGTCTTCAAAAACTTCAACCCCTGGATTTAGACACAGCATTAATGTTGATGTCATACAGTATCATGACTTTACAGAATGATGTCATTAATCAGCATTATGATGTCGTTATTTTGAGTTCTGATTAATGATGATGTCATGATTTGAGTCGGAAAAAAGCAAAATCGGAGGTAGAAACAAGATGGCTACATCTACGAAAGTTATTTTAGCACTAGCCTTGTCTGAATTCAAGCAACTTCTGGACAAACGTGCGGTCCTTCTGCAACATCTTGTTTCCGCCTCCGGTTTTATTTTTTTCCGACTTGGTGACTGAGACGCTGGTGACTCGAGCTCATTTTCAGCTCGGACCTCTGACTTCTGAGGTGACTCGAACGCCACATATGAAGTCGTTATTTTGAGCTCTGATTAATGATGATGTCATGACCTCCTCAATAGACCGATGTTGTTTTTTTGCTGCTGGGTCGGGGTCCTCGCGCTCCCATTGGCTGATCTGAGTCTCCTGTTTCTGCAGCTGATTGACGGCGATGGGGGTCGTCCCGCAGAGGGGTCAGAGTCAGCATTAAGTCAGAGCTGTGACATCATCACCGCCACCAGCCACCTGAGCGATGAGGTTACGAGTGACATCACAGCAGAGAGACGGCGGGAGCTGTGGCGGCGAGCTCATGAGCGTCCCGAGTTCAGAGATGTACGCTAACATAACACCCTGACTCATCATTATCTCTGACATGATCGAGTTTATTAACAGAGAACATGTCCGTCCTCAGGTGTTGACATCATCCACCAATGACAGCCCCTCTGACTCCTTTGCCCCTCCCACCCAGAGCACAGCGCTGGAATTGGACGTTTATTCTCCTCCTAATTACTCTCTGAGCCAATCAGGTGAGTTCTTGCTTTGAATTTTATCTGAGAATCATCCGTGAAGAAGCCCAGATCAACACTGGGATCATTTCTGTTCCTGCTTTGTGATTGGATGATTTTGTGAAGTTGTACCGGTCTCTGTTGTAGCACCTCTAGGACAAAAGTCCAGCTTCAGTAACTCCATAAATCCTCTTCTGCAGATACTTTGGAGACGTGTGTGTTTGAAGAAGAGGAGTGGGAAGAAGAGGGGGAGGATCAAGAAGAAGAAGTAAGGAGAAAGGGTGAGGAGGGAGTAAACGCCGCCTCCATGGCGTTCAGTTTCCTCCTCAAACAGAGTTACATTTGCGCCCTGATCGCCATGATGGCCTGGTCCATCACGTACGTGTCCTGGCTGACCTGTGTCCTGCTCCTCTGGTCCTGTGTCCTCTGGATGATGCGAGAGCGCCGGCGCTACACCCTGATGTCATCTCCTTGGCTGGTCGCCTACGGCAACCTGCTTGTCATCCTACAGTACATCTACAGTTTCCCGAGTATCCAGGAAGTTCCAGGACTTTTCCCAAGAAAAGACGACCCCTGCAGAGAGCTGGCCTCTAAGGTACTTCACCACCACGACACATTTGTGCACATGGGCCAGTTTTCTTCCACAGTTGACCCTTTGACGTGTGGGGTCCCCCAGGGGTCAGTCCTGGGTCCCCTATTGCTCCCCTTGGGGTCCATTTTTAGACAGCATGGTGTTTCTTTTTCACTGTTTTGCTGATGATGTGCAGGTTTATTTGTCTGTATTTGTCTGTATTTGTCTGTATTTGTCTGTATTTGTCTGTTAAGGTCCCGACACAGACTCTCTGCAGGTCGAGTTTAACTGTCCAGACATGTTTGTTTCTGTTACAGCTGTTGTGTTTGTTGAGCTTCTGGCTGCTGATGCGTCAGGCGCTGACCGAGAAGATCGAAAGGCAGAGAGACAGACAGGCAGACGCTCAGCTGTCGGCCATAACCGTCCACCTGGAGGGTAAGACACCTGTGTGTGTGCACCGACTGCTTACCTGTCTGACTGACTGCTGACCTGTCTCATGACCTGTTACCTGTCGGCTCTTCAATCCAGTCGGGGAGCAGAGGGCGGAGGAGCATCTTCAGGATATGAAGCAGGGGGAGGTGTTGTACGAGGAGATGCTGTTCCTGCAGCAAGCAGGCGGAGTTAAGATGGAGGCGCTGGTTGCCGTGGTGACCAGAATGTTTGTGAAATACTGGATCTACGTCTGCGGGACGATGTTCTTCTTCGTGAGCTTCGAGGGAAAAATCGTTCTCTATAAAGTCATCTACATGGTCATGTTCCTGTGCTGCGTCGCCCTTTACCAGGTAGTACTGCAATACTGCGAGTACTGTTACCTCAACAAGGTAGTACTGCAATACTAGGAATACTATGACCTTAACCAGGTAGTACTGCAATACTGCGAATACTATTACCTCAACAAGGTAGTACTGCAATACTGTGAATATTATGACCTCAATGAGGTAGTACTGCAATACTGCAAGTACTATGACCTCAGTAAGGTTATGTTACAATACTGCGAATACTGTTACCTTAACAAGGTAGTACTGAATATTATGACCTCAATGAGGTAGTACTGCAATACTGCGAGTACTTTTACCTCAACCAGGAGATATTACAATACTGCAAATACTATCACCTCAATAAGGTAATGTTACAATACTGCGAATACTATGACCTCAACCAGGTGATATTCAATACTGCAATACTATGACCTTAATGAGATAGTACTGCAATACTGCAAATACTATGACCTTAATGAGATAGTACTGCAATACAGCTAATACTATGACTTCAACCTGGTGATATTACAGTACTGCAAATACTAAATACTACCAGTCTGCAGTAGGACTCTGAATCTGTAAACCTGATGTATTTGGCACTACTGCAGTACTCTGAATACTCTGAATACTCTGTATACTCTGAACCCCCCCCTTGTCTCTCGTCCCGTTTGTCTCTCGGCAGTTAAACTACGAGCGTTGGCGAGCCTTGCTCAGGGGTTTCTGGGTGGCGGTGGTGGTTTATTCCATGATGGTGCTGATCTTGGTCTACACCTTCCAGTTCCCCTCATCCCCCCACCTGTGGCGCTACTACACCGGACTCAGCACTCACAGGTGAGGTCAGGTCCTCAGGAGGAGTTCCCAGGTTCTCACAGGTGAACACGCTCACAGACCCGTGTTCGCCGTCTCTGGTGTGTGTCTGCAGGTTGGAGGACGTGGGTCTGGAGAAGTTCTCCGTTCCTGTTCTCTTCACGAGGATCTTCATCCCCGCTGCGTTCCTGCTGGTACTGAAACACATCCTGATCTAACAGCTGAAGGTTCCTGTGTGTCATTTACTCAACGTCTCACCTGTGCTCCACAGGTGTGTATCGTACACCTGCATTACTTCCATGAGCCGTTCCTGCAGCTGACCGACCTGAAGACGGTGGTGGACACGCACAACAGCACCATCACCAGGTGAGAGCAGGAATCAGTCAGAAACGAACCATCACGACACGAAGATGAGTTTACAGACTAAAACTGACAGATGAAGTTACATGATTGACCAGAGGGGGGCGCTCTCTCTGCAGGCTGGTCCACTCTGATGGCAGCCTCTTTGACCTCTCTCTGGGTGGATCTGGATCTCCTCAGCTCCTCCTGGAGGACCAGAAGAGTGGAGGACAGAGGGAGAAAGAGGAGGAAAAAGAGAACAAATGGATAAAAGAGGAAGAGAAAGAGGAGGAGGAGGAGGAGGAGGAGGAGGAGTATCCCTGTGTGTTCGACGCTGAGACTCTGTCGGATCACCTGACAGGTAAAAACACCTGAACCTTTCATGAGGACTAAACCTGGGACAGACCAGTTTTAGCGGTGACCCCGACTCTCTCTGTTTCTCCTCCTCAGTCCTGGTCTCCTGGAGGCTGGTGGTGGATCGTCTCTCTGTTCTGTTCCTGCGCCTCCTCCTGTCCCTGCAGCGTCTGCAGCACCTCCTCTGGTGGCTTCTGGAACTGCACATCGTCAAGATCGTCTCCTCCTACATCATATGGGTCTCTGTGAAGGAGGTCAGGACCCGTCTGTCTGTCTGTCTGTCTGTTTGTCTGTCTGTGTGTGTGTGTATGTGTGTGTCTGTGTGTCTGTCTGTCTGTCTGTCTGTCTGTCTGTCTGTCTCTCCTCGTCCACAGGTGTGTATTAAACCCGTCTGTCCGTCTGTCCTCAGGTGTGTTTATTGAACCTGCTCTTCGTTCTCTGCGTGGCGGTGGCTCTTCCCTGTAAGCAGTGGCGCCCCCTGCTGTCAGGAGTGTGTACGGTGTGGACATGCGTGCTGACCGTCTGTAAGATGTTGTACCAGCTGAACGTCGTCCAGCCAATCAGATACTCCTCCAACTGCACCATGGTAACCACCGCAGCGTCACACCTGTCTGTCTGTGTGTCTGTTATCAGCCCTGACCCCTGACCTCACGGACACCTGTCTGTGTTTTCCCGTAGCCAGGTAACTCCAGCATCGACCTGTCCCGCTCTGTTCTGTACTCTGGTTCAGTTGACCCCGCCCAGTGGGTGGGGCTTCGCAAAACGGAAGGAAAGCTTCTTGATTACCTGAGGGTGAGCGGTGACATCAAACCTAAATAAGACACGTAGCTCTGTCGTAAAACCGCGTCACGCTAACCCGCTTCACGCTGTCTTATCTTCACAGTATAACCTGACGATGTTAGCGCTGTTAGCCTTCGAGGTGACGGTCTACAGACACCAGGAACTCTACCGTCTCCGACACAACAAGGTCCCGCCTCCCACCAGGACTTTGTTCCACGACGTCACCAGGAATCACCTGGATGCCGACGTGCTGAGCTGCATTAAATACTTCCTCAACTACTTCTTCTACAAGTTTGGGCTCGAGGTAAGACGCTAACACATTAGCATAGCAACAAGCTAACCTCATTCTGTTAAGCATATCCCCTCTCCCTCCTCCCCCTCCTCAGACCTGCTTCCTGTTGGCCGTAAATGTGATTGGTCAGAGGATGGATCTGTTCGCCGTGTGCCACGCCTTTGGCCTCATAACCGTCCTATCACATCGCAGCAGGGAGCGCATCAGCTCCGTGTGGCCAAAGTACTGCTACTTCCTGTCAGGGCTGCTGAGTTTCCAGTACCTGTTGTGTATCGGATTCCCTCCAGCTACCTGTGCAGGTACGTCCTCACCTGATCCCTGAAGACAGTCGTGTGGTTATCGACTCAAACGTTAAAGAGAGCTGGTGTCCCCCCTCCTCCTCAGATTACCCGTGGAGACCGCCGTCCTCTGAAGTGGACTCTAACGTGGTGAAGTGGCTCTTCCTCCCGGATCACCTGACTCCACCAAACCCGCTCTTCCTCCTCTGTGAGACTCTTCATCATCTTTACCTCCTCTTAGTTAGACACTATCCTTTACTTGAATCTATCATGTTTTATATCTATGTCTTAAATGTTCATGTATACTGTCTCTAACCCCGGATTTACACCGCATCCAGAACGGCGGCGGTTTTCACCAACCGCAAATTCCTACCTGATCCGTTTGTGAGGCGAATTTCTTGGCGGATTACGGACGAGAACTCACAAGAACCTGTGGATTCTTGTTCAATCGTGTGATAACGAGTTGTCTCTCTAAAGACAGACACATAGACATATAAGCAGTAGATTGTGTCCTTCCAGAGGAGGAAATCTACTTCTAGACTTCTAGAATCAGCATCTCCTCATCCATGGTGTCATCGGGGTGAAATGACGTCTAAAAACCTTTCACTTGTTCGTCTCCGCCTGTTTGCATGGTGTGAAATACGATCCTCCTGAGTGTTTTATTGATGATGGAAGAAAAGCCAAATTGACCGTAGTAAATACAGTCTATAGTTACGATCAGCTGTGATCAGCGGATACGATCTTTTCATAGCCGTTCTGGATGTGGTGTAAATTGAGGTTAAGTTCTGTTTTTCTGTCTCCTGACCCTCAGATGACTTCATGCTCCTCCTCGGCGCCTCCCTGCAGCTGCAGGTGTTCGAGGAGGAGCTCCAGGAGTCCGTTCAGGTGCTCGCAGGTGAAAACTGTGAGCTGGATGGAAATGACGGACAGGTCTCAGATCTAATCAGACAGCTGCGACTCAGCACCGCCCCCGACTTCATGATGTGCAGGTACGCTCCAGCCGAGCACACACCTGTCTGTGAACACTCACCTGTTCCTCTGACCTCTAACCTGTTTCTGTGCAGGTCTTACCTGGACATGATGAAGGTGATCATCTTCAGCTACATGTTCTGGTTTGTCCTGACCATCATCTTCATCACTGGGACCACCAGGTGAGGAGGAGGAGGAGGAGGAGAACCTTCAGGTGTCTGAAACAACCACGAACGTTTGCCTGATGACAGGTGTGTTCTTCCTGTTCCAGGATCAGTATCTTCTGTATGGGTTACCTGGTGGCCTGTTTCTACTTCCTGTTGGTGGGCGGAGACTTGCTGCTGAAACCAATCAGATCAATCCTGCTGTACTGGGACTGTCTGATTGGTTACAATGTGTTCGTCATCACCATGAAGAACATCCTGTCGGTGAGTTCATCTTCATCTTCATCTTCATCTTGATCCCCGTTGTCTTCATCACCTCCACCTCTCCGTCTGTCTGTCTGGTTCTGACCCGTCTGTCTGTCTGGTTCTGACCCGTCTGTCTCTCAGGTCCTGGCCTGTGGTTTCATCAAGTCCTTGGTGGTCAATCATTGTTGGCTCATTCAGCTCTTCAGTTTAGCCTGTACCATCAAAGGATACACCAAACGTACGTACCTGTCCACCTGTCTGTCTGTCTGTCTGTCCTCCTGTCTGTCCACCTGTCTGTCTGTCTGTCCTCCTGTCTGTCCTCCTGTCTGTCTGTCTGTTGTTTACTGGTTGTTGTTTGTGTCGCTGCAGCGGAGCAGCAGAGCAGTAAACAGTGCGAGTTGCCGAGCGACGAGGCGGGGATCATCTGGGACGGCGTCTGTTTCTGTTTCCTGTTACTGCAGAGGCGAGTCTTTCGGAGTCACTACTTCCTGTACGTGGTCCTGGACCTGAGACACACACAGCTGCTGGCCTCCAGGTATACACACACACACACACACACACACACACACAGATGCGTACACTGGTCACACACACAGAGTCACATCACGGTAATGAGTGTGTCTGTGGGTTTATTTCAGGGGGGCGGAGCTTTTCGAGGCGTCCACGGTAAAAGCTGTCAGAGCCAGACTGGAGGTGGAGAAGACGTCCATGGACCTGCTGAAGAGACAGTAAGACACAAACACGGGTCCGAGTCCGGACCCCCTGGTCTAGTCTGAGCTCAGAGACTTGGACTCGTCGGACCTGTTGACGGTTTTCTGTGTTTTCAGGATGGAGAGGATCAAAACTCGGCAGCAGAAGTTTCGCCGAGGAAAAGAGAAATTATTGAGTCTGAACCAAGACAGCTCCCGGATTACCGGTGTGTGTGAGAACAAGCATCTGTCGCCATGGTAACGGTGTCAAACACACAGCTGTCAATCAGAGTAGAGTGGATGACCGTTTCTGCTTCTTTCAGGTCCGGAGAAGAAGAAGGAGCAGAAGGAGTGGTGGAGGCCCTGGGTTAACCACGCCTCCAGTGAGTCATAACCTTTGACATCGTCACGGTCTACGTTTTTAAGTCGGTCTGTTTGACTCCGTCTGTTTTTACCCGTCTGTCTGCGCAGTGGTGAGGAGCGGGGATTACTACCTGTTTGAGACGGACAGTGAAGAGGAGGAGGAAGAAGATGAAAAGAAGGAGGAGGAGCAACCGGAGAAATCAGCCTTTCAGGTAAGAAACTTCACGACCTCCTCCACTGAGCTCGCATTAGACCTGAATGTAGTTAATGTAGAACCTGTCCCTCCTGAGAGCCGGGGAACAGGTTTGTCATGACGTTTTCTCTTCTGTCAGTTCGTGTATCACGCCTGGATAACAGACTCCAGAACAGCGATGAGAGCGCGCTTCAACCAGAGGAAACTCCGTAAGAAGAACTCCTCCGACCAAAGGTTCAGGAAGGAGGAGCCCAGAGGAGGTAAGAGGAGGAGGAGGAGGAGGAGGACAAGAGGGGGGGGCATGAAGTCCTGAGTGTGGAGCTAAGAGTTGAACCCACTCATGTTGACATTTGCTGACTGGATGTTGATCTGAGCTGTAGATATGAACAGCTGATGTAAACAACAAAAACAACAATAAAGTTTGATCAGTTTGAACATCAGATCTCGTGTCTTTATTGTGTATTTGATTAAATTTGGGTGGAAAAGGTTTGAAAATAACTGTTTTATTCAGGTGTCCCCACTTCAGTGAATTTAGGGTTGTAGTTTTAGAGAACTGAGTCATCAGCGTACGACTTTTACCAGCGAACAAACCCACTAACCCACTGTGACCCTGTCCTCTCTGCAGGAGCTGAAGTCATTGAAATCACAGAGGAGACAGTCGAGGACCAGGAGGAGGAGGAAGAAGAGGAGGAGGAGAAGGAGGAGAAAGAAGAGGGGCCAGGTAGGAGGTCTCAGACACACCTGTCACACACAGATGTTGGTTCACCATCAGGGAGTCTAATTCCAGCTGACGTGTGTGTTTCAGACACGGTGCTGCGTCGATTCTCCAACACCATGCGGTTCTGTTGGGTTCTGCTGTCAGCTCTGCTGGACTCTCTGACAGCCTGGGTCCGCAATCTGTGTCAGGAACACATCGACATCTCCACCGTTCTCCGTGTAGAGCGCTGTATGCTAATGCAGCAGGCTAAGCAGGTAAAGATCAGCTCAAACAAGGATGACGGAGGTGTAGGGCTGGGCGATAAAATGATAACGATATATATCAAAAATTAATTTCCCTCAATATCAACGTAAATTATGGTCAATATGCTTTTCAATATGCCATGTTTTGGTGGACTATACTAATATCAAAAGAAAAAGGGAGTTGCTCTGGGTCTGCTTCGCGCTAGAATTAGAACCAAGTATCAACCAACTGCAAAGTCATAGCATACAGCAGCTACACCCAACCATAGCACTTTAACAGGTGAAGCCGACAGCACTGTTGGTGAGAAACAAAGAAAATGAGTGCTACCCCCGACAGAAATGACCATGAAGGCTCAACAGATGACCACATCAATGTCAACCACAACACTGGCGTTAGGAAAACGTCGGTGGTGTGGAGGTATTTTGGTTTTTGGAGGTCGGACATGAAGCAGAGTAATGTGGACTGTAAATTATGTCGAGTACATGTTCTCACAAAGTCGGGGAATACCTCAAATCTTTTTCACCACCTGAAGCAGCGCCACGCCGCAGAGCACGCGCAACACAAAAGGTTACAAACCCCGAGAGGAGCGAGGAGCCGAAACAGACGACCATTCAGTCGGCTTTCTCTAGAGCGACGCCTTACGACAAAACGTCAAAGAGACACAAAGACCTCACAGATGCAAAAGACATGCTACCAACAAACACTGTTAATTTTCATTTTTTATATCGTGATATTTATCGATATTGACTGATATGAAAAAATATATCGTGATAAACTTTTTCCCGTATCGCCCAGCCCTACAGAGTGTGTTCTGGTTCATGTCTGAGACCCAGTTCTGTGTTTTCTTTGTTTAGGGAAATGTTCCCACCAGAGAGGCCATCCATGTCTACTACCAAGAACAGATGACCAAGACCTCCAGAGAGTCCAGTTTGGACTACGTTTCCGATGAGGCAGAGGGGTTTACTTCAGGGGAAAGATGGAAGGGAGAGGAGGACCAGGAGATCAAACCTGAACTAGAAACAGATCCAATATTAGGGGGACATCCAGAACCAGAGGTAGTGTCAGAGAAAGACCATCCAGGAAAAACAGAATCTGAAAATGTTCACCAAGAACTACCTGAAACTAAAACAGAACCAGGACTAGAACTAAAACCTGTACCAGGATCAGGGGGAGATGACCCCACTGCAGAAACCTCAGGTCCATCAGAGACTCCACCCTCAGGAACCAGAGCTGAGAAAACGGAGGGTGACCCAGTCATGGAGGTGCACAGTCAAGAATGCCCAGAATGCCGTGTAACCAAAACCAGCCAAAGACGGAGACTCAGACTGACCCGGATGGAGAGGGTCCAGTCTTCTTCATCATCATCTTCAGAAGGAGGAACCTTCAGTAGGACTCACAGGTTGGTTCTTATGGACTGACATGATGTAACGCTGCAGTGTTAGCATGTTAGCGTTTCCCTTTATTAACGTTATAACTTCTTCTTCTGTCCGAACAGCTTCAGCGACTCAAACCAGCCACTTTCTGTTGACACACAGCCGCCTTACACCTCAAACAGCGCCGCCACCCTCTCCTCCCCGACCTCCTCCTTCACCACCTCCCCCCTCCTCCCCCCCTCCTACAGCGGCGCTCTAGGTCTGGACCTTCAGGTGGAAGAGGATCACAAAAAGAAGAGTGGAGAGAGGAGCATCCGAGAGCTGACGGCCAGCGAACTGTTGAGGAACAGGTGAGTCACAGGTGAGTCCCAGAGGAAGATCACCTCTGACCTGCTGGTGCTCAAACTCCTCTCTCTGTTTCAGGACGTTCTACGATGAGGAGATGGAGGCGTCAGACCATTTCTATGGAAACCAACACCAGCTGCTCCAGCTGGGTTACGCCCTCTACAACATCCTGGCCGCCAGGTAAACTCCGCCCCTCATGTCACAGGTGTGTCTGTGCTGCTGAGATACTGATGAAGTTCCTCCCTCAGGTCAGAGACGGTGTGTTACCTGGTCATTGTGCTGAACCACATGGTGTCCGCCAGCTGCCTGACACTCGTACTTCCTGTACTCGTGTTCTTGTGGGCCACTCTGTCGGTCCCCCGACCCAGTAAGACCTTCTGGATGACTGCAATCATCTACACCGAGGTGCTCACCGCTCTGCCTACCAATCTGCCTGCCGCTCTGCCTGCTGCTCTGCCTGCCACCCTTCCTGCTGCTCTGCCTGCCGCTCTGCCTGCTGCTCTGCCTGCCGATTTGCCTGCTGCTCTACCTGTCACCCTTCCTGCCAACCTTCCTGCTGCTCTGCCTGCCACCCTTCCTGCCGCTCTGCCTGCTGCTCTGCCTGCTGCTCTTCCTGCCACCCTACCTGCTGCTCTTCCTGCCACTCTGCCTGCCACCCTTCCTGCCGCTCTGCCTGCTGCTCTGCCTGCTGCTCTTCCTGCCACCCTACCTGCTGCTCTTCCTGCCACCCTTCCTGCCACCCTTCCTGCTGCTCTGCCTGCTGCTCTGCCTGCCACCCTTCCTGCCGCTCTGCCTGCTGCTCTGCCTGCTGCTCTTCCTGCCACCCTACCTGCTGCTCTTCCTGCCACTCTGCCTGCCGCTCTGTTGTGATGCAGATGCCCTTCTGACCTGACATGCCCCTCCTTCGTCAAAGCTCTGTCCCGTCTCTGTCACGCTCTCGAAGTCTCAGCTTGTACTTTGCTGCTGCTCTATCACCTTTTCCCTATATCACTGCTGCTCGTCCGCCCCTCTATCGTTTGCCCGCCCCTCCTCTCTCTCACCGCTCCGCCCGACATGCTGCTTGCTCCTCTTCCCATCAGTCAGCTGTTTCACGTCCAGTTGTTGGTTGGTCTGTTCGCAGGTCACCATCGTCATCAAGTACTTCTTCCAGTTCGGTTTCTTTCCCTTCAACCAGAAACTGGAGCTGGACCGCTCCAAACCGTTCCACCCTCCCAACATCCTGGGGGTAGAGAAGAAAGAAGGTTATGTCCTGTATGACCTGCTGCAGCTCCTCGCCCTGTTCTACCACCGTGCCATCCTCAAGGTGCACAGATTCCTCTATTGTACCTGAACTACACTCAAGTGCCCACATATACCGTAAATACTCAGAGGTAGAGAGTCTCTGAAAGCACTTGGCTGAAGGTCGCAGAGAAACTCATCAGGTGATGAATACTTCCTCCTCTCCCTCCCCCCACAGTGCCACGGACTTTGGGACCAGAGTGACTCTGCAGAGACAGACCCCCTCCATGACCACGACAACCAGGCCTCCCTGGACCAGGGTGCCATCTTCACTGACCCAGCAGACCCCGCCCATGCACTACGGAGGCGAGGCAGGAGACGGACGCACTCTGGCTCCACCCAGTTTCGCTCTCCTGCAGGTAGACCTGAACCATGACCTGAGCGGTCTGACTGTAGGAGAAAAATATAAAACTTGAAGGTTAAATATTTCAAACTTGAGAGGGGGCCAGGGGCAAAAAGACCCCGAGGAACCTCATCCACATGATCTTTGATGGACCCACATCTGGACCAGCACACCTGAGCTCCTCATGACTGAATGATGTTTTCTTCTCGTGTTTTCAGACAGCGTCAGCTCCAGAGCTCAGCAGCTCAGCAGGTTTGATCTGCTGCAGGAGAAACTCAGAGAACTTTCTGTCCGAGCAAAGAAGTTCTGTGTCAGCAGGTGAGCAAACACCTGAGCACTGTCCCCGTGGATCACTGACCCTTATATACCTGAGGTCTTCAGTATGTCTTCTTCTCCGTCAGGTCTATGTCTGTGTACCGGCCGATTCTTCAGTTCTTCAGAGCTCTGGTCCATCCTGAGTACAGCGCCGTCACTGACGTCTACGTCCTCATGTTCCTCGCCGACACCGTTGACTTCATCATCATTGTCTTCGGATTCTGGGCCTTTGGGGTACGCTGTCCTTTCCTGGGAACTTCCTGTTTTGGTTCTGTTTGAAACTATTTAGTTTTGTCGCTATCCGATCTGTCCCAGAAACCAGATTTGTACTGCGCATGTGGGAAACGGACGTCACTTCCTCTCTTCATATTTCAATGCATTTTACGGCAGTTAGTCGTTACTATTGTTACTTACCCGATCCGTACTGCGCAAGTGCAAATAAAAACTTTATTTAACGTACTGATCAATTTCAGAAACCAGTTGGCGATGTCACAGGCTAGCTAGCAGGAGGCTCCAGAGCTAATGCCGAGGCATTCGCCAGAGCTCCTGCCCAGAACTGTGAGACCTTTTGGGCCACAGAGAGCGCCACCACCTGGTCAAATTTATGGTTCTCTGACTTTTCAAAGTATCAAGGGGGGATCCTCTGGAGGTGTGTGGCCATCCATGGTGCACCCTTCCCAGGCCACAGAGATCGCCACAACCAAAACTGGTTGTCAAAACTGGGCGCCATTCTCTTGACATTTCGGCACTCTGCTTCAGGCGGGGGAAGCACTCCATTCAGGAGAAAAGTGTGCGGCTGTTATAAACTGCAGCATCCGTTCTGACTGAAGCGAGCTCGCTAATGTCGAAGCTGTCGCAAACCGCGAGGGGCAAAGAATCACTGAGCTGTCACAAAGATGGCTCGTAGAGGAAGTGACGTTCGTTTCTCACATGCGCAAATCGTGTTTCCGGGATGGATCAGGTAGCGACAAGTCTAATTTGATTCTGATACTTTAAATTTTCCCAGAAACACTCTGCAGCCGCTGACATCACTTCCTCCCTCTCGGAGGACCAGGTACCTGAAGCTTTCCTGGTCATGGTGCTGATCCAGTTTGGTAAGTAAACCTCTGTGTTTGCTTGTCCACCTGTCTCTCTGTCCGTCTGTTTACCTGTCAGTCAGCTCACCTGTCTTCCTGTCCGTCTGCAGGTACCATGGTGATTGACAGGGCTCTGTATTTGAGGAAGACCGTTTTAGGGAAGCTGGTCTTTCAGGTGATTTTGGTTTTGGGGATCCACTTCTGGATGTTCTTCATCCTTCCAACGGTTACTGAGAGGTAACAGACCAGTTTCTCAGACGTGTCCTCTGACCCTGACTTGTTCTTCTTCATGTTCCTCTGACTTCCTGTCCTCTGACCCGTCTCATTCTCTGTCTCCAGGCGCTTTAATCAGAACCTGGTGGCTCAGCTCTGGTATTTCGTGAAGTGCGTGTACTTTGGTCTGTCGGCCTATCAGATTCGATCTGGTTACCCGACGCGTGTTCTGGGAAACTTCCTGACGAAGAGCTACAACTACCTGAACCTCTTCCTGTTCCAGGGGTGAGTCTCCACCTATGACCAACTTCGACTTTAATCTAACCAGCTGTCCCACTTCCTGTTCATTCGCCTGTCTGTCCGTCTTCAGGTTTCGTCTGGTCCCCTTCCTGACAGAGCTGCGTGCGGTGATGGACTGGGTTTGGACGGACACCACGTTGTCTCTGTCCTCTTGGATCTGTGTTGAAGACGTTTATGCTCACTGCTTCGTCCTGAAGTGCTGGAGGGAGTCTGAGAAAGTACGATCCTGTATTTAAGTGAACGCGGCGCCCTCGGCCTCACGGTCTGGATCAGTCTGCACGTGTCTGATGTGTGTTTGTGTTTGTGTGTCTGATGTGCGTTTGCAGCGGTACCCTCAGCCTCGCGGGCAGAAGAAGAAGCGGGTGGTGAAGTACGGGATGGGCGGGCTCATCGTTCTGCTGCTGATCTGCATCGTCTGGTTTCCGCTGCTCTTCATGTCGCTCATCAAATCAGTCGCCGGAGTTGTCAACCGACCACTCGACGTCTCTCTGACCATCACACTGGGAGGTTTCCAGGTAAACTCACCTGTACTGACGTATCACTGTAGGTTATAGTTATAGACTTTAGCTCTTGTCCGGTCTACCTCCGTTTTAAGCGCCCGTTATTCCTCCAGAGTCTCCGGTATTTTCTTTGTTTTCTTGCTTGTGTCGGCAGTCGTGGCCAAAGGAGGATTCAGACAATTTTCCGAACTTTCTGGTTGGTTTCTACTGTCCGATATTGTAGCACGCTAACTTTGTTTGGGCTCCTGAACGACACGGGGGAGCAGCGTCTGCCTCACAACCAATCAGGTTAGAGGAGGTGGAGAACGGCTTTGTTTACAGTCAGAAAGAGCGGACCGCTCAAAAATGTTCAAATGTTGACGACACAGACAGAAGAGAACACAGAGATATCGATATATTACCAAATAATCAATAACTAATAACTATTGACTGATATTAGAAGAGTTTCTGTTTATAAACCACAAAATAAGATGCTTCCTTAAGGGAATCCTGCCGACCCCACCTTTAAGGTTGCATTAGTACCTGTAGGACTGTCAGTAGAACTACAGCTGACTCTGCGTTGTTGTTGACAGCCGATCTTCACCATGAGCGCTCAGCAGAATCAGCTCAGAGACCTGGCTGAGGAGGACTTCACCTCCTTTACGACCTCCTACAGCTACACCCCGGTGAGTCCTCTGCAGAACACCAGACCAGTTTGTAGTTCAACGGCATTAACCCTGTGTCCTTCCTGTCCCAGAGTGCTTTGCAGTTCTTAGAGGCGTATGGTCCCGAGGATGTGACAGTGGCGGAGCTGCAGGGCAGCAGTAACTCTTTGTGGACCATCAGTCCGCCTAGCAGGGAGTACCTGAGCCAGGTGCTGCACCTGGACCACTTCCCCCTCACCCTGTCCTGGACCATTCAAAGGTCAGCTTTACCTCACCCATGAACAATACAACCATTACAGTGATACGGTTAGTTATTGATTCAGTTAGCAACTTGGTTAGTCAGGATATTTGTTGGTCAGACAGTCGGAAAGTTAGGAAATAAGTGATTAATTTAATTAATGAATTAGTTAGCTGGTAGGACTTTGTTAGTTTTCAACTAGCTTTGAGTTTGTAAATAAGCTACTTAGTAAGTTAGTTAACTAGTTGGTTAGTCAGTTAGGAAGAGTTCAGATGAGCGGCAGTGAAACTCATAATTATTATTTTTTAACGAACAGGAACTTGAGTCTGGGGGCGAAGGCGGAGCTTGCGTCAGGTAAACATGTGACCTACTTGGATGATCAGACTCGCCTGGAACTGATCCAGCTGCTGAATGGAACCAGGACACTTCCTGTGTGAGTATAGGGGGGTCATGGGTCGTGTTTGGCAAAGAGCTTTGGACGGGTCATGTAATCAGAAGTGGGCGGAGCAATGCAGTGAGTGACAGTGGAAATCTGTCAGCTGAACGGGACAGGAAATGAGATGTTCACCTCATAAATGGATCTGGTAGGGATTGGCAGACAGCGAAAATCGCCGCTGTTCCAGATGTGGTGGAAATTGGGGGTTAGACAGATGTGTCCGATAGAGCATGCACCCTACTTTCCACTTCCTGTATCGTCAAAATTTCAGTGTATTTCTGTCTCGTTGGGCTAATCATGTGACCTCTCCTACGTCTCGACTTAAGGCTCATACAGGAAGTGTTTCCATGTTTCCTTCGAGCTCCAAGTGACTCCAACGCCAAACCCATTGAACAGCTGTACACAGGTAACAAACAGCCACACAGCGACATCTTCATTCTTCTGTAAAAACAATGTTTTATTTTTATACTCTGGATGTAAACAGGAAGTTCACCCATGTGATGTCGTCTAACATCTCTCCTCCAATCAGACGACAGGTACAAAGACATCTTGCTGGCCTTGGAGCGCACCACCAATCAGAGCAGAGAGATTCAGGAGTGGTGGATCGTGGACCAACCATTTGCGAGTTTGGTGCCTATTGGGGGCGGGGTTTCTCCGACTGACAAGAGGGAGGCAGGGCTTCAGCTGCTAGTGTTTAGTGATAAAGTCAGTCCTCCCAGTCTGGGCTTCCTGGCTGGATACGGGTACGTGATGCCTTTAAGTGCCGTCGTAAATATGAGTAATACGAAACATCAAGTCTGTTCCAGCTAAACTTAACCAATCTTACCAGGTTAACCAGTATGTGCAGCTCATTCATTGGACGAAAGGGACGCCAAATTTGACCTAAGCCAAATGTTGCACACAGGAGCTTTAATGACCAACTAAACTCTGACTTTAAATCAATATGTGCACAGACTCTCTATCAGTGTTTAAAAAATTAACAATATTATTAAAGCTAAAAGACCTCTCCTGCCGATTTTCTTCTTTTTTCTTTTGGCGTCCTGCCCCGCAGCATCATGGGATTGTACGCCTCCGTGGTGTTGGTGATCGGGAAGTTTGTCCGAGAGTTCTTCAGCGGGATCAGCCACTCCATCATGTTCGAGGAGCTGCCCTGCGTCGACCGAATCCTCAAACTCTGCACCGACATCTTCCTGGTACGAACTTTACTAACGTGACAGCATCAGGTGTGGCCCCGCCCACAACACACCTGGTCACAATGTTAGAGAGAAGTGACGATCAGGCTGTTATATTACCGACTTGTTATCATACTGTAATCTGATTGGCTCTCATGCAGTGATGTGATTGGCTCTTTTCTGTACAGGTGAGAGAGACAGGTGAGCTGGAGTTGGAGGAGGAGCTTTATGCCAAATTGATCTTCTTGTATCGATCACCTGAGACCCTGATCAAGTGGACCCGACGATGACATCACCTGTTGTGACCTCATCAGGTGTTCTCATTTTCAGACTCTTATTTTGAAAAGTTTTGAACCAAAAGGAAATGCTGGACAACATTACCTGTTTGTTCGCCGGCCAACCGGAGCAGCTGGTAGGCGGAGCTTACCTTTCACTGTGTTGTGAGGACGTTACAGAGCGAGTTTGTGGTGTGTGATTAAAGGGACTTATCCTGGAAAAACCTGGAACTCTTCATGATGAAGCTGCTTGAGAAGTCCTGGAAAACCTGGAGCAGCATTGAAGCTGATAGAACCAATCAGGGATCAAAGCTTCGAGCACAACCGAACCAGGTCATGTGATTAATGCTGCTGCTGTCACTCACAGGTGTTTATTCACTCAGTACATTTACATGACACTCGAGAAAACCGAATTATCGCCTTATTCCGATTAAAACCGGACAACTGAAGGTCATGTAAACACCTTAGTCTGACTATAAATGGAGTCTGAGAACTCTGATTAAGACACCCAGATAATACGATTGGAATTCGATTTTCTCTACCATGTAACCAGCGTAGTCGGAGTATGATCGGATACAGGCCACGCCCCTGTAACCCCGTAACAAAACCCCCAGAGTAGAGGAGTAGCGTTGGTCTCGTCTTTAGAAAAAGTAGCGCGTCCATCATGTCGGACAAAAACAACGCTGTACGATGCTCCATCTTCTTGTTTCTCCAAAATGCCCAGCAGCAGTTGTAGACACTTCTGACGTCTGACACCGACCTGCTGTTGTTGTTGACGGTTGTATGGGGTCGGAAACAGGGCAGCTGAAAAGACCCATATCGCCCCCTAGTGTTGGGGAGGAGGACACGTTCACGTCAATAATTCGATTTTCTCAGCTGCATGTAAACGAGGAAAAGGAGAGAAGTCTGATTCGACGAAAAAGAAGAATTATGAGGTTAGTCGGATTAAACTGTTCATGTAAATGAACTGAGTGACACCTGCTCATCACCTGACAGGTGTACACCAGGAAGTGATGTCATACAGTGCTGAAGGGTCAGCTTTGTAAACTCTTGCACACCCGTGTTTACCTGTTTATTTATTTCCCTGATGTTTACAAACAAATCTTAGCGAGCGCCGAAGAAGGTCCATATTAGCAGGAACTAGCATCATGCTAGCTCCGTATTAGCATCACATTAGCCCTCCATTAGCCTGATGTTACAGGTGTAGTTTGTGCTGACTCATCCTGGCCTGCTGTTGTTATGCTGTTACTTTGTTTGTGTTGTAGATCTATGTGTTGTTTATTAGTGAGTGTGTTTGTGTCTGTGTGTGTCTGTGTGTGTGTGTGTGTAGTGAACACAGTGTAGTTTATCAGTATTAGCCTAAAGGTGTTAATGGTTAAAATCAGTGTTACAGTGAAATGTTAGCGTGCAGTGATGTCACAGCGGCTCAGTGTGAAGCAATCAGGACACCTGTCGGCAGGTGTGCTCATCATTACCAAACCCACTGATTCATGCGTATCCTAATCAAAGGCTAATGCTAAAGAGGATGCTAACGTCTTCATTAGCCTTGCGTTAGCTGTCTGTGCGATCCACTCAGAGCTCTGTTACCAAATCCAATGACACAGTGAATGATGAAGGTGAGACGTCAATCATTGCCGGGTTAGACAATGCAAACAGAAGCTGTCAATCAAACTCATCATGATTACTGTACAAGTGATTTTTAATATAATGCCCCCTAGAGGCAGTGAGCTGTAATTGAATATAACGGGTTAAAAAAACTTGATGTATGACTGTCAGTATTGAGACTTTAAAGGGATATTCCGGCATAAAATTAATTTAGTGTCAAACACACCATGATGATCATAAATGTTCTTCCTTGAGCTGCGGCACCCCGCTGTAGTCCGTAATGGATTGGCCTGAGGTCTCTCTACAAACAAGCGTCTGCTGGAAGAGAGTAGGTGAGTTGTGTTTAGTCTCTTTGCCAAAGAAATGAGTCAAAGTTAAAAAGATGTTTGGTGTCTAGTACTATGTCTGTGACCCTATATGTCCTGTTGATGAAGTTAGGTGCTGTTCTGAGCATTATTTGTGGCTATAGAGTGGCGTTTTGGTTGAGCGCGTGGCTCTCTGTATTTCTATCCTGCGGTCGTTACTAAAGTTGGTATAACTAGAGAAGCAAGCGGTCGACAACATTCATCTCTGGAGGGGGAATATCCCTTTAAAGGACAGTATTCTGGATTTAAATACAGATATAGAACAGAAAGAATAGACCAAGTATCATAAATAAACACCCCCTTGTGGCGGTAAGTTGTAACTGAATATAACGGGTTCAAAAAACTTGATGTATGACTGTCAGTATTGAGACTTTAAGTGACAGTATTCTGAGTTTGAGTTAAGATGTAGAACAGACAGAATAGACAAATTATCGTAAACAAACACTGACTCGTGAAAGTGCAGAAAACAACATCATAAATAATAAATAAATGATTTTTATGGCCCCCTGGTGACAATTAAGTGTAACTGCACAGAGATGTGTAGCTGGTGAATGACAGGTATAACACTGCCTCCTTGTGACAGTAAACTGTAATAACATTTAGAGAGGAATGATTGATGGAAGTTTTTTTTTTTTGTATTTCGTGGAGAATAAACTCGAAGTTCATTCAGTGAAAATGTGAAAATAAAAGATATTTGTTTACCTGACTCAAAGCTGTTTTTCTAACTGTCCACCACACCTGTTCACTGTCACTGATCTGAGACAGAGAGACTCCAAAATAATAAATCTGAGACAAGAAGTCAACATAACCTAAATTTTGACAAACCAGGACAAGCACACCTGTCAGACAGGTGAGAGCGTTCAGAGAGAGAGGGGCGGGACACAGAGCTGAACTTGTGCTTCATTTTTATTCACGATGAGAATGTCTCAGCTCAAACCCAGCAGGTTCGCTCAGGGTGAACACCTGCTGACAGGTGACTTCACCTGTCAGCAGGTGTCCGGGTCAGCTGACTGGACGTTGTGCGGTTTCAGTGGAAGACGTCGTGAAGATCAAACTTTCTCTGTGAGAGGATTTAAAGTGTCAAACTTTACGTCTGAGTTTGACGCCCTCGGTCACATGCTGATGAAGGTTATGGCTCAAAATGAACAGGTGTTTTCATTTAAAGCATTCTAAGGTCGCAGGTGACATTCACAGGTACAGACATTACATTGATTTAGCCCTCTTACAACCACTCAGTACGTTCACATGCACAGTTCAGCTGAGCTTGATTAGGGGGGTTAGATTAAACTGCTGTCTTTGTCCCACTTACATCAAACTTCTATCAGGCTGTCTCTTGGTCAACTTACGATGCCTCAAACCAAAACAATCACCAAACACGTTAGTTAGAGGATAACCGGTCGTCTGTCGAATGTTGAAAACAAATTTACAGCTCTGAGTCTGTCACACGAAGGACACAACAGCTCTACTTTTCTTCTTTCCCTTCTGCTGATCAGGTTTTGTTTATTATCTGGTTTCTTTTTAGACGTTTATGCTGCTGACAACAAAGTCAGAGCATGCTCACTCAGAAACCTTAGTGCGAGTATGGGACCAACTGAGAGAGAACATCTATCTCTAACCGCACTGTCTACGTATGTTTGTCTGACCATGAGACAGTCTGAAACACAATAAATCAGTTTTTATAGCTGCATGTAAACGTACTGACTGAGTTCACTGCTAAATTAGAATAAAAATGACTTCTGCAGAAACTGATTCAATGTTGTTTTTTTATCAAACAGCTGCAGTCTGTTTTTAGAGTCCTGACCAATCCTCAGCTCTATGATTATTTATCTATATTATATCTATGATATCAGCTATGCCATAGTTATGATTATATTTGATATATGTCTGTCAGTTGGAGTGACATGAACAGTTTCAGCTGTTTGTACGGTGAGTGAAGGCGTCCCACAGGGTTCTGTTCTTAGTCCTTTTATTCTTCGTTATTGTCTGAGATGTTGTTCATCTTGATCACACCAGGCTCTTCTTGAAGTGTCCAAACTCTGCAGGTTCTCCTCTCTCATACTCACAGTGTGGTAGCTCTTTATTTACGATCAGCTGTTCCTCGTTTTCACTCCCCGCAGAGACGAAAACCTCAAACTCCGAATCCTGATCAGACTCAAATCTGTCTGAACGAGTGCCGGACTCGACTCCGACTGTTCGACATCCGATTGTTTCAGACGAACAAACAGCCTGGGCTCATTCAGCTGTGATCCTACGATAAAACAGATAATGTAGTTAATTATGTTTGTTTTTTTCCCAGCAGTCTTTGTGCTTTGAGCGCGGTAAATTGCTCTCCCTCTCCTACGTGGCGCCTTTTCTCAGACTTCCTCAGGTGAGACTGCAGTAACAAACATTCTCAGGTGTGTGTCTCGACAGCAGGCAGTAAATGTAAACAAAGGTCTCTGTCTGTTTCCTGTTTCCTGTTTCAGGACCCTCGATCGTCTGGAAGACTCCTTATTGCAAAGACTCGATCTGGTTCCGTCTCCGGGTCAACAAGTCCTCCCAGTCCCCCCAGAACAGGTCAGTCACCATGAAAATGAACAAATACGTTTGTACATTCAACATGATGAGAAGTTCAAAGTGATGCTGATGTCGTTTGGAGGTCACATGACCTCCTGGTTGTGCTTCACTCACTGCCTCAGCTCCTGATTGGTCGCCTCAGCCCTCGTCTTTATTCTTCTTCACACCTGACTCCACCTGTGAGACCATCCTGAACGTCCCCGAATCATTGGAGAACTCCCGATGTAACGCCATTTCCCCTGACCTCTGACCCCGACCCTGTGATGTCACATGATATGTGGTCATCTCGGTGGACTCGAACGATTCTCCCTCTCCCTGAGTCAGTTTGCTGTAACCCGCCGCACTGCAGCCGCTCGGCAGGCTCCGCCTCCTGCAGGGCGGGGCCGGTGTGGGGGAGGAGGAAGTCAGGAGGTGAGACAGGGAGGAGAGGGACAGGTGAGAGGGGGTGAGGGAGGAGCAGGAGAGCAGGAGCAGGGCCTGGGAACCTTCTGGTGCCCCCTTGTGGAGACTGGAAGAAGCTGCTGAGGAGTGGGCGGGTCTGGGCTGAGGGGGTGTGGAGGAGTCCAGAGGAGGTGGAGAACCTGGATAGACTCCCTCCTCCTCCTCCTGTCTGTGGTCTTCTCCCTCCATCCTCTGCTCCTCCTCCTCCTCTCCTGAGCCCCAGGCCCGGCTCGTCCCCTCCCGCGCTGAGTGCCTCCTGCGGGGGAAGGAGGGTCGTGGGCGGCGCAGCGGTAAGGTGAAGGAGTTGAGAGTGTCCCTCTGGAAGGAGGTCCAGCAGGTGGAGGGGCGAGGAGGGCTGAAGCTGGGGGGGAGGGAGTGTCTGTCCGAGGAGGAGGAGGGCGGAGAAGGAGTCTCCTGCCTCTCCTGGTAGATACTGAACACACCATCTCCTTCGTCTCCATCACAGGCCCCGCCTCCTCCTCTGTTGCTGCCAGGTAACAGCTGTCTGGTGGACAGTCCACCACCTCCGTCCCCTGGCCCCTCCCTCCTGCTCTTCAGGGAGGCGGGGTATGCTCTGGGTTTGGTCTCCAGGCTCTTTGATTGGACGTAGTTGATGAGGCCGTTGAGGGGGTTGGAGGAAGTGGCGGAGGAGGCGTTGGGTTTGCGGAGGCTGTGGAGGTCGATGACGGTGGAGTAGATGTCCCGCAGGTTGATCACTTTGGTCTTCTTGTCGCGGTTCTCATGCAGGACGGCGTTGGCGCAGATGAAGAGGAATATCCCGATGCCCATGATGAGAGGACCGAAGACCTTCAGCCTATCAGAGTACAGGTACCTACAGACAGGTGAGACAGACATCCAACAGTTAGAGCAGCACAGGTGGAGAGTTCAGCTGAAGACTCTGAGACGAGTTCTCTCCGTGTGTTTGCCCCGTCTGTGGTCTTCTGCCGAGGACTGACCCCCGAAATACCTCCAGAATCTTCTACAAGACCCTTTGAAGGACCCTGAGAACCATGAGATACCATGAAGACACGAGTTTAACCTCATGACCCATGACCACATCTGAAACAAACCAGGTTCAAGGACTATGAGATTCTGGGGGAACCTGAAGATCAGCAAAAGAAGAAGAACATGAAGAACGGTGGACAGAACCATTGTTGGTCCTACATCTACTCAAAGGTGTTTTACCTGTCCAGAAAATCCTCCAGGAAGCTCTTTTGAAGCCGTCCAATCGTCCCGTTGACATTTTCTGTTTGGTTAAAACCGAACACTTCTCTTTCTTCATCTCCTCCTCCTTCTTCCTCCCCAGATCTACTGGGTTCCTCATCTCCATCCTTTCCCGTCTGTCCCTCCTGGAACCGGACAAAGGTCGATGAAAAGAAAACAAACAAACACCTGATTCTTCTCCGTGACATCTTCTACAACCCTATTTCTCAGAGACGTTCACCTCTCCACCATCAGACCTGCTCTGGTTTTCATGCTCTCACCTGAAGGTCTGCAGGATCAGGTGTTGAGCCTCCTGAAGACACCGAGGCCATGGCGGTGCCCTCTTGTGGTCGAGTGCTGAAGAACAGTCCATCTCGAGGCCAGTAGCCCAGAGCGGCCATGACTCCGCCCACCAAAAGGACGAGGATGCCGAGCGCCGCCACGAGACCAGAAACAGAGAACAGCTTCAGCTTCCCCTTCACCACCACCACCTCGCTCCTCCTGGGGGACAGGAAGTGACATCATTCTGTACTGATATCCCCAAAGGTATGTCCATGTGTGTGTGTGTGTGTGTGTTACCGTTTCTTCTTGTTCCTCTTCTTGTGTGGGTGTGGTTTTTGTGTCTTGTTCTTCAGCGAGTCCTGACGCCGCGCGTTGATTCTCAGGAGGCCGCCGGTTGCAATCATCGCCAACGACTAATCAGACGGCGGCTCAGGGGACGAGGCCCCTCCCACCACCAACTCACCTGGACTCAGTCACCCGCCCCCTACAGGTGAGAGAGAAAGAGAGAGAGAGAGAGAGAGAGAGAGAGAGAGGTAAAAGAGGCTGAAATACTGTTTTTGTGAGAAAAATCAAAACGTTGCATTAATGATTGTTATTATGATTATTGATCGAGTCATTATGTTAAAGATGTTATTGATCCATCAGTCAGTATTTGTTTTTTTTAACTAACCAATACGACACAAGATTATATTGATAAGGTTTTTACGAAGTGTTTGAATATTTCAGCTTCTCGTTCAAATGATCGAATCCTGTTTCTTCTTTAAACCCTGAGAGACCTGAGAGCTTCAGGGACTACATCTCCCAGAATGCCTTGCAGCTCCTCCACAGGACAGCCTGACTGGACTCTACCCTGCATCCATCCACCTCTGACAGTCATCAATACTAACCAGGTCTGATCAATACTGATTTACAAAGATAAATATCGATCAATACAAATCGAGATCATTCCAATTCTTTCAGCTGCAGAACATGTGATCAACACAAATCAATACACCGCTGCAGAACTGATCAATACTAATCAATATTGATTAATAAAACCGAGGACAGAGGGAGTCAAGGGTGTGTTTGATGAATATTTGTGATCTGATGTTTGGTTATTGATCTGATTGGACTGCAGTGATGATCAGCTGCTGCATCTGCGTATTGATCAGTATCAGCAGAATTTATACACAAACCAGTCAGAGCTGCAGACAATTGATCAGTTCAGTTAGACAGCCATCAATGACGGGGCGCAGAACGCCAACAGAACACCAGCATGACAACAACAGAACACAACAGAACCCGACAGAACACAACAGAACCCCACAGAGCACAATGGAACCCAACAGAACCCTATAGAACACGATAGAACACAGTAGAACACAGTAGAATTCAGTGTTTTCTTCTTACTGTTTGAGCTCTTCATGGTTCTCCTCTCTCCTCCTCTTCTTCATCGTCCTCATCGTCTCCTCCATCTGCTGCAGCTCCAACGATTCCTCCTCTTCAAACGTGTCCTCCCCTCATCCTCACCTCCTCCCTCTGCCTCTCTCTCTCTCTCTCTCTCCCGCCGTGAACCTCTCTCCACCGCTTGTTTCTCTGCAGTGATAGCAAGTGAAAATGTAGAGAGACAGAGACAGAGGGAGAGAGAGAGAGAGAGAGAGACAGACGGAGAGAGAGAGGGAGAGAGACAGAAAGGGAGAGAGACAGACGGAGAGAGAGAGACGGTCAGTTCAGTTCAGAGACGGTGAAGTTTTATTTTTTTATCCAGAAATATAAAATTAACAGAAATTTCCTCCTTTAACTGTCCATCTATCAGCTGTCTGTCCTCCTTCACGTCTGTCTTTCTCTCTGTCCTCCTGTCTCTTTTACTTTTGTCCTTTCATCAGCCTCTTATCTGTCTGTCTCTCCTTCCTCTTGTTTGTCCTTCTACCTCTTTACCGTCTTTGTTCTCTCCACCTGTCCTTTTTATGTCTTTCTCTCTGTCCTCCTGTATTCTGCTCTGTCTTGTAACCTGTCCTTTTTGTCCATCTGTCCTCTTGTCTTCCTCTGTTTCCCTGTCTCTGTCTGTCTCTCTCCTTCCTCTTGTTCGTCCTTCTATCTTTCTTTTCTGTCCTCTTGTCTTCCCCGTCTGTCCTCAGTCTGTCTTTCTTTGTCCTTCTGTTTGTTTCTATCTTCATGTCTTTGTGTCCTCCTGTCTCTCTGGGTTGGGGATGTTGATTCTGGGATGTTGCTGTTGCTAGGCAACAGAGGCAGAGCAGCCTGGTGGTGTTTCTGTGTAAACGCTCTCTGAGGACGTTTGTCCCCGCTGAGCCTCCGTACACCGGACACCGATCACAGACGCACGCACTGACCTGCTGGGAATTCTGGGTAAATCAGAGACAAAGTGATGAGACAAGCTGAACCTGTAAACGGCGTCAACACCTCACTCCTTACCTGTACAGGTGAGGAGAGAAAATGAACCAATCAGAGAGCAGCACTCGGTTCAGAAACTTTATTGATCCTCAAACACTGACAGGAAGTGAATAAACATCAGCTGATAGTAGAAACAGGAAAATGATGTGTGACATCAGGAGCTGTTGCCATGGAAACCTGAGGAGTTGTTGTTGGTACAGACTGAACGTGTGCAGCAGAGCGCCCCCTGCTGACCAGGTGGAACTCTGTGTTCAGATCTGTCGCGTGTAAATCCAGCAACAGGCTGAGCAGTGACATCACCGGAAAGGGGGTGGGGCCAGAGTGAAAGGGTTGTGGGTTTGAATCCCTGCAGCAAGGTTACAGATATATATATATTTATATATATTTACATGTTTTTATAAGTTTAAAGATAATCTTAATATTTAATATAAACTTTAAGATAGAAACGAGTAGAGAAACAGTAGAAACAAGTCAAACTAAAAATATAAACTCTAACATCAGGAGAGGGTTAAAGACTCTCTGTTCTACACCTGCCAATCACAGCGGAGGAGGCGGGACCTTTAGATGATGTCATCAAACAGAAAGGGGGTGTTGAACAGGAAGTGACTGAGCCTGACGATACGAAGTCTAAAGAGGAAAGTCCTGAGAGGGATTGATGACATGATCGATCCGACACAAAAGGGGCGTGGCTTAGAGTAGCTGTGCACAAGCCTCAGCCAATGAGGGTGAGAATAAATACGAATTTATTCGAATATTTACGAACTGACTTTGGTGTTTGATCCTCTAATGTTTAGGTAAAAAAAATATACAGACTCTCTCACGCCTCCTGGTGGAGACAGATAACCCTAAATCTAAGCGAAAGTGTTCCTACCCCTAATTTCCACCGCATCCGGAACGGCTCCGATCCAGAATGGCGGTGATTTTCACCGTCCGCCAATTCCTACCGGATCTGTTTCTACACGGGTTAATCTGTGCTGAATTTATCCGCCATGCTCCGGCGTCTGGAAAAAATAGAACTCTTGTGATCAGCTGAGGAGTCCGGCGATCCGCAGAGGAACGGAAAGAAGTCGGTGTAAATTGACACGTTAACTTGAATGGTTACGATCAGCTGCGATCGGAGGATACGACCTTTTCGTCGCCGTTCCGGATGCGGTGGAAGTTGGGGGTTTGTGGCTCTTTAAGCATGTCTTGACTTGATTTGATCAGCTCATACGAACACCTGAGATTATTGATCAGTGTGACGTGGGGGATGTTTATCTATAAAATAACCGGATGGAAAAATAAGCCCCTCCCATAGGTCAAAGGGGGAGGGGCTAGTTAACTATAGGGCTTTAATCAAGGATGTTTTATTGACAGTTCTCAGGTGTTACAGCCTGTGTTTGTAATTGGTTCCCATTCTTAGTTTGTGATTGGTTCTTGTCCTCAGTGTGTGATTGATCTCCTTCCTCAGTATGTGATTGGTTATTGTCCTCAGTGTTTAATTGAGTCCTGTCCTCAGCATGTGATTGGTTCCTGTCTCCAGTGTGTGTTTGGTTCCCCTCCTCAGCGTTTGATTGGTTCCTGCACTCAGCGTGTTTGAACATCAGGATAGAGTTGTAGATTTTGAGGGCGGGACCGAGTTTGATCGACATGATCCTGACGATGTCCCTTTGGGTGAGTAGAAGGAAGGCCCGCCCATCGATTTGCTGTACAGACAGAGGCAGGAACCAATCAGATCACAGACTGCTGAAAGTAATGTCACACATGTCAGAGCAGCTGGTTGATTGGCTCACCTCTTCTCTGAACTGTTTGGCCTGATCCTCACATCCAGGAAGAGACTCGATGAAGTCTGACACCTAGGAGGAGTAGGAGATGGACAGGTGTCACATGGTGGGGTGGGTCAGCGGGAAAACGCCACCTTCCTAAAAACGGACCACCTGTACCCACCTGTTGGACGCTCCACTGTTTGACAGACTCGGCCTGGACTCCGAGGACGCCGGGCAGCAGTTTACGGTGTTGTTCCCAACAGAGGGACAGGTCACGACCCGGCTGAGCTGACATCGCCGACAGAAAGACCGACTGATGAAGGGCGGCCTGTAGACTGGACTCTGACGGGTCAAAAAGGGACAGACGGGTCAGAAACACAGTTAACCCCAGAAGACTATCGCTGGGAGATTTACCCCCAACCAAACATGTTTACGTGATTTTCATTCTGTTGTGTTTGTCTGAGTATCACGGGTCTCTGGGTTTCTTCAGCATTTCCTTCGACATCTTTGAAGACAGATTTGTTTCCCTGATTTTCCAAAACCTGCTTTTTCCTACAGACACGTGTTCACAGGGTGATTTCAGTGATGGAGGGTAAAGAAGGTTTGGGTGGGTTTGACAGCTGCATGTAGAGAATAAGGTCAGTCAGAGCGGTCCTGGAGTTTACATGCTATCTTTATTTAGCTCAGTGGTTATGAATAACTATCACAAAGTCGTGATTTTCAAAGGAATTCAGATGGAATATTTGAGTCAGCCGGTCATTTTTACTCACTCCAAATCTGCAATGTTTTGGTTCTCTCCAGTGATGGGCACAGATGAACTGAATCACTAGAATCAGTTCACTCAAAAGATTCGTTCACTGAATCAACAAATCATTCAGCGCTTGGCGGGAGGAACCTGAGACTCTGACCTCCTGAACTGATTCACAGCTGAACGGTTCAGGATTCGGTTCAGATCAGAGCTTCTGGGACCGAGAGACGAGAGTGTTTGTCTGTGTTTCTTTGACAAACAGGTTTGTAAAAATGAACTTGTTTATAACTCATGATGTTTTTAGTGTACTGTCCTATGGTATGATATTTATCAGGTCTGCTCAGTAAATTGGGCTCAGTGATTCGTTCACTGAACATTTAGAAGAATTCAAACTGAACATGAACACTGAACATGAACCGTTCCCTCGCAAACCGCTGCACTGATAGGATGCTGCAGGTTTAATGCATGACATGTTACATGCTGTGTCCCATTGTATGAAAGTTTTTGTGGTGACAATTAAGCAATTAAATAAAAAAGTTTGTTTTGTCTGACAAAAATGATTCCAGAGAGTGCATGCGGTCCCTCGTTCCCCCTGCAATGCTTCGTTGCTTACAGCTCAACTTAAGTGAGAAACGAGCGAATCACTCGAGGAAGTGATTCCGTTCAGTACGTTTACTTATTTGGAATGAATTGTTTGCGAATGACACAACACAAGTTCTCTCTCCCGCAGCTGTTACTGTGCCAAGGTTTTAATATGTATATATGTATATATTTAGGATTTTTTTGTTGATGAAAGCCTAATTTCAGTTATTTTGTCACATTATTACATGGTCGCCTCATGGCACTTTTTTCCCTCCCTTTGGACATTACAGTTAAAAATAAAAGAAAACTACTTTAATTTGTCATGTTTTGTCCTGGTGTTACTAACTTAAGAGATATTGTTCTGGGGTTAAAGGACAGACAGACAGGTCAGAGAGAGACAGACAGGTCTAAGACAAAAGACAGGTCAGTATAAGACAGACAGACGGGTCATAGACTGCCGAGTCAGCTCTTCCTCAGTGCTGACTCGGCAGGAGACCTTTAGAGACCCCTGTCTCACTCCCCTCGGCGGTGAGACAGGTCTGTGTGATCAGGAGGAGCTGCGGTCCTCTGCACAGATCACAACAGACACTGCGGTAACTATGGTGAGCTGTTTCCATGGAAACAGCCACTTCATCTGCAGACTGTCTCCATGGAAACACACTGAGGTAAAGTAGAGGAGTGTAAGTTTGAAGAAGTGACCCTCTCTGATGTCATCATGGATGGTCACATGGTGTCAGTTGGACTCAGGTGTGCTGGTCCAGGTGTCTGTCTGTCTGTCTGTCTGTCTGGGGTCTAATGGAGGTCGTTCTTCCTTCTCTTCAGCAGTGACACCAAAGAAGAAGAAGAACATCCTGCCGTCTCCCCCTGCTGGCCATGAAAAGAAATAAAGGTGTGGTCTCGGGTACCTGGACCAAGATGAAGCTCCTCCTCTTCCTGTTTCACACGGAGTAGTTTAGTAGGCTGGGAAAGTCTGTGGGCGGGGCCAGGAGAGAGAGGAAGTGATGTCATCATCAAAACACAGAAAATGAAACGAGATTGATCATTTCTCTTTGAACTTTGACCCCTTCTACATCCTCCAATAGAAAACAAGCAAAGAGCACCTGCGGATTCACACCTTTACTGAGGAATGTGTGTTTTCATGTGTGTGCGTTTGTGTGTCTTATATAATTCAGGTTTATATAACCTCCACAGATTATCTCCTCTTTAACACCCACACACACTTCACATGATCCTGTCGACTATTCTGAGCAGAGAGAGAGAGAGAGACAGGTCAGCCAATCAGAGACGCCCTTCAGCTACACCTGTCTGTCTCACCTGTCTGTCAGTCTGTCTGTCTCACCTGTCTGTCAGTCTTCTTTTTTTCCCGAGGGGCAGCAGTGATGGGTCCTTGGTTTCCATTTTCACCTTAACATTTTTACTTTTGGACAGGTTAAGAAAGACACACAGACAGTGAGACAGATACAGACAGGTAGACGGACACAGACAGGGGGTGGAGAGACACAGACAGGTAAGATACAGACAGTTAGACAGACACAGACAGGTAGGGAGAGACATGGACAGACAGAGAGAGTGGAAGGTCAAGTTACAAAGTTCGTTCATTACTTTTTGGTCTTAACTTTAGTTGAGGAAAGGATTGAAAATTTAATCATATTTTTTTTTTCAGGTGATTGAGTTACCTGTCTGACTGGTTGCCATGGTGATACACTGCGACAGGTACAAGGGTGACGGCCCTCTCTCCTCCCAGCCTATCGGGCAGCACCACCTCCTTACGCATGTTGATGTCTGAGTACGGACAGCCGAAGGCACTGTGAGGGACAGAAACATGACTCAGCAGGAAAAAAAACATGACTCAGCAAAAAAACTGAAACATCTTCCAGCTTTAATGCTACATTCTAGTTACCTCAGAACTAAGAAGGCGGAGCTAAAAATGATGTCATACCTGAGTTCCCAGCATTTCAGTTACGAAGTCGGAAAAAAGCAAAATCGGAGGGGGAAACAAGATGGCTAAATCTACGAAAGTTATTTTAGCACTTGCCTTGTCGGAATATAAGGCAATTGCTAAAATAACTTTCGACTTGGTAACTGAAATGCTGGGAACTCGGGTGTGACGTCATTTTCAGCTCCGACATCTGACTTCCAAGGTAACTCAAATGCAGCATAAGAAACATGATTAAGCAGACATAAAGATCGGAACATGACTCAGCAAAATGAAAGATGATATGACACGGGAAACAAAATTATAGTTTGGCAGATCAATGACTCGACAGAAATATTTAGTGTATCAGACATACACATGACTCTGCAGGAAGAAAAGAGGCCAAAAATAAGACTGAGCAAATATAAACATGACCTGGCAGAAACATTCCCCAGAAGAAAAACACGACTCAGCGAAAATACAGATGACACAGCAAAGAGAGCTCTGACTGCAGACAGCCTCCTGACTCAGCAGATGTTTCCTTACCTATGGTGTCCCGTGTATTTGGCTCCTTTAATGTGTCCGACACCTCTGCACCCGAAGGTGGGACACACAACCTGAGAGGGGGAGGAGAGGGGGGAGGAACCTGTCCCACACACAGAGGGGAGACAGACACAGTGTTAGAGTCATCGTCTATCCTGTCTGTCTGTCTGTCTGTCTGTCTGACCCGTCTCTCTGACCTGGGGGTGGTTCCAGGGGGTGTCCAGTGCGTTGACACCAGCCGACAGGATGGAGGTCGCTGTGGTCGCTGTCAAACCACACGTCAAACTGCTGCGACCAGCTGTCATAGTGCACCTGCGGGAAAACACACCTGGTTACATCATCACAGACGTCGTGACATCACAGTGGACAGACGGACAGCCTCACAGTACCTTCACTCTGTAGTCTTCTGTATCTGTTACCGTGGCAACTCGGACCAGCATGGGGTTCCGCCTGTCGACCGCCTCCAGCCTGTGGTTCACCTGGAAACCATGAGGGGCTCTCTGATTGGACAGGAGCAGAAACGCAGCCGTCAATGTTTAAATTCAGCTCTCTGATTGGACCACAAAGCTGTCAATCATTTTAAAGCTGAAGGGCCGGTCTTCACCCTGATTCTCTATAGGCTTGTTTTTCTTCTGTATGTCTCACACGTTTCCTTTTCTATATTCATGTATCCTTCTCTACCTCCTTGATTCCTTCTATACCTTTTTTTTCCTTCTCTTCCTCTTTGTTTCTTTCTTTATCTCCTTGTCTTTCTCTCTTCCGTCCTGTTTTCTTTCCTACCTCTGCATTTCATTCTCCCTTCAACAGTTTCCATCCCTACCTCATTGTTTTCTTCTCCTTCTCCCTGTTTCCTTCCTTATGTTTTCAATAGTCTTACTATTTCCTTCCCTTTGTCCTTGTCTATCATTTTACTCACTATTTTCTTCTTCTTCACCTCCTTGTTTCCTTCTCTCATCCCCGTTTACTTATCCTGCTCCCTTAGTCCTTCCCTGTTTCCTTGTTTTCTCCACTATCTACTTGTTTTTTGCTGTTACTTTTCTTCAGTTTCCTTCCGTCCTTGTCTTTCTCCTTGTTGCCTTATTTACCTTCCGATTCCTCCTCATCTCCTCCCGTGTCTCCTTATTTCCTTACCTGTGTGAAAGCTGAACTGGGAGCAGCCATGGAACCAGTTTCCTGTAAATACTCCTCCCACACGAAGCTCTCTGGGTGAGGATGTCCTAAACAACAACAGAACCTGAAGTCATTATGGTTGTTTATTCTACAGGGTTGGTGAATCCTTAAAGGGATATTCCGACATAGAATTAGTTTAGGGTCAAACACAAACACAAATATCCCTTTAATACTGTGTGGACTGTGTGTAGTACCCTGAGGTGCAGTCAGGGGGCGCCCCTGTTCCTCACACCAGCCCACAGGATGGATGTATGGACTGCTGCTGTCACACCTGGCGAACACAATCACACCTGATCAGTGCGGGTCCTGTCTCATACAAACACAGTGTGAACTCCTCTAGCTCCCCCTGCTGCTTACTCTCATAACTACACCTTATACTGCAGCAGCAGAGTGACTAATATTAATACTCTGTGTATCTATAAGTCTGAAACTCGGTCATTTTCCAAAACAAGACTAAACTAACTGGTGCCAATCAATGTATGAAGTGTTACATGGCTTTTACTTTGAAAGGACTCATACAGAAAAGCTTTTAATGTGGTGGCTCGCACTGAACAACAACAATAAACTATTTCCTGTATCGAACTCCATCACGTCAGAAAAGATGCCGCCATGAAAGTCAAGTCTGTACCTAAATACAGACATCATGTGTTTGATAATCACACTTCCTCTAAGATAACACAGTTACCTGTCCACCTGTCTGTCTTTCTATCACCTGTCTGTCTCACCAGTAGTCGTACGTGTCGTCCCAGTTGTCAAAGTGAACCAGGAAGTGGTCGTCCATGACATCGGCGACAGAGGCCACGCAAACAAGCCCGGGGTTCTTCTTGTCGACGGCCTCCAGCTTCATCCCCACCCTGAACCCGCAGCTCTGAGGGACAGACAGGTGGAGAGACAGACAGGTGAGACTGAACCTGCGGCTCTGAGAGACAGACAGGTAGAGAGACAGATTTATACTGACTGCAGTGTGACAGGTGAACAGAGTGGGCGGGGCAGCCTGAGAGCTCGTGGACTGAAGATAAGTCGGCCAATCAAAGTCCTTCTCACTCTGACCTGGAGAAAAAGAGAGAGACAGGTGATTGGTCATCGTCTCTGTCAGGAGGTTTCAGAGGGGGACAGGTCGACCTGCTCTTACCTTTGGGGGGGGCGAGCTTGTGGTTTTTGTCTTTACACCAGCCTGCGGGTCTGATGTGGGCGGAGTCAGCATTTACCCAGAAGTCATAGCACTCCGAGTACCCATCAATGTGGAGCCGCAAACGAAAGCCAATCACCTGATAGAGAGACGAGAGGGACCATGTGAGTGTGAGAGAGTGTGTGTGTGTGTGTGTGTGTGTGTGTGTGAGTGTGTGTGTGTGTGTGTGTGTGTGTGTGTGCGTGTGTGTTACCTCAGCCACTGTCAGCACACAGAACATGGAGGGGTGCAGCGGATCGACACCCTCCAACTTCATCCCCACTTTAAAACCAGACCGCTTACCAGGAAAGGACTGGGACTGAGAGAGAGAGAGAGAGAGGGAGAGAGAGAGAGAGAGAGAGAGAGAGAGAGAGAGAGAGAGAGAGAGAGAGAGAGAGAGAGAGAGAGGAGAGAGAGAGAGAGAGAGAGAGAGAGAGAGAGGGAGAGAGAGAGAGGGAGAGAGAGAGAGAGAGAGAGACTTTAAACAGGTCTGCATAACAAAAATAAACTAAATCATGATTTCATCACTTTATTCAAAAAAGTTTTTTATTATTTTCATCGAAGTGTTGAAGCCTGGAATCGTCAGGTACCTTTGTATAATATACGCTGAGTTTAATCTAAGTAACAACAAAAAAGTACAATCTAACTGCAGTTTATATAAGAGATATTTATTACTAATGTCAAAGTTTTGTTTTTAAAATCAGGGATCACTGAAATTAATTCTGTTATATTTGATCACACCTGACATCTCAGCCGACAATCACCACAAAAACTTCAATCATCGACACAAACTCTGCTCAGCAAATCACAAGGAGTGTGTGTGTGTGTGAGTGTGTGAGTGTGTGTCTGAGTGTGTGTGTGTGTGTGTGTGTGTGTGTGTGTGTGTGTGTGTGTGTGTGTGTGTGTTTGTTTGTGTGTGTGAGTGTGTTACCGGTGTAAACAGTGAGAGAGGAGCAGCTTCAGCTTTCTGTTCGTTCAGGTACTGCTGCCAGGACCAGGACCGCCTCTTGACGCTTACTGCACACAAACACAAACAACACCACACAAAAACACACACACACACAAGTTTTTGTACACTTCAGTGTCAGTGTTTGTGTATTTTAATATGAGTTTGTAAAGTTTAATGTCAATGTTTAAAAACTTTGATGCCAGAGTTTGTAAAGTTAAGTGTTTTATGAATTTATTGAAAAATATTTAAATATTCAGTTTTTAAAAATGTTTTCTCTCTTAGTCCTCATGAATGATTTAATGTACACAACTATAATAACAAGAGTGATGTGTGTGTGTGTGTGTGTGTGTGAAAGCTACCTTGAGTGCTGCTGACTTTGTTCTTCATGTTCTTCTTTGGTTTTTGCAGATGAGGTGTGAAGGGGTGAATGTACGGCAGCCCGGAGGAGTCAAACAGGCCCTCAGCACATATTTAGACTGTTAACACCTGAGACACACACACACACACATACACACACACAATAAATAAGCTGAATTTCTGACACAGTATTTTCGTAGGTTTACAGTCTGACACCGTGTGATTTACAGGCTGTAGTTTGATTAATTAACATTCTGACTCACTGTAGTTCGTTACGTTTACAATCTGAAATGTTATTAACAGATTAACAACAGCCTGTAACTTCAGTTTGAAAGGAGACGGTCTGGTACCTCACAGTTGGTCAAGTGTTTGGTCTGTCATGCTGTGGTTTGTGAAGTTTACAGTCCGACACGCTAAAGAACGGCGATTCTTCAGTCTGAGACGCTGCAGTTTTAAAACTCTGTCATCTAAACAGATGTAGTTTGATTAATGTGTTAGACTGTAAAATGTTGTGTCTTTGACAGTGTAGTTTGATAAGCTTAGTGTCTGAAGGAAAAATCTCGAGTCATATACGCTGTAGTTTGTACAATTAACAGTCGGATAAACTGTAGATTGAAAAATTAACAGGCTGATATGCTCTGGTTTTTAATATATACAGTCCTATGTGCTGTAATTTGTAAAATTTAGTCTAATATCCTGTAGGTTCTGTAAAATTGACAGCCTGATAAACTGTGGTAGAGTGTACAGTCTGATATACTGTAGTTTGTTAAGTTTACAGACTGGTATACCGTAGTTTGTAAAGTTTACAGACTGATATACTGTAGTTTGTTAAGTTTACAGACTGATTAACTGTAGTTTATAACGTTTGTGATGCTGTAGTTTGTTAACGTTCCTCCTGCAGCTCCAAACAAAGCGACAGAACAGTCTAAGACTGTTCGTCTTCTGTCAGGCGACTTTTAACGATGTGATGACTTTAAATGTGAAAGGTTGCTGGTTTCTGAGCTCAGTCAGGACAATCTTAATTAGTTACCATGGTGACACAGTTGTTTAGTTATATTTCATATTTACAGAGTCTTCAGGTCAGTCATTACTCAGTCATTTATGCGCTCATGTTTAACTTCACATTCTTCCTTATTATTCCTGGTCCATCTTTGTAAATCTACTGTAAATGTTTCTTCTATGACATTTTCACATAAACTACAGATAAAGATGACTGTGTTGGAGTAAAAATACTCAGTTTAGTACAGTAAAAATCCTTGATTAAAGTAGAATTACTTTGAAAGTTCAGACTCTTCATCAGGCTCAGATGGACAGGAACCAGAACCTTCTGGACTGGTTCTGTGGATGATCGACCTAATTCGTGTTTCCGTCTTTTCTGACCCGTTTTCTCTCGTGTTGGGTTATCTGGGTCATTATCTAAACTCTTATTGTGAAGGTCCGAGCGGAACTTTGACAGCTGACAGGTTGAATCAGGAAACAACAAACAGCGAGATCCCGGCGGTGATCCGTGGCTCACTCAGCCGGCCTCCGAGCCCCTGAACGCGGCCTCAGCAGAAGCAGAGAGCCGCTGAGAGGCTCCGGAGACCCGGGCGGAGAGAGGTCCGCGGGGTCGGCACCGGAACCGAGCGTTTTAACCGAACTCACCGTGTGTGACGATCCTCCCCACTGTGCTGACAGCTCCACAACACGGAAATAACGAAGCAAAAGCTCACTGCGCATGCTCCCTGTCAGGAGGAGCGAGAGACAGAGAGAGAGAGAGAGTGAGGGAGAGAGAGCGAGAGAGAGAGAGAGAGAGAGAGAGAGAGAGGTTTTCACTGATGTAAAGTTATTATTATGTGTTATGAATTGATAATGTCCTGCTACGCCAATAAAAGTTAAACTGAATTGAAAAAGAGCGACGCTCTCATCCCTCAGGTTGTAGGTTCAGGGGTCAGTGTCAGGTCCTGCGGTCCACACACTGAGGGGTCCTTTGGAAACAGACTTGACCCCCAGTCTGCCCCTTCTGGCTGTGTTCGGTGTCCTCTGAATGGCATCACTTAAAGGGATATTCCTGCGTAAAATTAATTTAGGGTCAAACACTACGTAACACCGAGTTAGACCCAGAGGTGAATGTTGTCGACCGCTTCCTTCTCTAGTTATACCAACTTTAGTAACGACCGCAGGATAGAAATACAGAGAGCCACGCCCTCAACCAAAACGCCACTCTATAGCCACAAATAATGCTCAGAACAGCACCTAACTTCATCAACAGGACATATAGGGTCACAGTCATAGTACTAGACACCAAACATCTTTTTAACTTTGACTCATTTCTTTAGCAAAGAGACTAAACACAACTCACCTACTCTCTTCCAGCAGCCGCTTGTTTGTAGGGAGACCTCAGGCCAGTCCATTACGGACTACAGCGGGGTGACGCAGCTCAAGGAAGAACATTTATAATCAATGGGTTCTTTACACAGAAGCCTCCATCATTGTTGTGTGAATGTGTTATAAATGGTTGAATGTGGTCTGTAATGGTCAGAAGACCAGAGGAAGAGCTGAACCACCAGAGTCCCTTCATTTACAACGAGCTGTGTTCACTCTGGGCTTTATTAACCATGAAGGTTCATGACTTCTGTCAGTGTTTGATTTATAACACAGAAACTGTAATATTTAATATGTGCTATATCTACTGTGGACTTAGTTTACAGTTGACCATACTCAATATGGACTAAGTTCACTTAGAGGGTTTAGTTTACAGTCCCTCATGTTTACAGTTGGTCACGTTTACTTTGGACCATGTTTATTCCGAATCGTGCTGGTCTCAACCATGTTTACGCTTGGCTCTGTTTACAGCCGCCTTTGTTAACCATGTACTTGGTTTACAGTCAGACATGTTCACTGTGGGCTTTGCTCCTAGTTAACCATGTGACCTGTGGGCCCTTCTTTCAGTTGTCCTTTCTAACTGTGGACTTTGTTTACAGTTGACCTTGTCTACTCTGAACTAGTTTACCTTGGTACATGTTATTGAGGGGCGTTGTTTATACTGTTGGTATTGTTTATCATCATCCCTGTGCTTTGTTTACAGTTGACCATGTTTTCCATGATCGATAATGTAAAGTATTTTTTGATTTCATATTGATCGATATAGTTTATTTACATACTGTCATGTTCAGCCTGCATGCTCAGTGATAGTAACATTTCCCCTTATATTCCATAGATGCTAAGCTATGCTAACAGTTTCCCCATGCAGTCAGCATGCTATGCTAACAGGTGATGGATCAATCTGACTTTGGGACAAACAGCTGAGGTTTCATTTCTCCATCACTCCCAGTGGGTCCAGCTGCTCTTCTTTTCTGAAACCCCCTTACCACGCACTCACACACACACCCACACCCACACACACACATGCACACACACACACACACACACACACACACAGTCCCCTCCTCTCTGCGGCCCCTCCCCCTCCACCCTCCGTCTCTACACACAGACCACGGCAGCCGGACTGATCGGAGGTGAGTTTGTTTCTTCATGATTGATAATACATTCTTGATATCATATTCAGATGATAATTCTTATTGATCAGGGAAATATGGATCATGTTGTGTTGATGGTGTCTGTATTGGCTTGTATATTGATGAGTATTGATAGTTGACTGATAATGAGGGGATGAGATTGATAACCAATGATGCTGAAAGATTGGAGGTGCACTGACTCAGATAAAAATCATGTTCCCTGATTTTCTCTGTCCGGGATGTTGTCTGGGTCTGGGTCTGGGTCTGGTCCCGGTCTGGTTCAGTCTAATAGTGTGTATATTGGGATTGGATCAGATCTTTAGGTCAGATCCTGATCAGACTCATATCAGCTCAGAAAAGCTGACTCAGAGGAATATCTAACCTGCAATAATCAATAATAAAATGGGGATTTAATTATCTAGTTATCCACAGTTTTGGATCCTAACGGGTCTGATTGAAATCTGGATCCCTCTCTGGATTTAAACTTTGTGGACATGACAGCACTCAGTCCAAACTCTGACCGTCAGACGGTAATACATCCTTTATTTGTTTATTTCAAATACAGAATTAGCCTGAAATTTAATGTTTCATTCAGCAGGAACTCACACACAGGCTGAAGTACACTCTGACACACACAAACAGGATCTTATATGAACATGCACTAATGGAGAGGAGCAAAGTGAGGGGGCTGCACACACAGAGAGACGCACGCCCAGCGCTAAAGGCTTCAGGAACCTCAGGAGCCCAAAGGAGGTGAACTAGCACCTCCTCGGATTGTAGACCGTAGCATTGTTCTGTCAGACTGTAACTTTCACCTTTCAACTGCAACATTACACTGTCGCCTGAATTATTACACCATCAAACAGTAACCTTTAAGATACTAAGATAACTGTCCAAACTGTCAGACTGTAACTTTCAAATGCCAAATCTGTAACATGGCACTGTGTGACTGTAACCTTTGGAATGTCGGACTGTTACATTACAGTGTCAGACTGTAACAGTGTAACATTACACCGTCGCCCTGTATTATCACACCATCAGACTGTAACTTTTAACTGTCAGACTGTGACTTTCAAATGCCAAAAACTGTGACATTAAACTGTGTGACTGTGACTTTGGAATGTCAGACTGTAACATCACCCTGTCAAGTTACTTTTTAATGTCACACTCTTACTCTGCACTATCAGACTGTAGCAGTAATCTGTCTGACTGTAACATTATACTTTCATACTGTAGGAGTTACTATGAATCTGTTTCATTCTATTGTTACAATGTCACATTGAGACCGTTCCACTTACTGTAGGACTAGAACGTATCACTTTCAGACTGTAACATTCTACAGTCTGTCAGAGTTATGTTGAAATAAACAATAAAACATTAAAATTAAGTGTCAGTGTAACCGCCTGACTGTGAAACGTTACAGTCTGAATGTAAAGTCACAGTAGGAAGTTAATTATCAGTCTGAAAATGTAACTTCGCAGTCTCAAAGTAAAATATTGCAGTATGAAAAAAGTATAAAGTAAATAAAGTTATAATCTTTAAGCAAATGTGACAGCCTGACAGTGTAACTTTACAGTTTAACAATGTAACATTACAGTCTGAATGTAAATGTAACAGCCTGTCAGTAGATGTAACACTCTGATGTTGACATGTTACAGTCTGACCTCAAAGGAAACATAGAACATTATAACATTAAATGTAACGGTCTTTTAGTAAATGTAGTTTTCTGATATGTAACAGAACAGGAAACTGTTACAGTTTTACAGTAAATGTAAAAGTCAGCAGCGAAACAAACTGATAGTCAAAAATATACTCAGTGAACCTTTACAGTCTAATGGTTTAATTAATAGTTTGTATCCTGCTTAAGGAAGCTCGTAAAGTCGTTACTGTCTCCCATCAGCGAACTAAAGCTAGCCATCACGTAACAGTTAGGGCCGACTGTTAGCATGGTGAGGGTCCATCTTTGTCCACGTGTTGGCCCATGACGGTTCATCTGATCTGGATCTGACACTTAGGGTCCATCATCGATCGACCCTGAAGATCACGTAAACGTCAGAGTCCAAACTGAACCAGACGTCTTTATATTTACGTCAAAGTTAAAAGGTTGAAAGTAAATTTATGTGGGATAAACAATAATAACTGAGTTAAACAGAACCAGGAGTGAACCCTGCAGGGCTCTGTGCACTTTTCCTGAGCTTTAACGTCTCTGCAGGAAGAATAACCAGGTCAGATTACCGTCTGAGGACCTGAGTGAAAACACCCCCCCTCTAATCAACAAACCATTTCCTCCTAATGGACGCAGAGCAGCTAACGTTAGCCTGAGCATCCCACTCTGAGGTCTCCTGAGAACCAGAACCATTAACACACACACACACACACACACACACACACACACACACACACACACACACACACACACACACACACACACACACATACAGATCAATATTTAATGTGAGCTCAGCCGTAAGAAGAAAACACCAGAAGAGAAAACAACAAACAGAACCTGAGATTTTTATAATCTGACTTTATTTGCTGGTTCTGAACCACAAACTCTGATCACATGACCAATGACATCATGGACAGGTAAAGAACACACCTGAATGGCGTTGGTTTGATCAGGTGGTAGAGCGAATGTACAGAGATTTCATCCTCTTACCTTAAGCAGTGGTCACGGGTTCGATTCCCACACAACTTCTCCTCCTTCTCTCCTGTTTCTCTTTTTCTCATTTGAGTTTGACCCCAATAATCAAAACAAAATAAGTCAAAGGAAATAAAATCTTAGTAATCGGTATATTTTACATCTGACAAAAATTCATTATTTTAAATTTGATGTTCATAGCAGAGAAACTTTGCCGTTTATTCACCTCTGATGTTTATTAACATTGTCACCTAGCACTCTGACATCACAGCCTGCTCCGCTGTGATTGGCCGGGAGCTACAGTATATGAATTTATGCTGCGTTCGAGTTTCCTCAGAAGTCAGATGTTAGAGCTGAAAATGAGTTCCCAGCGGTTCAGTTACCAAGTCGTAGAAAAGCAAAATCAGTGGCCTGAGACAAGATGGCTGCATCTACGAAAGTTATTTAAGCGCTTGCCTGATAATCGGACAAGTGCTAAAATAACTCGGGTGTGACATCATCCGACTTCTGACTTCCGAGGTAACTCGAACGCTGCATTAATCTACACCACAAAAATAAAATCTATAAAATAAAATCAGAATCCGTAATTTTCTGGTTCTGAACAGTGATTGGCTGGCGGGATCTTTGTTTTCTTTCGATCTCTTTGATTGGCTTTCAGGAACTGTTTTTTCTCCACTGACAATCTGATTGGATAACAGGATTGAGGAGATTTTTCCTCTTTCCTACAACATGATTGGTGGATGGGGATTTTTCTTTTTCTTTCCTGTGCTTTGATTCGCTGAAGGAACCTATAACTGTCTTTCCTTCTCTCTGATTGGCTGACCGGAACCTTTTTTTTTGCAGGATGTTGCCGTCTCTGTCATCCACCTCCCTCCACCTCCGCTCCACCTCCCCTCAACTCCAAAAGACTGCGACCTCTGACCCCCACGGTGTAACCATGGAGACCTACTGGAGAGAAGTGCAGAGCATCGAGGAAGAAGAAGAGGAGGAGGAGGAACAGGAGGAAGAGGAGGAGAGGAAGAGTATGGATGGTGAGTGGAAGTGACAGCAGAGTGGGATATCGCTATTCTGTCTGATGCTGACCCATCTTTGTTTACCTGCAGAGGTGGAGCTAGAGGAGGCGTGGCTAACGGAGGCGGGGTTGTCCTCCCTGGTCATGGGCTCCTCCACTGAAGAGGCTCCTCCCCCTCCAGAGGTGCTGCTGTCCACGTTGACACGGCAACAGGTCACCACAGTGAGGAAGAGGCTGGACAAGTACAACGAGACGCTGAAGACAAGAAACAGACAACCAATCAGGGACGTGAGAGACGTCTTCACTCAGGTGAGGACGTAACTCACCTGGACACTAAACACTGATACCCTCTAGTGGACACGAGGTGTACTGCAGATTTTGGTACCACTGTGTTAAAGGTGGGGTTGACAGGAATCCGTTAAAGGTGTATTTACAAAAATCCTTTAATATCAGTCAATAGTTATTAGTTATTGATGACATTTGGTAATATATCGATATCTCTGTGTTCTCTTATGTCTGTGTCGTCAACATTTGAACATTTTTGAGCGGTCCGCTCTTTCTGACTGTAAACAAAGCCGTTCTCCACCTCCTCTAACCTGATTGGTTGTGAGGCAGACGCTGCTCCCCCGTGTCGTTCAGGAGCCCAAACTAAAGTTAGCGTGCTACAATATCGGACAGTAGAAACCAACCAGAAAGTTCGGAAAATTGTCTGAATCCTCCTTTGGCCACGACTGCCGACACAAGCAAGAAAACAAAGTAAATACCGGAGACTCTGGAGGAATAACGGGCGCTTAAAACGGAGGTAGACCGGACAAGAGCTAAAAAGACGGGTCAACGATGATGGGGGTTACCGATCTAATCGCTGTACAGATGACTTACAAGTGCATTCTGGGAAATGTAGGAGCAGTTTGAACAGATGTCATGACTCAGCCTTTTCTGTCTTTGATACAAACACAGTTCCAGCCTGATGATGACTCAGCAGAAAGATGCCCCTCCCCTCCCCCTGACGATGGAGAGTCACCGCCAAGTCGATACCACACCACCACCAAGACCATCCGCAAACACACCAACAGGGGTAGATCTGAGCATGTCCGTGTGTTTCCAAATATGGACGTTTTTTTTTTCAGTCTGGCGCTCAAACCCGAACACCAATCAGCTGTTTTCTGTTTTCAGGTCATCCTACTCTTCACATGTTCGTGTTCGAGGATCAGTTACCTGAACACCAACAGACACACACACCTTCTCCCACACACACAGACTCTCCCACACACACAGACTCTCCCTCACACACACCCTCCTCACCTGTCGGTCAGTGGAGACAAGCTGATTGGCTGCTGAGAGACTGTCCATACTCAGAGGGCGTGGCCGAGCACAAAAAAGGCGGGACTTGCTGGGACTGTTTGCGTTTCAATGGAGATGAAAATGGTGACTTGCCGGTGAGTGAAAGCTTTAACCCAAACACAACATTGTCAACACTACATTTCCCATGATGCTCTGTTGCCTAACACATACTGGATTACAGTATTTCTGTGTGTGTGTGTGTGTGTAGTTTGCACCTGTCTCCCCCTCTCAGGGCCTCGCCTATGCAGACGACCTGTCGTCATGTGACCTCAGGCGTCTGGGCTTCATCTCTCACATCGAGCTCTCCACCTTCCTGCTCGCTCTGGGCATCCACACCAAACGCACCCGTCCACCACGCCGCCGGACCCGAGGTGCGCTTCATTCTTGCACCTCGGAGCGACTCTAACCAATCAGAGCACTGAAATGAAACATCAGCTGTTGCGTCAGCGTTAACCGTCTCACCACCTCTCTCTCTCTCTCTCAGACAGCGGCGTGTTCGCCGTCCCTCTGATCTCGTTGTTGGAGAGCGACAGGAAGAAGTTTCCAGGAGTCAGAGTCCCTGTTGTCTTCCAGAAGGTGAGAAACCTGTCTGTTTGTCTGATTGGCTGCAGTTTAGGTCAGACCCCTCCATGTTAACTGATGGGACATGAATCAAACTATAAAACTAAAACACAAGTTCAAAAGTCCATCCATGAGTCTGAAGGTTTCAGAATATCAGATAAACATCAAGTGAAGGTGAAACATTATTGTGTGTGTGTGTGTGTGTGTGTGTTAGTTGTTGTGTATTTTAGAGCAAACTGGTCTGCAGACTGAAGGTATACTAAGAGTACCAGCATCTGCTGCAAGACTGAAGGTAACACAAACCAAAATATGAGCCTCACATTTAAGGATTCTTAGGTTAAAACCCTGATAAAGCTGTCTGTCCTTCTGTCTGTCCTTCTGTCTGTCTGTCTGTCTGTCTGTCCTTCTGTCTGTCTGTCTGTCTGTAGCTGCTGCGTGGAGAACTGGACAGGTGTTGTGGAGGCTTCGACTGGTCTTCAGTCCGACAGGTAGACGCTGCCGGACTGTTGAAGCTTTTCATCAGAGAGTTGCCGATACCTCTGCTGACACACACACACCTGACCACCTACCGCTCAGTGCTGGGTAAACACACACACACACACACACACACACACACACAGTTCTGTAATTTCAGAGTGTGTCTCCACAGTATTATCAGAATAAACAAAGATCTCTCTTTAACAATGTTCAGTTTATCAAACAGCCTCCAACATGTTCAACCACTCATTTAAATACTTTACTCATTTTTTCAAGCTTTTTGGCTGACTGTTGTTTTGTCACGATTTTGTTTGTGACTGTTTTGGTTTTTGACTGTTTTGTGATCACTTTTCCGACTGTTGTTTCCTTACTACTGTTGTTTTCTGACTGTTGTTTTCTTAGTATTGTTATTTTCTGACTGTTGTTTTCTTAATATTGTTATTTTTCGACTGTTGTTTTTTATATATTGTTATTTTCCGGCTGTTGTTTTCTTAGTATTGTTATTTTCTGACTGTTGTTTCCTTACTACTGTTGTTTTCTGACTGTTGTTTTCTTAGTATTGTTATTTTCTGACTGTTGTTTTCTTAATATTGTTATTTTTCGATTGTTGTTTTTTTATATATTGTTATTTTCCGGCTGTTGTTTTCTTAGTATTGTTATTTTCTGACTGTTGCAGGTATCCCCTCGGTGGTCCATCAGGTTCAGGCTCTGCAGCTGCTCTGCCTGTTGCTCCCTGAAGCTCACAGAGAAACACTCAAAGTAATCGAAACACACACACACACACACACACACGCACACACACACACACGCACACACACACACACACACACACACACACACACACACACACACACACACACACACACACACACACTGGTTTACCATGGTGGTCATGGTTACAGGGGACAACCTTGATTTGTTTCCATGGTTACAGATAACTTGAACCTGGGTCCAAGGTCATTCACTGTATGCGTTTCTATGGTAACAGGCTCTGCTGGTCTTCCTGCGCAAAGTGGTCTCTCATCAGGACCAGAACAGGATGTCTGTGTGGAATGTCTCCATGGTGATGGCGCCCAACCTTTTCTCCTGGCGTCACCATGGCAACAAGCGTTCAGTCATCAAGCAACAAGCAGAAATGGAGGAGGCAGTGGGCGGAGCTCACCTGGTCCGACTCATGATCACACACCAGGACCTGCTGTGGACCGTGAGTCAGAGAACGCACACGTAAGAGGTGACATCACTGCATCAGCTGTCTGTGACATCACTTCCTGTCTTCATTGGCAGGTCCCAGGCTTCCTGTTGTCTCAGGTGAGACAGATGAACCAGGTGTCCAATCAGAAACAACTCAGCCTGAACAAGACAAAGAGACTACTACTGAGGAGGAAGAACGACAGGAATGACAGAAACCAGGTGAGACAGAGACCAGGTGAGACAGAGACCAGGTGAGACAGTGACCAGGTGAGACAGAAAGCAGGCAAGGCAGAGACCAGGTGAGACAGAGACCAAATGTGACAAAGACCAGGTGAGACAGAAACCAGGTGAGACAGAGACCAGGTAAGAGACAGAGACCAGGTGAGACAGAGACCAGGTGAGACAGAAAGCAGGCAAGGCAGAGACCAGGTGAGACAGAGACCAAATGTGACAAAGACCAGGTGAGACAGAAACCAGGTGAGACAGAGACCAGGTAAGAGACAGAGACCAGGTGAGACAGAGACCAGGTGAGACAGAAAGCAGGCAAGGCAGAGACCAGGTGAGACAGAGACCAAATGTGACAAAGACCAGGTGAGACAGAAACCAGGTGACAGAGAGTCCAGGTAAGATAAGGACCAGGTGGGACAGAAACCAGGTGAGGCAGAGACCAAATATGACAGAGAGCAAGTGAGACAGATAAACCAGGTGTCCAATCAGAAACTACTCAGCCTGAACAAGACAAAGAGACAACTGCTGAGGAGAAGGAACGACAGAAACCAGGTGAGACAGAAATCAGGTATGACAGAAACCAGGTGAGAGAGATACCAGGTGAGACAGAGACCGGGTGAGACAGAAACCAGGATAGACAGAGACCAGGGAGGACAGACGCCAGGTAAGACAGAGACCAAGTGACAGAGTGAACAGGTGAGACAGCGACCAGATGAGAAAGAGAACAGGTAAGAGAGACCAGGTGGGACAGAAACCAAATATTACTTAATGTGTGTTTGTGTGTGTGTGTGTGTGTGTGTGTGTGTGTGTGTGTGTGTGTGTGTGTGTGTGTGTGTGTGTGTGCGTGTGTGTGCGTGTGTGTGTGTGTGTGTGTGTGTGTGTGTTTAGATCACAGAGCTGTGTGAAGGTGTGATCCGGGTTCAGGCCCCCCTTCACACGAAGGTTTCTATGGCGATTCAACTTGATGGACGGACCACAGCCAAAGATGTCACCGCCCGATTTGAATGTGACAATGGGTAGCACACACACACACACACACACACACACACACACACACACACACACACACACACACACACACACACACACAGAGCAGCACAGTTACTTACCTGAGTCTCTCTCTCTCTTTCAGAGCTCCTGTCCAGCACCTGTACGAGGTCGGAGGAAACATCAGTGAGTCTCTGTTCTCACATGTTTATTCTGAATGCTCATCAGAATAACGAGGTTTATATTTAAACTCTGCACAGGACTCATTAACCCGTCTGTCTGTCTGACAGGTGAGCGCCGTCTCCATCCAGACTGCGTGCTGTTGGACATTTACAGAGTCAATCCTCACTGTGATTGGCTGATCAAACCCTGACACAGGAACTGTCCCACCTTTGACCTTTAACTGGATGATACCAGCTGCAGCAGGCTGTGACATCACATCCTGTAAACAGAAGGACAGTCAGGAGTAATAATCAGTGTTCAGTTTGATTTGAATCAGATGAGTTTTAATCAATAAAGTTTTATTTATTGATTTGTTTGTTTTTGTTCTTCAGTTTCTCTGACTGCTATTTGATTATTTCTTGGTGTTGACCATCAGATCACTCTTTCTTTTTTTTATTAAATGTTGATGGAAACACAGAGAACTGTGGTCATGGTTTGGCTCCTCCTGCTGGTCATAGTCTGTGACTTCATGCTGACTCATGGTAATACCACTCCACCCTCAGAGCCGGGTCACTGTGTTTAAAATAAACACAATAGATAAAAACAGAATTTGATGGTTTGCAAATAATTTGAGCTCCATATCTATTTCTATATCTAATTGAAAACATCACAAAAGCAACAGATCAAATTTAAAAAAAAAAGATATTTTTGGTAAAAAAGGAAGTTTGATGGCAGCAGTTATTAAAAAAGTTAGGTCAGGGATTGAGAAACGGGTAAAAGGTTGGTGTAATACTAAAAAAAGAGTCAGATAAACGTCTCTTAATCGCTGAGGTTTGGCCTTCAGGCAGCATTACTTTGAAAACATTCATGACTCTGTAGTTTGAGTCGCCGCACTTAAATCACAAAGTGTATATCACTCTGTCATAAACATAGAAATAGACAAACAACATCCCTAAAATGGCACAAATATTCCTGCTGTTCTGCTGCAGAAATGTGGACTATAATGTTTGATATAACAGCGCCCTCTGCTGGTGATCAAATAGAATAACCTGCAGTTGATTTTCAGTAAAAGGCTGGTTCTTTTTAGACATTTCTACCTAAAAAAGTCCTTTAAGAAGACTGACTAAAGTACTGCTCATACTGATTTTATCAGGAGTTACTAAAGTCATGTCGAAGCACCTGAACACTAGGCTCCTGTAGTCAGTACAGTGTCCTCTCTGGTCTTCTGTAGTCAGTTTTATGTCCCTTTTGGGCCCCGATAGGCAATCCTCTGTCCTTTCTGGGCTCCTGTAGTTGGTATTTTGTCCCTTCTGGGCTACTGTATTCAGTCTTCTGTCCCCTCTGGGCCCCTTAAGTCAGGCTTTTGTCCCCTCTGGGCCCCTGTAGTCAGTTTTATGTCCCCTGTAGTCAGTCTTCTATCCTCTTTTGGCCCCTGTAGTCAGTCTTATATCCTCTCTGGACCCTGTAGTCAGTCTTATGTCCCCTTTGGGCCCCTGTAGTAAGTCTTCTGTCCCTTTCCGGCCCCTCTAGTCAGTTTTCTGTCCCCTCTGGGCCCCTCTAGTCATCCTTATGTCCCCTCTGGACCCCTGTAGTCAGTCTTATGTCCCCTTTTGGCCCCTTTAGTCAGTCTTATGTCCCCTCTGGACCCTGTAGTCAGTCTTATGTCCCCTTTGGGCCCCTGTAGTAAGTCTTCTGTCCCTTTCCGGCCCCTCTAGTCAGTTTTCTGTCCCCTCTGGTCAGCCTTATGTCCCCTCTGGGCCCCTGTAGTCAGTCTTATGTCCCCTTTGGGCCCCTGTAGTAAGTCTTCTGTCCCTTTCCGGCCCCTCTAGTCAGTTTTCTGTCCCCTCTGGACTCCTGTAATCAGTCTATTGTCCCTCCTGGTCTCCTGTAGGTCAGTCTTCTGTCCCCTCTGGCCCCCTGTAGTCAGCCTTATGTCCCCTCTGGGCCCCCGTAGGTCAGTTTTCTGTCCCTCCTGTGCCCCCGTAGTCAGCCTTATGTCCCCTCTGGCCCCCTGTAGTCAGTCTTCTGTCCCCTCTGGGCCCCTGTAGTCAGTCTTCTGTCCCCTCTGGGCCCCTGTAGTCAGTCTTTTGTCCCCTCTGGGCCCCCGTAGCGGTTGCAGTGCGGTGAAATGAAACCAGGCGTGGATAAAGAGCAGCTCTGCTCATGAAACTGAACAGAACATCGACTTTATTTCAAACAACGACACAAACCAACAGCTCTCTGTACAGGGTTTGTTCACACCATAAAAAAGGTCATTTACAAACAAACTGTTTACACATCATACATGGAGGAGGTCAGCCATGTTGGCGTGATATCACATGATCATGAGGTCATCAGGTTGGCCATGTTTACATGTATGATCAGTGAGGTCATCAGTTCACGTTCACTGATCCATAAAAACAAACTAATGAACAAAGAATGTCCTTTACATCCTGTTTAACCAGAACCTCCTCCAGACAGGAGCAGGAGGAGGAGCAGGAGGAGGAGGAGCAGCTGATGGAAGAGGAGGAGGAGGAAGGGGGGGTGTTAGGAGCAGCTGATGGCGTCCAGGTGTTGCTCCTCAGCAGCCATGGCGGCGGCCTGCAGCGTCTCTGTGTCGCTCTGCAGCGGGTTCAGCTGTTTCCTCTCACTGTGCATGTTGTTCTCATGACGCTTCAGATCCGACGCCTGAAAGTACAGACAGACCCTGAACTCACCGCCAACACAGACACCTTTATCTAACAGACAACAACAACAGGTCTGTGAGAGACACGGAGGGGCTGCAGGTACGAGGTTAGAGGAGCGGCGTGAGGTGAGGTGTCGTTAGAGATCCGACGTTTTGAAAACAAACCAAAACTACAAAATCGGCATTCAGAAACTTCCCAAAGTCAAAGATAAGGACACCTTTGGAGAACATTCTAGGGGCGGGGTCTAAATTTACCTTGGCGAAGGCCTTAGTGCATGACGGACAGACGAAGGGTTTCTCTCCTCTGTGTCTCCGCTCGTGGTCCTTCAGGTGAGACTTGTGTTTGAACGCCTGCAGAGAGTCGACAGGTGATTAGTGGACAGGTAAGAGACGGACAGGTGAGAGACAGACAGGTGAGAGACAGACAGGTAAGAGACGGACAGGTGAGCTGACCTTGTCACACATCTGGCAGGCGAACGGCCTCTCGTTGCTGTGAACTCGTTCGTGTTTTTTCAGGTCTGGAGCTCGTATGAACGATTTCCCGCAGACGTCACACCTGTACGGTTTGAAGCCTGTGTGGATCTTCAGGTGTTCTGAAACACACAGGTGAGGGCGGAGCCAAAAACTTGACGTCTGTGAACAGAAACCTGATGACATCACAGCCCGGGTGCAGGTGAGTTCTTACCTTTCAGGTGAGCGTGTGTGGTGAAAGCTTTGGTGCAGATCTCGCAGCCGAACGGACGCTCCGCTGAATGCAGCTTCTCGTGTTTCCTGCAGGTGGAGAGGACAGGTGAGTCAACCAGGTGATGAACCAGGTGATCTGACTGTGTGGACTGTGTGAGATCTAAGTACCTGAGTCTGGTCTCATCCAGGAAGGTCTTGCCGCACACCTGGCAGGCGAGCTGTTCCCGTGTCCCGTACAGCAGGTATTCAAACTTCATGTCGGCGGTGGCGGTGGACCAACCGGGCGGCTGCTCGTCCTTCACCTCCCCCATACTGTCTGCGAACGTCAGCGTCTGTGTGGCGTGATGCTCCGCCCCCAGCTCTTTAGGCTCCGTCTCCATCTCTGTTACCACGTCCTGGTCATAGCAGGTCACCTGGAGGGGGTCACACAGGTGAGGTCACACAGGTGAGGTCACACAGGTGAGGTCACACAGGTGTTCTCCAGTCTTTATAAAGACAATCTCCATGTTTAGGGTGTGTGTGTGTGTGTGTGTGTCTGTGTGTGTGTGTGTGTGTGTGCGTGTGTGTGTGTGTGTGTGTGTACCTTGTGTACGTCCTCATTGGTCAGTTCTTTAAGAATGGCTTCCTGAACTCGTAGCGCCGCACTGGGAGATTTATCGAGCTCCTGATTGGCTGATGCCTCAACAAGGTCATCTGTGGTAGGCGTGTCATCGTGCTCTCCAAGCACCTGCGCACACACACACACACACACACACACACACACACACACACACACAGATCAGCATGACGATCACACACCTGAGATTAAAACATGAACTTTGTTTATAATTTCGTTTTTTTTACCTCGGCGTCGGCGGCGAGCTGGGCTTCAGGCGGAAGCGCCATCTTTACGATGTCGTAGGGAAACTTCTCTTTGTCCTCTGAAGACATGTCTCGTTTCTGAGGACACATGAACGCATCATCACTCAGTGGGAGGAGCTTTACCTGGATCTCTGACATCACAGACCCTCTCTCTCTCTCTCTCTCTCTCTCTTCTCCTCTGATGTGTGATACCCAGGTGTGTATCCTGTGTGCGTTACCTGTGAGCAGAGCTTGTCCAGGAAGCGAATGCCGAGGATCTGTCCGGATGACATCATCAGGTTGACGTCTCTCTTCTTGACGGAGATCTTGGCGGTGTACATGTAGTTCAGCACCTCCTCAAAGATGTCCGAGCGGATGAAATCGATCTCTATCACCGACGAGTTATCCACCTGAGGACGCACACAGGTGAGACATGTTACAGGTGAGGTGTGAGACAGGTGCTGTGATTGATCAGTCATTACAGGTGACTTAATGAGGTATGTGTGAGTGTGTGTGTGTGTGTGTGTGTGTTTCAGCGGTACCTCGTGTTTCTTGAACAGCTTTTTGAAGTAGTTGGAGCAGGCGGCGAGCACACAGCGGTGAGCCCTGAACTTCACGTCTTCGACCACCACGGCGATGTCACAGTGCTCGCCCTCCAGACGCTGCTCGTTCAGCAGCTTCAGGAAGATACTCTTGTGTTCATCGTCCACGTACTTCACCGTCTCCGCCATCTGAGGACAGGTGAGACAAACAGGTGAGACACACTGATCAAAACACACTTCCCCTTATGTGTGTGAGTGTGTGTTTGTGTGTAAAAGAACAGCACAACAGTGTGTGATGTGTGTCTCTTTGTGTATTTGTGAGGCAGGCGTTTACTGGGTATGACCTCCTGAGTCCAGTTTAAAATCTACCATGATGAACATCAAAAACTACATTTCCCATGAAGCCTTTGGGCTGTAAATAACAGTAACTGTGTTTGGTGGTAAAATCTCATCTGTCTAACTTTAAATTTCTGTTTTAAATCCATCAAACGGAGGGTGCCATTGGTCTAGAGCAGTGGTTCTCAACTGGTGGTTCCTGACCCAAAAGTGGGTCACAAACAGCTGGTCCAAAAAGTCAATATTTAATGTGCATCAGAGGTTTGACATGTCTTTTTTTCCAAACTTCAATCTGGAATGCATTTTACTCAATAAAACGGTGTATTTATGTTTAAGATTTTAGTCTTTAAAAGTTTTTTTTTTTCTAAAAAATAAATTTTCTTGGTTTGAATTTATTAAGAGTGGGTCAGGACTTAAGGACCATGAGAAATGTGGGTCCCAGAGTGAGACCATTTGACAATCACTGGTCTAGAGATCTGGGCACCCCCTGTATAGAGGGTGTAGTCTTAGTTGCAGCGGTCTCTGGTTCGATTCCCAGTCATCACCCCCCCCCTCTCTCCCCTCTGTCCGGTCTCTCTTCAGCCCGCCTGCCTGATAAAATCAGAAAATACCCAAAAACTTTTAAAGAGAGTTAAACTGGGAGCAGATCACGTGACCGTCTGCTCCCAGTGCCTGGCTCAAAGGCAGGCTGCCCCCCCACCTCACCCCCCTGTTCCCAATAGTTCATGTACCTCTGCTGTAGCGGGCACGCGCTCCGGAGCGTGTGCACGCCCCATGAAGCATTGAGTGCATGTGCGGATGGAGAGCAGACGGAGAACCCGGACTAACTTTACCCGGACCGTACCAGGCTGACAGTTCCGAGTCTGAACCAGAGCCCCGTCCCAACCCGAATCTTTCTGACCCGGACTGAAGCGGGTCAGGCCGCCGGGCAACAGCCGAGAAACTCGGTATGACAACAGAGAGCGGAACTGGACCACACCGGCGGGACAAACTGTGGCCCGGTTCGGGTATCGGTGGAGGGACGGAGGGTTAGCGGGGCGGTCAGAGGGGGTTGGCCGGGGACGGTAACCCGCTGAAACGCAACAGACCGGCAGCTTTAACGGACGACCCTCCCGGTGAACTGACCGGTGATGTATAGAGGGGACTGTGTGTGTGTGTGTGTGTGTGTGTGTGTGTGTGTGTGTGTGTGTGTGTGTGTGTGTGTGTGTGAGAGAGAGAGAGAGAGAAAGAAAGAAGCGCCCGCGGTGTGTTTAATGTCGGTGGTTTTTCTCAGTGTTTGTGTTAAATGGCGGACAGTCCGGCCTGCTGCTCCTGCTCTTTCTCACAAAATGGCGTCTCTCTCTTTCTCTCTTTACTCTCCTTCTCGGTCTCTCCGGTAAACTCGCGGACCGTCATCATCCCCGGCCGGACGGAGAGCGGGGCCGCGTGCTGGCTCGCGGACCCTCCGCTCCGCCGTCCCCGGGATCGACACACAGGCACGCGAGCAGCGGCGCCGCGGCCTCGCTACACGAACGAGACGGGGCTCGAGCAGCCATGAACGGCTCGAGAGCGCGCAGACATCCCCGCGGTAACGGCGGCCGGAGCGGGGGGACGGGGACAGCGCGGGGACGAGGGAGCGGGTCCTTACCGTCACAGAGGCCCGGTGTGAGCGAGTCCGTCGGGGTAAATGAGCACCGGGAGTCGGTACACACTTTATCCGGTTGTTGTTGTTGTTGATGATGAGGACGAGCGCAGGACGGAAGGCCGCGCTTTGCGCCAGCACGTACACACTGCAGGGGCACGCAGGCAGCGGGCCAAAGATCCTCTGTGGGCGAGACGGATCACTACCCCTCACGCATGCGCACTGCTCATGTGACCGAGCTTTACAGAGCGTGGACCCGAGGAGACGTGAAGAAGTTTTTAGGGTCTCTGTCGTTTATTTACGGGTGGAAAATAGTCTAATATATATATTTAAGTTTGTGGTGATGGTAATCCTCCAAACACAGCCAGACATGAATCACTGCGGGTGTAGTAATGACCGGAGATGGAGCAGAAATATTAAATATAATCAGCCTGGATGAAAGCAGAGTCAAGTCACTTCACATTTTCATGCTGTCTGTTATATTACAACTCTAATGCTGAATGAATTTTACTTCAGTGTATATTTTTATAGTGTAAATGTGCTTTTACTTGAGTAGTATGTTTTCATACTCTTCGCCCCTGGGTTAAAGGAATATTCTGGTGTGAAATTAATTTAGGGTCAAACACACCGTGTGTTACAGTGTGTTTGACCCTAAATTAATTTTACACCAGAATATCCCTCTAAGTTTCCTGACAGAGCGAAATTTTCTGTGTCATATTGACAGTAATTACCTCAGTTTGTAATAGTTTTCTCTGATCCTTTCTGTTCTGTGCTTTACTGTTTTATTGTGTATATCTGTTCTGTATTTTGTTTGTTTTGTACTCTCATCTGCACTGTAAATGAGTCTTTACGAACCGGTTTAAATAAAGGTAACTAAACAAAAATAAACAGTTTTTGTGCCCTTCTCTGATTACAGCTCAAAACGGCAACAGAAGATCTAAAAACTGCAGTTCCTCAAGTGTCCACTGGAGGTTAACCCAAAGCACCAGAAGCTTTAAACATTAAAAACATTTACCAGAATAATTTCTTTTATGCACAACCGCTCGCTCCATCCTGTAACTGGTGAGTTTAATGCCGTCACATTTTACTTTCTTCACAGAATAGACAAACATTATAAGTTTGTCCATTCTGTGCTCCTGTAGACAAACGGGGTGCAGGACAGCTGCCTGCATTGACTCTGTGTAAATATAAGAGGTTTACTCGAAGTGAACTGAGACAAAATGCTTTTCATGTTCTGGTGATTATACATAAATTAAAATGTTCTCCTGTGCTCGCACAGGAAATCAACATCTCATCTTGTGTTTTTGGAATCTAAAACATCTTAATATTATATTCTATTTCTATCATGTCTGTTCTGCTAAATACCACAAACTGTAAAATAAAAATAAAATCAAACAGTGACAGTGTTTGGGGTCTGTCATGATTAAACAGACCTTCACTGATTTAATAACAGACTCCTCTGAAATAAATCTAAAATATTTTATTTGATCGCACAGGTTCGACGTCTGATTTTCTAAACAGAACGACATCACAGACTAAAAAGATTTAATCATGATAAACATGTTCAAAACAGGAAATGTTGTCTAAGAGGGTCTCAGCTACAAACCTTCCCCTTCATAGCAGCCAGACTGTTGTCATGACAACAAAAAACCTCATCTACATAACTACACTACCCACAATCCCCAGCACAAAAAACAGACAGAAATCATCAGGTGAACTTGAACTAAACAGACGAGAGATAAATTCTTGGAATCATCTATGAGCAGCTGTAAGCAGGTAAGAACCTAAGTCCACAAAGGGCGGGGCAACATAAGAGCCCCACAGCCAATCAGAGAAGCTCGTACTGCCGCAGGTGCATGCGCTGGATGATGTCCCGACAGTCGTTGAAAACTCTGCGAATGTTTTCAGTGTCGACCGCACAGGTGAAGTGAGGATAACAGTAATGTTTCCCATCGCCGCTCGCTGTGCTGATCCTCTGAGAGACAGACAGGTGAGAGAACAGGTGAGAGACAGTTTGGCAGACAAGAGACACAAAAAAACAGACTCATTACAGACAGAGGTGAGAGGGACAGGTCAGAGGGAGAGAGAAAGACGGTTCATGGACAGGTGAGAGACAGACAGGTGGTTTAGTTACCAGAAACTCGTCTCTAATAAAGAACTTGGCTCTGGTCACCCTGGGGTCTTCATCAGCATCTGGTACAGCTGCAGACACACACACACACACACAGACATATGTATAGATCATGTGTGTGTGTGAAACCATGTTTTCATGTGGTGTGTGTTGTTCGGTATCTGTCATGGACTGGATGTTTTGCTTCATTTCCACCCATAGTTAAATATATGAAGCTGAAAATCTGCCTCCATGTTGTTGTGGCGGTGAAACACGTCTTACCTTCAGGAGGTACTTGGTAGTTTGTGTACTCAGGGAAATAATCCTCCAGTTTAGACTTTCCCGCCAAAATTTTGTCGGCGAGGACGTCCTGTTTGTTCAGGAACAAAATCACTGAGATGGTCTTCAGAAACCTGCAGCCAATCAGAGAGCAGAGAGGGTAACAACAGCCAATTAGAAAATGTTTCAGTTTTAATCGTCCAACACAGAAGAGCTTCTGGTTCCATATTCATATCATCCCAGATTTTAGCAACAGCCTTTTCTCATTGTCCCCAGAATCTCTAGTCCGGGGTCATTTAAAGTTCCTTCTGATTGGAAGAAAGTCGTCTATCACCTCTTTTACCTGCTTTAAGTAAAACTGATCCTTTATTTAATAACAAGCTGTCCCTGTAATTGATCATAACCCGAGAATTCGGTTTCACCTTTGCCTGCATTTCTGGATCTTCCCTTTACCTCACGTTTTTGGTCCCTCTGCCTGACCTTCCTGTGTACCGACCTTTACCTGACCTTCATTAAACCCTGTCTGTTTAACAAAGCTGAATCGGTGTCGTGCTGTTGTGTCCTCCAGTCTGTGCTATGGTTCATGACACTGCCCTTAAATAAAGTTCGGTCCAAACAGAGTTAACCTGAGCCAATCAGAGAGCAGCTTGTTACCTGTTGGTCCAGATGGATCTGAAGAGGTCGAGTGACTCTCTCAGGCGGTTGGTGGAGTTGTCCTCTCTGATCACCATGTTGTAGCTGCTGCTCGCAGCCACAAAGATGATCGCTGTCACATCTGGAGACAGAGGAACACTCAACACCTGTACACCTGTCTGTGACACTCACCTGTCCATCATATACACCTGTTTAACTCAAAGTTACTATAAAAACCTGCAACCTCTGTCTACATACACCTGTATCATCCTGTGAAACACTCTGAGACTTGTAAACTCACCTGTTGACCTGTCCATAACGTTCACCTGTCCGTTCATTACTCACCGTTAAAGCACTGAATCCACTTCCTGCGCTCGTCTCTTTGTCCTCCTACATCAAACATACTGACAGGTGAAGAGACAGGTGTGCTGGTCAGGTAACACGTAAACAGCTTCTAACTACAGGTTAGTATTTGGTTTAATTTAAGTTTAAATGATACAAAGATAATTTATGTGATTCTACTGATGCTCAGAGTGCTTGAACTACAGCTCCCATGATGCTTCAGGGGATGTAAACAGGGTGGATATACAGTTAGGATTCCATCTGCTTTTGGGAAGTCTGTGTATGATTTAAATCACACTGAATGTTTTATTAAAAAAAAACAAGCAGCAGTCAGGTGGAGGAGACAGGTGATTGGTGCAAGTGGACAGAGGGGGCGGGGCTTAACACACTCACTGGAAGTTGACCTTATCGACCTGAAACCTGGTCTCAAAAATCCCTGAAGTCAAAACTCTGCAGCGCAACAAATCCTACAGGAGAAAGAGAGAGAGAGAAAACCCTTCCACTGAGAGCATGGCAACAGATGAGTCATCAGAACGCTGCAATGTGATTGGTTGGATTGTTACCTGGTCAGTAGGTGTGTAGTCTGTCCTCCTGACAGCATCCAACCTGTCCAGGAAGCTGCACACACACACACACACACACACACACACACACACACACACACACACACACACATATACACACACAGGTATGATCAGGTGATTCTATTCTTAACTCAGTGGGACATCACACCTCCCCCTGCAGGTTAGCAGAGCATTCTGATTGGTCCATTGGGAGTAAAAATGTCAAAGCTACTCTGAGCAGTGTAATGGAAGATTGAGTGTGTATGAGTGTGACTGTGTGTGTTTGTGTGTGTGTGTGTGTGTGTGTGTGTGTGTCTTACTACTTAGCGCAGTCAATCAGCTGGTATTCATTGGAGCGTTCGAAACAAGCCTTCACGCCATCATCCTCCCACAGCTTCTGAGCGTGCTCAAAGAAGTCCTGAGGGACAGACAGACAGATACAGGATAAAAAGTCAAATATCAGCCGTAATGAATATAAACATGATTGTGAAGACAGTAACTTCCTGCTGCAAGTAGGAAATAAAACAACAAGAGTAACCCCCAAGTTCCATCACATCCGGAACGGCAGCGATTTTCACCGTCCGCCAATTCCTACTGGATCCGTTAGTTAGGCGAATTTCATGGTGGACGACAGACAACGGTAATCACGAGAACTCACAAGAACCCACAAATTCACGGGGCTAACCATATAAGCAGTAGATTGTGTCCTTCCAGAGGAGGAAATCTACTTCTAGACTTCTAGAATCAGCATCTCCTCATCCATGGTGTCATCGGGGTGAAATGACGTCTAAAAACCTTTCACTTGTTCATCTCCGCCCGTTTGCATGGTGTGAAATACGATCCTCCTGAAACACGGAGTGTTTTATTTTGAAAAGAAGCCGGATGTTTTATTTTGTGTCTGTGCCCGACTTCCTTTCCAGCGCGGGTTAATCTGTGCTGAATTTATCCGCCATGCTCCGGCGTCCAGAAAAAATAGAACTCTTGTGATCAGCTGAGGAGTCCGGCGATCCGCAGAGGAACGGAAAGAAGTCGGTGTAAATTGACACGTTAACTTGAATGGTTACGATCAGCTACGATCGGAGGATACGACCTTTTAGTTGGGGGTAAGATGGACATGTTCAGGTCCAGACCCCTCTAAGCACAGGGGGCGCTAAGGAGCAAATTTGTCATTTGCATTTGCATTTTCCCCAGACCTGATGCCCACGCAGTTTTAACACGTCAACTATGACAAACTGGCCAAATCACATGTAAACTATGATCCAGTGTAAACAGGTGAGAGTGATACCTGTGTGTGTGTGTGTGTGTGTGTGTGTGTGTGTGTGTGTGTGTGTGTGTGTGTGTGTGTGTGTGTGTGAGTGAGTGAAGAGTTTAGAGGCGACACAGGAAGACACTTGTTTTGTCTCCGTGTCTTTAGAGACTTTTTGATAATGAGGCCTCAGGTGAGACACGCGCACACACACACACACACACACACACACACACACACACACACACACACACACACACATATGCGCACACACACGAGCGCTGGTTAAGTCCCGAGTCAACTCGTTACATCAGGTCATTATCATCATTCAAACAAACAACCGTCTCTCCTGGTGCTTTAAAGAAACGTTTACCTGTTTCACTCTGACAGGTGAGCTCACCTGTGCTCACGGCTGACCTATTAGCATGCTAACACTAGCCTGTTAGCGTTGGACACTGTAAACTGAATTGGGTAGGAGGACACGTTCACGTCAATAATTTGTGGAGAGAAGGAGAGAAGTCTGATTCGGTGAAAAAAAAACGAATAATGAGCTTAGTCCGATTAAACTGTGACCGTAAACCCACTGAGTGACGCCCTCATGACTCACTGTAGAGCAGAAACTGACCAACCACATCACAGACCAAAGTCATGTGACCACACTTCTGTTAGCATGTTAGCATGTTAGCATTCTCTGGTGACCAACCACATCTGAGCACCTGGAAATGACTTTATATCAAAGAACCGTGTGTGTGTGTGTGTGTGTGTGTGTGTGCATGTGTGTGTGTGTGTGTGTGCATGTGTGTGTGTGTGTGTGTGTGTGTGTGTGTTACCTCTGTGTATTCAAAGTCAGACAGCGGCGCGATACTCTTGATATAGTCAATCCTGAACTGGTTGCCAGGGTTACCAAGAGGAATGGGCGGAGTCAACATACTCATGGCTGACACGATGGTCTGCGACACAAACACACAAACTCTGCATTAGTGGTCAATCATGTGACGTGTGTCATGTGACACAGGACATGTGACCTACCACGATGGCGTCTTTCACATTCTTCCTGATGTCTTGGATCTTCTGCTGCTTCTCTCTAAAAACAGAAAATTTTAGCCAATCAGAGTGCTGTATTCACTTTTTTTAATCTGTTAGCCAATCAGAGGGGCCGAATCTGATATAAATTTGATATAAAATGTATCATAAGTATTTTTGTTGCCTTATACAAGAGCATAAAAAAGGAAGTGTAGACAAATTTCAAAATAAAAGCACCGGCGGATGGTTTGGAAAACAAAGTTTGACTCACTCAGCATTAAAACCGTCAACATGAAGAATCCTCATCTGCTTCACGATCGTACTTTTACCTGATTCACCTGCTCCTACAGACGGACAGGTGAAAGGAGAGAGCGGTAAGACAAAGACGGACAGGTAAAGACGGACAGGTGAGACAGGTGAGGGACGGACAGGCTAACCCAGCAGTAACAGTCTGTGTGTCGCTTTATACGCCTGTCTCTCTTTCTGCAGCTGCCTCTCGATCTTCTTGTTCGCTTCTCGTTTCGCTTTTTCATCCAAACGTTCTTCCTCCGTTTTCCCGCCAAGACAGCCCATCGCACCTGGAGACACACTAACCAGAGACAAACACGTCAGTTAACCTTTTAACGCCTTTTGTTTTATATCTAATACATACTTTTATCAATATGGTCAACAAATTACTAAAAAAACTCCTGAATACAGTCTGATAAATGATAAAAACGTCCTCTTTTAGTTATTAGTTTCCGAAATCATCTAATGTATCAAATTTGATCAATAAATATATTTGTTAAATTTTAAGGACATTTAGATTTTTTTGGTTTTCAGCAGTAAGTGAAAAATAAACATTTCAGCTAAAAAAAAATTTTTTTTCTTAACATAATTTGTAGTTTCAGACATTAAAGCGTTACCCAGTACACAAAGAGTTAACCAATAACCAACACTAACTAGTGACAAACACAAAAGTTAACCAGCAACATAGAAAAATATTCGATCCAACACTCACTGAAGAATCACCAGCTAACCAGTAACCAACCAGGAGAAACAGCTGTGGACCAGTAACCAATCAAAACATACCAGTTGACCATAATAAACCTGAGAGAAACACTTTAATTAACCAGTAACCAATCAACACAAACCAGAGAGGGACACACCGTGTAACTACGAACCAACACTGACCAGAAAGAAAACACACTAAAACCAGTAAACAACCAGAAAGACCTCAGATTACCAGTAGCCGACATTTATTAGAAAGAAATATTAACCAGTTAACTTGTATGGAATACAAACCTGTTAACCAGCAACAACAACAAGACACCAACCGACTAAAACCAGCTGAAACACCAAACCACTAAACCATTAAAACCACTAAAACCACTAAACCATTTAAACCACTAAACCATTAAAACCATTAAAACCACTAAAACTACTAAACCACTAAACCATTTAAACTACTAAAATACTAAACCATTAAAACCACTAAAACCACTAAAACCACCAAACCATTAAAACCACTAAAACCACTAAAACCACCAAACCATTAAAACTACTAAACCATTAAAACCACTAAAGGTGTTACTGGGCAGACCATCCCACTAAAACCAACATATCAAACTAAATCCTGAAACCAGTTTGAGAAACAAACTCCTTTAAAGAACCAACAAAAAAACAGTTTAAAACCAGTAAACAGCGTTTCAAAGCCAGTTCATAAGTTTAAAGAACGTCCTAAACTATTTCATTAAACCAGTTAACCCAGTTAACCCAGCTTCGGAGACCTGCTGGTTCTGACCCGTAGCTGTCGGTCACTGAGCGCGGCGTCTCAGTGCGTCCACTCCAGATGGTCTTTCCGTCCGTCCATTAAAGTCCACAGAGAAATGTTCCCCAGTCCGTGTCCTCGATTTGTCTCCTCCAGGTCCAGTCCAGTTCAGGGGGACAGGTCCAGAACTCCTGCTGGTTCTCTGCTGGTTTCTTCTGTTGAACCTGGAGCAGACGAACACCTGAGCAGCTCTCCCTCTCTCCCTCTCTCTCTCTCTCTCTCCCTCTCTCTCTCTCACCTGTGTCTTCCTCGTACCTCCATTAGCGTCTCATTAGTCGTCTCTCTCTGCGTTTTCTGCTCTTCGGGGGATTTCGATGTTTTTCCTCTCGTGACAGTTTGCTGCCTGACAACCAGCGGCTCCGTCGCAAACAAACACCCGCCCCGTTAGTCCTGGACTCTCAGAGACCAGGTTTCAGTCTGAACAATGACCTCTGACCTCCTGTCTAAACCCCATTAAAGTCTCAGAGAGTGTAAATGTTAATATTAGTGACGATAAAAACATGAAGTTCTCTCATGAACAGACTGACGAAGAATCTTTACAGGTTACAGAGGTACAGGTACAGAGAGAGAAAAAACAACTAAATATATACAAGAAGTTCATGTTTGTTCAGTGATGAAGATTATTTACAGTAAAAATACATTTTATTAAGTAATAATATATATATATAAATATAATATGTACATAAGAGAGAGCTACATCTCTCTAAATATATTAATCTGTCATTTCTATATAAACTGTATTTTCTGGACCATAAGTTGCCCTTTTTTTCATAGTTTGGTTTGGTTTGCGACTTATACTCAGGTCTGACTTATTTATACTAAAATATATAATTTCACATGTTTGTTATTTTCACACTGACAGCCTCTAGAGGGCGCTCTAGTTGTTCAGAAGTGACACCAAGGATGAGGAATTTGATGGATTTAGTGATTTGCAGTGAGATGGAGAGTTTGGTAAACTTGTTTGTTATATTTTTATACTATAATTATCTGAATAACTGTTAATACGTTATGTTAACATCCCAGACTCCTGTTGAGTTCGTTGTTTCTGCTTCATGTGGCTGAATAACCATCAACGCGCTACGTTAGCATAAAGTACAACTATTCAGCCTGTTCTTTATTCTATTGTTATTTTTTTTAACTTGCCTTTCGAGATGAAATGTCTGTTCTTGAACTTCGATTTTGTAAAATAAATTTCCCCCCAAAATGCGACTTATACCAGTATTTGTTTTTTCTTCTTCATTATTCATTTTTCTGGCTGGTGCGACTTATACTCCGGAGTGAAAATACAGTAACTTAATCCAAATATTAACATGTTTATACGAGTAAATTTATAACACAGAAAGTTCTCCTCTGAATATGAACTTTGACCTTTTTGATTTTACGTTTAGTATCCTGGTTAAACTTGATCTCACTCTGAATTTCTGTTTTTGTTCCATCATGAGTCCAAAGATGTAAAATCTTCTCTCACTCTGACTCCACCTGGTGGTTATTCCACATCACTGCACTCTGTCAGAGTCCCCTTACTGTTGCTATGGAAACAGGAGGACGCTGCAGTCCACATGTGGTCAGCAGGTTTAATAAAAAAACAGAGAAGTGGATTGATTGACTTTGTCTTTATTGATTGACGCCCACAAACTGGACCACGACCTCTGCTCTCATTGGTCAGATTGAACGTCCACGCTCGACCCCTCATTGTCCAAAGACTTTAACCTGAGGAGACAGAAACCAGATCCAAGAGGTCTGAGTGAGTCTAAACCAGATCCACTCTGGATCCTGTATGTGTGAACAGATCTAATCCAGATCAGACTCACCTGTGCAGGTGAGAGTCGCAGAAGGAGCTAAGTCTCTGCATCTCTGACTGGAAGAAACTCTGAAAGACACAGAGGGGCCGGTCAGAGTCCTGGATCAGGTCTGAGCTGAAAGACCAGGATCATAAATCAGGATTTTGAAGGAGTTACCAGGATCTGAGTGTCGGTGGAGCTGAGGCTGTCTGAGCTCTCCTGAAGAACCTTCAGCTGATCGTGAACACCGACCTCGAACCTCTGCAGCAACAGCAACCTACACACACACACACACACACACACACACACACACACACACACACACACACACACACGCACACACACACACTGTCCTAAAACCACAGGTATGTTGGAACAGGACTAGGGCTGGGCGATAAAACGATAACAGTATAGATCAAAAGTTAATTTCCCTCAATATCAATATAAACAGGATCAATTTGCTTTTCGATAATTTCGATAATTCTGCCATGTTTTGGTAGACTTGACGAATAGCCAATGAAAGGGGGAGTTCCTCCAGGTCCGCTTCACGCTAAACCAATCATGTGCTGAATTACCTGAGAATCCCACTGCTCCGCTCCGGACCGGCAGGCGGATCAAATACGCAAGCACACAGCGCCCATCAGAATCGATCCGCCCCGCCATCGGAAGAGAAGCGCTTGCAAGATTACAGATATTTCTCTCCAGACTGGATAAGATCTCATGAGATCTCGCGTGTTTCCCGTGAAACATAGAATGAGATCCGGCGATCAGTGTATATGAACACCCACATCCCACGCCGCAGAGCACGCGCAACGCAAAAGGTTACAAACCCTGAGAGGAGAGCGGAGACCATGGCGCCTGAAACAGACGACCATTCAGTCGGCTTCCTCTAGAGCGACGCCTTACGACAAAACGCCAAAGAGACACAAAGACCTCACAGATGCAGGAGATTATTGAAAAGACATGAGACCAATAAACACTGTTAGATTTTTATATCCTGATATTGATCGATATCAGCTGATAGGAAAAGAAAATACATTGTGATAAACTTTTTCCCATGTCGCCCAGCCCTAAACAGTACCTATGTGAATGGACAGGTGGGAGGTGCCTGTGTTGATTGGCAGGTGGGTGGTACCTGTGTTGATGGACAGCTGTCAGCAGGTCGGAGAAGTGTTGTTGACATTGTTTCAAGGAAAAAAGAACTTGAGCTTCAACGTTCTGCAGCGAGCTCTGTGACCATGAGAGGAAACGTTTGTCAACTTCTCGATTATTGATCAATTAAGCAATGCCAATAACGACTTATTTCTGAGTTTTGAACAGGTGAGTGTGGGACAGGTGAGTGTGGGACAGGTGAGTGTGGGACAGGTGAGGACTGACTGTGAATTGTTGCTCCACGTTTGTCTTGAAGGTGTTGAAAGCAGCTGTAATGCCAGATGTAAGGTCTGATTTTGGCTCCGCCCCTAACTCCTTCACAGGATCCTCTCTTTTCCCACTCGGATTGATAGGTTCCTCAAACTGCTCCGCCTCTTCGGCTGCAGACTCCGCCTCCTCAGGTGATAACTCTGAGACAGGTGAAGAAGAAGGAAAGCTGTTTAATCATGATGACAGGGAATCACAAAGAAAAGGATTAAAGGTGACGTACGTATCGGTGATGGGATAAACTCCTCCCCTTCTGTCTGAGGCTCCGCCCACTTCTTATGGAATGACGCCCCCTCAGTTTGTTCCGATAGATAGCCTTCATCACAGAAACACAAAGTCAGACATGATGAAATGTGAAAATAAGAAAGTAAATCTGTTAAACATCGTAGAGTGACACCTGAGTCCGCCGCAGCTCTCTTCCTGTCGGACTTTACGACTTCCTGTTCCAGAAACAAACAAAAATCAGAAAAAAAAGAGTTTTTGTCTGTTTAGGGACAAAATTTCAGAAACACACCTTTCTGATAGGAGGGCTACTGTCTCCAAACTCTTCTGATTCTTTCTGGTAGACCTGAAGCTCCACCCCCACAGGAACACCTGAGAGACAGACAGGTGATTCCAGGTGCTTCATCAAAGGTTTTATGGGGTTTATTGTTACAGAGTGAGCTGCAGGTGGCGCTGGTGAAGAGCTCTGTGTGTGACTGATCTTTGGTGATCACCTGAGCTGTAAGTCGGGGTCGAATGTCTGATCTGATCAAACAGGAACTCTGCAGAGCTCTTCACCGGAGTCTGACGACGACAAAAACACGATAAAACAACGAAACACAACAGATATAGGACTCAACACAACAACACAACCTCACAACAACACAACAACACAACAGATATAGGACCCAACACAACAACACAACAGCACAACAACACAACTACACTCCAAAAACAGACAAATACAAAAAACATCAGTTTTTACAGCGCAATTTACATGGTGCAGTTTTTACAGTACAGAGTAGTTACCCTCATTCGTGAGTCTTCTTCGCTGCCAGGAGAGGACAGAGGCAGGACTGGACAGACAGACAGAGAGACAGACGGACAGACAGACAGACTTCACTGTCTTTATTAATGAATTTGAACAGTTTGTGTTTAAATGTGAGAAAATGTATCAATTAAAAACCTGTCAGAATAAATCAATCATCGTTTCTTCACAGGCTGCAGTGACTGTTTTAACCACAACAGCCCAGCAGAGGGAGCTCTACTCATACCAGACTCATTTATTCCATGTCATATGTTTCTTCTTAGTGGACAGGTGAGTTCAGATGGAACAGGTGAGTTACTTTCATAGACAGGTGAGTTAGTTTAGTGTTTACCTGTCGTAACACCTGTTATTGTCGCCCTTGTGACCCTCTCACCTCTCAGCTGGCTCTTATTGGACGGTTTCTTCCTGCTGTAGGATCTTCCACTCTGTCTGTTTGCAGGGGAGGACACCTGGACTGAACCACCTGAGTCTGAGGCGTGGGGGGAGGAGCTCTGATGTTTCTGAGAGAAAAAGACGTTTCAGACGATCACACAGACTCCGCCCACTAATATCAGAGATCAATAACAGCTGATTATCCATCAATAATACAGGTACCTTAAAGACTCTGTATGCGGCCTCCTCCAGCTGTTGGTAGAGTTCGCTGTTGAAGCTCAGCTTCACCGTTTTAAACGGGTTGTTCTGATGCATGATGGGATCTTTCAGATGGACGCTGAGGATTATCTCTCCCCCAGTGCATTCTGGGTAAAACAATTATTTTGACTGCAGTGATGAAAACGATAAAATGTTCGTTAACGAGGAAACTAACGTCAGAACCAGAGACTGTATATAGAACGGACGACTCTCGGCGACTCTCCCGCTGAATACGTACAACGCTACTGCGCAAAGTTGGTTACAGGAAGTGGAGAAAAAAACGCGGAAATACTGAGAACTTTTCAGCTTCATATCCGTAAACTGGCGAAAGGCGGAGCCAAGCTGTCCGTCATATTTACAGTCTATGATCAGAACTAAGAGGAGACAGAGATGAGAGATCTGACCGTCAGGTTTGAGCTGAACTCTGTAGTGATCCACGTCCTTCTTAAACAGGTGGATGGTACCCCACAGGAACCCCTGATACACACACACACACACACACACACACACACACACACACACACACACACATAGTTCAGAACAGCCCAGGTGTCACCAGGTGTGTTGTCAGCACCGCTCACAGACCTGAGGGTCATCGGTGAAGAAGCTCACACATTCTGAGCCCGAGTTAAAATCGATCCAGAACTCGTCCATTTTCTCGTCTTGAGGGCGAAAGATCTGCGGAGGAACCAAACGTCAGTTCACCTGTGAGCGATCTGTAAACGATAAAAGGTTCGACGTTTACCTCAGTGGAGTTCAGGTACGCCCGCAGACAGGGGAAGGTGTAGATCCTGTCAGACAGAGTTCAGGGAGAAGAAATCATCCATCAGATTTACTGTTAATTAATCAGGTTTGATTTTGAAGCATCACCTCTTTTGGTTTCCATGGTGACGGTTGACAAAGTTCAGGAAGCGCCGACAGTCCTTTAAAAAGAGAGAGAGAGAGAGAGAGAGGTCAGAGAGAGAGAGAGAGAGAGAGGTCAGAGAGAGGGGCGTTCAAACAGAGCGGCGTCCAACCACACGGGCGAGTCTCTTACGACTTCGAAGTCTGCATCTGTGATGGTACAGAAGGCGTCACTGATGTCACGAGCAAACCACTGATTGGCTCTCGGCTGTCGGATCCTCCGGGGCGTCAGACGACACAGAGCCTCCGTCAGGCTGACCTGCAGCTCGTAGTCTAAACAGGAAACAGAAGACATTGAAGTTTCGCCGCTACGCCGACGACACGACTCTTTACCTTTAAAACAGCGAGCGACTGTTTACCTGATACACAACACACTCACCTCCAGCTGTGAGGACTAACGCCGCCATCTCAGACCTGACACACACACACACACACACACACACACACACACACACACACACACACACACACACACACACACACACAGAGTAATCAGATGATAAAAGGGTTTTAAAAACTAATTTAATCTTCCTAACGATTAGTGTGTTTGGTGTGTGGTTAGGTTGTGTGTTTAGTATGTATTGAGTGTGTATTTGATAAATGCATTCTGTGTGTGTGTGTGTGTGTGTGTGTGTGTGTGTGTGTGTGTGTGTGTGTGTGTGTGTTACAGTATCTGTTTGAGGTTCGGCTCGTTCTGGATCAGCTTCCTCTGCTCTCGGCTCAGAGACTCTAAAACGCTGTTGAAGGTTCTGATCGCCTACAAACAAACAAAAACACACTTTCAGAGACGAGACGTCAAGACCGGACCGGACCAGACCGGACCAGACCAGACCAGACAAGACCGGACTGGACCAGACTGGACCACAAGAGACCAAAAAAGACCTAAACAGACCAGGCATCAGAGACCAGAGCAGACTAGATTCTATCAGAACAGACCAAAGAGGACCAAACTAAACCAGAACAGACTGGACCAGAACAGACTGGACCAGAACAGACTGGACCAGAACAGACTGGGACTAACCAGAAGACAAGAGACAGACAAGTCCATGAAAAACTGTAGACCAGAATCACCTTTTCAAAGACCAGAGTGGACCAGAAAAGACCAAGAGAAACCAAGAGAAGACTAGACCTTATCAGCTGATCAGACCACATAAGACCGAAAACACCAGAAAGATGGACCAGAAAATTCTGTTAAGGACCAGGTCCAATAAAACAGAACAAAAAGACCAGAACAGGGGAGCAAAACTGAGTGGTACAAACGAGAACAGATGGATCAGAACCAACCAGAGTCAACAGATCGGCCCAGACCACGACAGAGCGGTCAGATACTCGGTTCGGGTTACCTCCAGTCTCAGTGGGAAGTGGATCTTAGTTTCCAGAGCGTATCGAGCCAACTGAAGAAAGACCACGGAGAGCTGAGAGACTGAGAGACGGACGGACAGATGGACGGACGGAGAGACAGACGGAGACACAGGTGGAGGGACAGACAAGCTGATTAAAGTCTGATATGTGTTTCTGATCAAAAGAAGAAAAGAAAACAAACATACCAGGAAGAGAAGCTTGACCCAGCAGCTGGAAGACAGACGGACAGACAGACACACACACAGACAGACACACACACAGACAGACACACAGACAGACACACACACAGACAGACAGACGTTAGTAAAGGTGCAGGCAGTCATTGGCAGTAAAAGCATGATTCTGAACCGAGGACAGCCTCTGATATAAAATCAGTCCCTGAAAGGATCAGCGTCCTCTCTGCCTGTTGACACTGTGGTAAAAACGTCCGTGTCTGTCTAACCCTCAATCTCCACCTTCATCCTGATCGTCTCCTAAAAGGTCGTATCCTCCGATCGTAGCTGATCGTAACCATTCAATTTAACGTGTCAATTTACACCGACTTCTTTCCGTTCCTCTGAGGATCGCCGGACTCCTCAGCTGATCACAAGAGTTCTATTTTTTCCGGACGCTGGAGCATGGCGGATAAATTCAGCACAGATTAACCCGTGCTGGAGAGGAAGTCGGGCACAGACACAAAATAAAACATCCGGCTTCTTTTCAAAATAAAACACTCCGTGTTTCAGGAGGATCGTATTTCGACGGGTCAGGGTGATCCCAGGTATGGAGGCGGCCTGAGGAGCCACTGGACCATCAGCTTCTCTTTAAGACTTCCTGCCTCTATACTGCCCCCTACTGTTCCCCTTGATCATTTGCGTGCACAGCCAACACGCCAATTCAGCGCCCCCTACATGTGGCAGCCTCATGTCGTATGAGTGAGTACATCTCTGCAACATTTCTGTCATTTAACCGATATGGTGCTGAAACTTCATCTCCCAGCATGCTCCTCACCAAGATGATGTTGTAGAACTCTTCAGTGATGTTCAGCAGCGGGGCGGAGCTTATCTGGAGGTCAGAGATCAGGAGGTTGTAGAGCGCTTCAAACCACAACAACACCTGAGGGACAGATCACAAGTTCACAGGTCGTCTGAGGACGTGAGGAACTTCCTCTGGTTCTGGTTCTGGTTCTGGTTCTGACCTTGGCTGTCAGTCCCAGTTGGATGAGCGTCTGCAGGACGTCACTTCTCGCTGATAGAGCCTCTAAAGACCTCAACACGACCTGGACCCTGCTGAGACCCGACCCACTTAGATTCTGAAACACAGACAGAGACATCCTGTGACCCAGTCAGGCCAGTCTGTCGTCATGGTAACAAGACATCCGGTCTAGACCTGTGCACACTGACAGGTCACACCCTTTCAAAATAAAAGCCCGTTCATCAACGATAGCAGAACCTTTAATTTTGGAAACATCGTAAACACAACAACGTCTGTGGTTACCGTGGTAACGAAGTGGTCCAGTTTGGTGAGGGTGAAGCTGCTGAGACCTTCATCAAGCAGAACCGAGCCCAGAGCGGAGGAGTCACCGCGGAGGAGACACTCTTGGATCCTTAACTCAAACTACACACACACACACACACACACACACACACACACACACACACACACACACACACACAGAGTGACATCAGTGTAAATAATAAAAATAATACCGATGTGATCAATAAAAAATCAATTGAAATCAATCAGAAAAAGAGAGATTGGTTTTTTTTCTTTATCGATAATATCAGTTTCCTGTCTGAGCAGCTTGAGAAGTCTTATATATCTGCTCTCTGTGTGTTTGTAGTCCTCCTGCTCAGACAGCAGGGGGCGCTGTTCGCCGCTCTGTAACTCAAACAGAAGGGAAAACTGACCTGATGGTGAATTAACTTCAAAAGTTTAAACAGACAAACAGATCCGCGGACTATCAGACCGATTGTTTTATTGAAAATAACCGATAAACAATCGGTCTGATATTATATCAGACGGTTTTTATGATTATTAATAATTTAACAACATTAGGGTTAATGAAGTTGATCTCACCGGTCACCTGGTCAATAAAACGTCATCACTGGTCACGTGTTTTTACTAACTCGAGATAATCAGCTGACTTCACATCACATTTAAAACCAATATTTGATAATAAAACAAAAATAATCGGATCAATAAGTTTATTTACCATCTTCTCTCTCTTCTCAGGCTGCAGGGAGCGCGCACTGACGCGTGCACAGCTGCGGCTCATTTACTCATCAAGGAGTCGGGTCTGCGCAGGCGCAGAAAGAGAGTAGTCATAGCAGCAGCAGAGAGGAGATCAAAGATTTTGATTGGTCCAGTTTGATCCTGAAACAATCGAGTTTAAACAAAAATAAATGATTTAATTCAGTTTAAAGACAAAAAAGTAAAGATGCCGATTAAAAAGAAAAGAGATAATTCAGAGTTTAAAAACAGAATTGATTTTCTGTGTTTTTGATCAATCTTCTGTTTTTAAATTTTGGTAAAAAAAATTAATGAAAGCTTTAATTTGAAGAATGAAAGAAAATTTAATCAAATGAACAAACAAACAGTCTGATCAATAAAGTTCACAATAACACAGATTATTATTGAAGTTTTTACATGAAGAAATCTCCAACAAACACAGAGGTTAAAGTTCAGTGTCTGAATCACGTGATCAATTTCTTTTACCTTTTACAAGAAACAGGGGGTGGCTCAACTTACCCCGCTCTCCCCTACCTTTAACTCTTAATCTGATGTAAACTCTCTAAATTCAGTCTGAACACAGAAATGCGAACAATTGGTCGTTTGTACGGTGGCCGAGAACTGCCACTGCTGCTGCAGCAAAAAAAGAAGCCACAATGGAAGTTACTGCTAAAAAAATGTGGCAATGCAAAAAAAAAAAAAAAGTTACTGCGAAAATAAAAGGATGCAAATTAAAAAAGACACAACAGAAGTGAGCTGCCGGGGACCAATAAGGATGATGCACCGGTGTTTTCAATCTAGGCACAGAAGACGGCGAAAAGACGAGCAAAGAAGTTCGTGGAAAGGTTATTGTTTAATTTTACTTTGTAAACTTTTTAATGTGTCGTTTTCAACCATGAAGTGAAATTAAACAATAACCTTTCCACGAACTTCTTGGTTCGTCTCCTCGCCGTCGTCTTCTGTGCCTGGATCGTAAAACATCAGTGCATCATCATTATCGGTCCCTGGCAGCTCACTTCTGTTGTGTCTTTTTTAATTTTCATCCTTTTATTTTCGCAGTGAGTAACTTTTTTTTTTTTCTCTACGCCTTTTTATGGGTCGTTAATTTCCATTGCGGCTTTTTTTTTTAAACTGCACTGTTTCTTTTTTTAATTTGCAGCAGGCTTCAGTTTCTTTTTTTTTTCTTTAACTTACGTTGTGACTTCTTTTTTTGCATTCTTTTTTATTTGCAGCAGTGGCAGCTCTCGGCCACCGTAGCTTTGGCCTCATTTTACAACACTGGGAGTTTCTGCTCAACACAGACAGACGAGAGGACAGGAGGACAGGAGGACAGACATTTGGACAGGTGAGCAGGTCTTCAGGTAAAAGCTGACTGATTGATGACTAATGAGTTTGTTGGTTTGAGGGAAAACACTGAAGTGTTTACACAACACACACACACACACACACACACACACACACACACACACACACACACACACACACACACACACACAGAGGATCAGCAGATTTCACATTTAGTGTTTAAAATCATTTTTTTCATGTCTGTATTTTTTAATATTTATTTTTGTTTGTCTTATTAAAATACCTGAGATGTGACGCCATCTTTGTCTGATTGATGTCAGCACTATGATATCATCACCACACACACACACACACACACACACACACACACACACACACACACACACACACACACACACACACACACTCCACCCCCCACCCCTTCCGTGGGAGCAGCTCGCGCCTCTCTCACCTGTCCCTCACTCCGTACCTGACGCTGAGCGGAGCGGAGCTGCGCGAGGAGCTGCGGACCCTCAACTCACCTGAAAGTTTAACAAACAAAGTTCCGGACCATCTGAGTCCGAACCGAACCTGGAGGATACAGACCAGAACCGACGGGAGGGCTGACCCGGACAGGATCGAGACTGGATCGGGGTTTAGACCTGGACAAGGTCAGGATCAGGGTCAGGATCAGGACTAAGACTTGGGACAGGACCGAGACCAGGACCGAGACCAGGACCAGGACCAGGATCAGGATCAGGACATGTCCCGGGCGGAGGAGCGCGAGGAGGCGGACTGTGTGTGCTCAGTGGGGATGAAGTTCACGTGGGACATTAACGATCCCAAACTCCCACAGGTGAGACACGAACCTGTCCGTGATGTTTGAGGAGTTATCCAATCAGAGGGCGGTCTAAATCAGCCACGAACTGACCCCGAACTAAACCCGAACCAACCCCGAACTAAACCTGAACTAAACCCGAACCAACCCCGAACTAAACCCGAACTAAACCCGAACCTACACCGAACTTAACCCGAGCAAACCAATCTTATCAAACAGAGAGAAAATCCACCGAGTCTAGATCAGACTGACAAACTATCAAATAATAATAATAATAATTATAATAATAATAATAGTAATCATCATCATCATCACCATCATCATCATCATCATATTTTAGTGAAAATTTTAAGGTCTGTCTTAAATCCTCAGAAATCTAAACGAGGTTTGGTCCTGGTTAACATCATAAGACAGACTAAATGAAAATATTAAAACAAAAATCAAATAAAACATCGTGGAATTAACCGTGTGATCTCTTAAATAGAGTAAAAACTGAAAAGGGTTTGGTCTGAGCCTTTAAAATAACTCAAAAAGAATAAAATGGCAGCTTTAGTGTGGATGTGCCGTTTAATCATGTCTAAAAATACACAAAATCTGACAGGGATTTGGTTTGATTTAATTTAAACATGTTTAGAAGAAATTTATGAAATGAAGCTCTTCGTGTTTTATTTTATTTTTTACTTAAGTATTTTAAAGTGTTTCATTTCACCAGATAAGCATCGATTCTTGACTTAAAAACACGTGTTGTGTGTTTTTTATCATTATTTCATCAACTGCATGACAACGAACTGATCAGGTTTGGTCTCCAATTACAGAAAATTGATCTTAACAGTAAATTAAACTCGATCTGAGCAGCTTTTAAATACCAGGTCCAAATACGAATTATCAGATAAGTTTATTAAAATAAGATTAAATCGTGTTTTAAGATACTTATCTATCTTGACTCGTTACAATCAATGAAATCCTTATTCTCCAAAAAACACGTGTCCTGTCTGCAGGGACCGTCAACAAAGTGCAACACGGACAGAAAATGCTGCAAAAAAATATCAAATAAATCACTTCATACACAATAATTCTGTTTTTTAAATCTCAATAATAAGTTTAGGAAAATATGCTTTTACACATTTAGGAGTCATGTTTTAATTCTACTGAAAATGTAAAATGTAGTTTTGTTTATTTGTGTGGAGCTCTGCAGAGGATGTGATTTCTTAAATGCTACAAAAAGTGACTGAGGTTTGGTTGAAAAATAATCAAAGTAATAATGATTAAAGAAAACAAATAAACTGATGATTAAAAAATATTGAGAAGGTGATGTAAAGACGATAAGAGTAAAAAATGAAGTAAGTTTGGTTTGAAGAGGAAGGATGAACAGAAAAGGTTTGAACTGATTTTAAAGAGATGAAAATATTGAAAGAAAAATACGACAAACTGTAAATGGAGTAAAATCAGAGCAGGGTTGTTCTGATTTAACTTAGAGATTAATTAAAATAAATGAGCCAAATCAAGTGACCGAATTAAAGGAGGATGTTTAATGTTTTTCAAAGGACATAAAATTATACAAACATTTTAAAGAAACTTCAGATCTGCTTTGGTTTTATTAAATGTGTAAAAAAGTGAATGAGGTTTGGTTTCATCTGACGAGGAGTGAAACATTTTATGATATTTTTATTATTTATTGTTATTGATAAAGGGATGATGGTTGAGTCTGCCGCTGTGATCCTGACGTCCTCGTGTTTCATAAAATCATTTCAATAAATCTGATTTCTTTAAAGTGACGAGACTTAAAAACTCAGAGGAGTCTGTAAACTGTTCAAAGGTTTTTATTCTTTATTAATAAACATTTTTACAGAAGCTCATGAACGTAAAGAGAAAATCAGATTTTAAAATTCATCCAATGTTTTTATTTCTGTCTGAATAAAGAAACCAAAGACATAAAAACAGGTTTATTTTCAGCTGACAGTAAAAACACAGTTAGAGACGAACTGAACATGTTAAATTCTGTCATTAATAAAGATAAAAATAATGTGTGGAAATAATGTTTTGTAAAAAAAAAAAAAAAGCTTTTATCATTAACATGAAAATTAAATTAAAATTTAATTAAAATCATGTTTTATTTTTATTTAAATAAAATCTGTTTGTTTTTAAAGGTCAGTTTGATATAAAAACAGATTATTTAGATTCTGATTAAAAACATTTTTGAGAAACAACCGATCAGAAATCTGATTTCAGGATTTAATTTCTCTGATCTGATGTTTTATTTAATAAAATAAGTTTCTTCTTTTTTATGTCTTTCATTCATATTCAGCTGATTTTCAGGTCAATTTATCTTCTCTGCTGTAAATTCATTTAAATCACTAAGAGTTAATCATGTCAAATGAATAATTTTACATTTATTTCATGATTTTATTAACAGAAAACACAAATGTCTCTATTTATTTACTCTAAAACATTAAAATCTGATTATCTGATAAACAAACAGATAAAAAGTCTCAATCAAACGTTGTCATTTAAACTTAATTGACTTCAATCACTTTTTACTCAAAGACAAGAACAAATTAAACATATAAAATAAATAATAATGTAGGAGATTCAACAGACGCTGACGTTAAGACCCCTGACTGCAGTAAAACAGAAGCTTTATTTACACATGACGTTTGTGCCGTTCATTGTATTCATGGTTGACGTTAAGAAAATATTAATGTTTATTTTTATTAATAAAATTCTCAGTTAAATTCACCACTCTAAAATAAGAGGGTGTGTTTGTTTTTATGTGTTTCTAAACTCCGTTTGACACGGTTCAGTCCGGAGGAGCAGCCTGTCGAAGTCCAAAAAAAGGAAAAAAAGACAGAAAAGAGGAAAAAAAACTTCAGTTTATCATCGATTTTTATCTTCCTGTCAGAAACGATCAACCATCAGACAATAAAACTGATTATTTTTGACATAAATTAAAACTACGACTCTCTGCTGAGTCTGTTTGATCAAAACCTCAGAACAAGACATGAAGATGGATCAATAAAAACGAACCAAAGACATCGCTTCTTAAAGAGTTTAAAACATCAGATTTTAAATGTCGTTTGTATCTAATCAATAAATCTGTCACTGACTCCTAACCCGCTCATCTCACCCTTCAGTCCCATCGTTTTAGATATCACATTTTTATTCTGATTAAAGAGGTTAAAATAAAACTGACCTGTTTTTACTTTGACTGACGATCATGTTTTCCTGTTAATTGATTTCATGACCTTTGACCTGTTCAAATGTCCTTTGATACGTTTCTTCTCAATAATCAATCAGTAACTTTACAGCGTGTAGAATACGGCAGCATGTCTCCGCAGAGTCACGGCGTGGTTTCAGGAGGTGAGGCGGGAAAGTTTTCTCATGCACAGCCTCAAATCTGATCAATGAACAGGAATCATCAATAATCTGATCAGCTGATCAGTTTCTGCACAGACGTGATAATCATTGATTAAAAATAAACTCTGCTGAGTCCGACCACGAGAGGAGTTTCTGTCCTGAAGATGATTCTGGTTCATCCTCAGAGCATCAGAGCGAGAGCAGACGTGACGAGGCGAACGTCAGAGTTTGATCTGAGAGGATCTGTGATCGATTAGATGTATCTGTGATCGATTAGATGTATCTGTGATTGATTAGATGTATCTGTGATTGATTAGATGGATCTGTGATCAATTAGTTATCATCGACAGCTGCTGATTTTGTTCACATTTACACAATATTTCAGTGAAGTAGCTGACCTGATATAGACCCACAGGACTGAAGGTCATCTGAAGGGTGTGTGTGTGTGTGTGTGTGTGTGTATGTGTCTGTGAGTGTGAGTGTGAGTGTGAGTGTGTGTGTCTGTGTGTGTGTGTGTGTGTGTGTGTGCTGACTGCGCTCTCTCTCTGTTTTTGGTTAAACAGTAAAAACTGTTTTTTTTATTGTTGTTGTTTTCAGTGACACACAGAGTGAACCGATCAGCTGATTAATATCAGTGATTGATTGGTCTCACACACACTGTTAAATCTGTAAATTCTGTTTTTTTTCTTTCTCTCCTTTCTCTCTTTCCTTCTCTTCGTCTGTCTGTCTTTCTTTCTTTCTTTTTTCCTTCCTTTCATCCTTTCCTTTTTTCTTTTATGTTTCCTTCTTTCCTTCTCTTCCTTTCCTCCTTCCTTACCTTCTTTTCTTTCATGTCTTCTATCCTTCTCTCTTTTCCTCCTTCCCATCCCATTCTTCTTCTTCCTTTCCTTCATTTACTCTCTCTCTTTTCCTCCATCATTTTCTTTTTCCTTTTCTTTTCTTCTTTTTTCTGCTTTTCTCCATCCCTTTCTTTCATCCTCCTATCAGCCTTTCATTTGTTTTATTCTCTCACTTGTTCCCTTATTTATCTTTCCTTCTTTCTTTCTTTCTTTCTTTCATCCTCCTATCCTTCTTTCCTTATTCCTCCGTTCCTTTTTTCATTCTCTCCCTCTTTCTTTCTCCCTTTCCTTTATCTATCCCTCTCTACTTTTTACTCCTTTTCTTCCTTTTTTCTACTTTCTTTCTATCTTCCTTCTTTCCTTTTCATCCTTATATGTTTCCTTCATCTTTCCTTCCTTCCTTCCAGCTTTTCTTCTTTATTCTTTCTCTTTTATTCCTTCCCCCTTTTCACGTCTTTCTTTCCTCTTTTCCTTCTTCTTGTGTCCTCCTTTCCTTCTCTAATTCTTCCTCTCTCTTCCTCTCTTTCCCTCCCTCTCTCAGTCTTGGATGAAATTACTTCGTTAATTCATCAGCTTGTATTTTCTTTGTGTTGACTTTTCTTCCACCTGCAGACATTTGTTGTTGTTTTTTTTGCGTACAGGTAACGCTCACATAAACGCTCCTGTGTGGGTTTAATAAACTTTAATTATTGTTTGTCGTTGTCTGTCTTTCTGGTTGAGTTCAGCTTCACGGTGAATAAAAACCTTTAAAGATGTTAAATTTGAACCTCCTTCATTTTTACCCACTGATGATAATTTCAGCTCGACCACGGCTGATGAAACACTTAAATAAACTCATCAGATCAATACAAAGTCAATTCAAACTCTTGAATTAAAAACAAAATATATTTGAAAATAAAAATATAGTTTAGTCTCTTTAACTCATAACTCGTCCTTCTTCATCTGTCTCTCTCTCTTTAGGACACGAAGCAGTTCGACCCGTTCCAGGAGTGGACAGATGGTTATGTCCGTTTCATCTACAGCGGTGAGAGACGTTCAGATGTTTCTTCTACTGAAGGTAGAGCGAGCAGAAATCTAAATATGAGGCCACAGATAGATACGCTCTCATAGGTGGAGCTACGGTGGCCTTGAGGACACAAAACAAACAGGTTCTCTGTAAGATCCAAGACTGTAAGAAAACACAGAGTTACTTTAAGAAATTTACCGTCCGGTTAAATCGAAGTCATGAGAGAAAATGGCCGCTCCATTAGCTGTGTGAACTAAAACATGAACTTGAAGCTCTAACGAGTTTGTTTTTGTCGTCCAGGTGAGGATAAGAACGCTCAGAGACACCTGTCCGGCTGGGCGATGAGGAACACAAACAACCATAACTGTCAGATCCTGAAGAAGTCGTGTTTGGGCGTGGTGGTTTGTTCTCGAGGCTGCACGCTGCCCGACGGCTCCAGACTGCAGCTCCGCCCCGCCATCTGCGACAAAGCGCGGCAGAAACAGCAGAGTAAGAAAGTAACACACCTGAACATGAATGTCACACCTGAGCCCGCGCTCACCTGTCCGCTCCGCGTTTCAGAGAAGCTGTGCCCGAGCTGTAACGCCCCGCTGGAGCTGCTGCCGTGTCGGGGTCACAGCGGGTACCCCGTCACCAACTTCTGGAGGGTGGACGGGAAGGCCATCTTCTTCCAGGTGAGCGTCTTCACCTTCATCGACAATGAGCTTCATGTCTGAACCACATAGAGTGAGCTAAAAGAGCCTTTAGACCAGATCCAGGTAGTCTGACGTTATCTCGCCCGATCTCGACCCCTCAGAGCCGATATCAAAACTCCCATTTTAGAAAAAGTCGTGTCAGAACAGCTGATATCGTTCATGGAGCAGCATGATCTCTACGAGATGTTTCAATCAGGTTTACGGAAAATGTCCTCCACTGAAACTGCTCTGGTGAAAGTTTTGAGTGATGCGATGATGGCGACAGACTCGGGTCGCGCCACAGTCTTTGTCTGCTTTTGATACGGCAGGGTTCTGTTCTTGGGCCCGTTTTATTTTTGTTATTCCTGACGCCGCTCGGCCAGCTGGTTCACGGTTTTAAAAATGTGTCCGTTCACTTTTACGCTGACGACATTCAGTTGTATTTCATGACTCAGAGTTTCACCTTTTATCTGGATTTGTGGATTGTGTGTCGCTCGCATTAAAAACTGTCTCTCTTCAAATTACCCGATGAAAAAATCGCCTTCATCAAAAACCATCTTGGAGCTCTGGGCCTCAGAAAACCTTGGGGTTGTTTTTGAACGAGTCCTGTCTTTAGAGGGTCAACAAAATATCTCTAAAGTGAGGAGAACGTTGTCCAAACCAGATCTTGACTTAATCGTTCATGCGTTTATCTGATCCCGTATTGATTATTGTAATTCTCTGTTCATCTGTTTTAATAAGGCGGCGATAAAGAGACTTCAGTTTGTCCAAAAATCAGCCGCCAGACTTCTGACGGACACGCCCAAATCTGCTCACATCACCCCGTCTTATCACGTCTTCATTGGCTAACGGTCAATTTTCGTATTAACTTTAAAATCTTAGTCCTGACTTTCCGGGCGCTTCATGGTCAGACCCCCTAATATATCACAGATATGTTGTGCCCCTACTCCCCCTACTCGTCAGGCCAGAACCCCCTAACGGTGCCTAAGATCTGCTCCAGCCTCAGACTCTGGAACGATCCGCCCCTCTCCCTCCGTTTGATCGACTCAGTGGAAACTTTTAAAAATCAGTTCAGACTCATGAGTTTGTCCATTAAGGTCTCAATGGTTTAATCCGGTCTAAACTAAAACCTGGACTCGTAGGTCCAGGGATGATTAAGGTTGATCAGATCTGGACCTGGTTCCTGGAGTGAAACAGGATTTAGATCAGACCCTGACTTTGGTCTGTTGGTTCATTCTCGTCCTTTTGGTCCTGCAGGCGAAAGGAGTCCACGATCATCCCAGACCAGAATCCAAGTCTGAAACTGAGGCCAGGAGGAGTTCAGTGAAGAGACGAGTCAGCTCGCCACCGTTCACGCCAAAGAGACGTCTCATCGAAACCCCAGTCAGAACCAGCCAATCAGCTGTTAGCTCTTGTTTTCTATTGTTTGTTTGTTTGTTTGTTTGTTTGTTTGTTTACCTGTTGTTTACTCTTCCAGGCTCTTGGCCCCGCCCTCCTTTCCTGCGTCGATCCCTCAGACAGGATCTCCTTCATTGAGCCTAATTTCCCTCAGCATTACCCATCATTCCAGAGCCCCGAGCCCTACTACAACCCCCACAATCCTCTGGGAGAAGCCCCACCCACCCTCCAGAAACCAGCCAATCCTAGGCTTTACATGAGCCGACCTGGTTATGAGTTCCAAGGGTACCTGACCTCGCCCTCATACCCCATGACCTCAGACTTCTGTGACCCGAGGTAGGTCTCAGATGTTCTCGCAGCAGACCCGGTCTCAGGTTGTGCGGATGTTAATTCCGGGTTCTGTATGTTTGCAGGGTGACCCCAGTCCTGGGCTCCTCCTCTTCCTCCTCATCATCTTCAGCTCCTCTCTCCTCCTCCTCCTCCTTCGATCCTCAGACGAAGCCTCCTTCTGGTTGGAAGGAGCTGCTGAAGAGCTCCGCCCCCTATGGAGACAACCACCACTATTACAGTACAGAGTACCCCTGCCGTTACCCCAGCAACGCTCCAGGGTCACCTGCGGCATTGCAGACCATCATCACTACGACAACAAAGGTGAGCCCAGGTCCACAGGAGGATCCGGATCATCAGTAGGTTGATTAGTTATGGTCGTTTAGGGGGGCGGGGCTTAAACATTGGTGTACCTGTCATATTAACAGCTGTTCCCACCCTCCTCAGGTTTCCTATCAGCCCTGTGGTCCACCCAAACCCCCCCTACATAACTGCTCCTCCCTGCTGGATGACCCCCCCTCCTCCTCGTACTCCACGGAGGTGAAGGTGACGGAGGAGTCGGGCGGAGTCATCAAGTCTCTGTCGTTTCCGCCCGACACACTGCAGACCAAAACAGAGCGGACTGACGGCTACGACTACCGCTACGCCTCCTACCCTAACGCCTACCGCTACGATGACTACTGAGTAGGTTACACCTACCGCTGTTACCATGACTACTGTTGTCATGACTACGCCTACTGTTACAGTTACTACAGAAGACGCACTAACACTATCGCCATCGTTGCTTCCATCGTGACTGTTAGCAAAAACGGAGCGGCGCCTGTGAGCTAGTTCAGGCAGGCAGCTCAAATCTGTGCTCCTACATTTAGCCCCACCCCCTCTCAGCATCCTGGAGACTCTCACCCGGGTTTAGGATATGATCTCACAACTCCTCGTATTTCAGCGTGTAAAAAAAACCCGTGAGGAGAAATGAGGGCGGAGCTTAAACGCCGAATCCAACCAGTGTTCTTCTTCTCCTGCTGATAACATTTCAAACGTTTGCTGCCTGACTGAAACACTCCGACTACAACCAACAGCAACGCTGTTACCATGACGACACCTACACCTAACACTGCTGTGCTGAGCTCTGGGGCAGCACTACCCTCACTGTTGTTACCATGGCTACTGTTGCTACAACTACTGGCACCAAAGATCAACTGCTGCAAAGGCGACTTTAGCAGAGCAACCCGTTACCATGACTACAACGACTGCGACGAAAGCTGTTACTGCTCCTACCTCTAAGCCCATCCCAGGAGGACCGTTTCAGGACTACCAAGGCAACCGTCACCATGACCACTGTTACTACAGTTACTATGACAACAGCTTCTACCATCATCATCATCAGGATGAGGCTCAGATTGGACTTTCTCCAGGCTTCTAAAGGACCATCCTTCAGCTCCCGGTTGCAGTGGCGCCCCCTTCAGGACTTAAAGAGCTGACTGTGGTCACACTTCTTAACAAGATTCTAGTCTGGATCTTTAAAGACCTGGACGCAGATCCTGAGATCCTTGACAGCGTGGTGTCTGGAGACTTCTGCTTGGTCTGACAGTCAAGATTGGGGACAGGTCTTAAAGGTGTCTCTCGGTGTCACTCCCCCTCTGTTGTGCAGATGCAGCTCTGAAAATAAGGATATTGAGATTCATTTTATATTTAAATTTTAAAAAGTGAACTTGTGTGCATTCTTGCATGTAAAGGAAAGTAATTTTTTTTTTTTAAATTAGGATAATTCTGGCTCATGGCTGTTTTTTAAAGTTCATTTTCTCGTATTTAAGAACATTTCCAAAGATCAACCAAAAACATGTTTAAGAAACAGCGAAATCCTGAAAAGTAGGTTCATTTGTAAACTTGTTCTGGTTTTACTTCTCTGTGCAGTAGTCCAGTTCTTTCTCTTCTTTGTCCAAGTGAGACTCATTTGACCTTGTCTCCAAAATCGTCGTCTTCACCAGGATCTTGGTTGTGGGTACTGGACTTGACTTATGCTGCCTTTAAGTAACCTCGGGAGTCAGACATCGGAGCTGAAAATGACGTCACACCCGAGTTCCCAGCGTTTCAGTTACTAAGTCGGAAAAAAGCAAAATCGGAGGCAGAAAAGGCGTGACATTCGGACAAGGCAAGCGCTAAAATAACTTTGTAGATGTCGCCTTTTCTCCCTCCGATTTTACTTTTTTTCTCACTTTGTTACTGAAACGCTGGGAACTCGGGTGTGACATCATTTTCAGCTCCGACGTCTGACTCCCGGGGTTACTTGAACACAGCGTTAGAGATACAGGGTTTCATCAAAATTAAAGTGGAACACTTGAAACATGTTACTGGACAGGCCATGAGTCTGGATCACATGTTCTTAAATAACTGCTGAATATCATCGTTTTCGGAGCTGCGTCTGTCGGCGGGTCGAGTCGGCCTTTGTCATGTTAGTGAACTTCTCAGAGATCCTTCAGACCAGGATGGAGCTCAGAGTCCAGTTCTCCTGTTTTTACTCCTCCATGATCCTCATCAGTAAAAACACATTCAGCAGCAGGTCGTCTCCAAGGGGTCTTTTTTAAATCATGACATTTAAACTCTTAGTGTGTGTGTGTGTGTGTGTGTGTGTGTGTGTGTGTGTGTGTGTGTGTGTGTGTGTGTGTGTGTGTGTGTGTGTATTTATTGAATCAGTGTTCCCGGCTGAGATAATCTGACCTGTTTCCCTGATCGGAGTATTTCAGACTCTGTGGATTTGAACATCAAACTGTGTCTTTGTGAGTCTCACATTAAACAAACTGATGAACCTGCTGAGTACGACTCTTTACTGTGGCGTGAACAGGTGATGATGGAGAAAGGTGTAGACGGTAAAAGGAGGGGTCAAAGGGCGAGCAGACGGTAAAAATCCTTATCAAATAAAGCCGTGACGCCGTGTCGAACAGACGGAAGGACGCAAACGTGTCAGAGGGGTTAAACTAAGGTTCACAGATGATTAAAACATTAAAAACTCAGGATCACACATCATCTGTGTAACTTTATATATCATACTAACACTAATATCATCACATCAAACATTCAAGATCAGACAGTCAATGAAAAAGTTCACATCAGAAAAATCTTAAGACGACATCCTCAGGAGTCAGCGGTGTCCTCTGGTCAACATCGAAGGTTTCCACATTTCATATCCGCCCTGATCTATCAGTCCGTTTCCATGACACTCAAGAAAACTGAATTATCGCCTTATTCCGATAAAGACCGGACAACTGAAGTTCATGTAAAAACTTTAGTCTGACTATAATCAGAGTTTGAGAACTCCGAACTCTGAGGGACGAAGTTTAAAGACTTTTAAGGGTTAAAATGATCGGAAATAAAACAGATTTTTATGGTTTTCAGATGATTTTAAACCAACTTTGTCCAACAGGTTAGTCACATGACTCTGGAGTGGGAATCTACGCATAGAAAGGAAAACTGGACTTAGTTGAGACGTCCTTTCAACGAAGAATTAGAAATCAGTCAGTCTGTTTCCTTGACACTTTAGAGAAAACCGAATTATCGTCTTATTACGATTAAGACCGGACAACTGAAGGTCATGTAAACACCTTAGTCTGACTATAATCGGAGTTTGAGAACTCTGGTTAAGACACACAGATAATGTGATTGAAATCAGATTTTCTCTACCATGTAACCAGCGTAGTCGGAGTATGATCGGACAATACATGTGCGTGTGCGCCACGCCCCCGTAACCCCGGAACAAAAACCCCAGAGAAGAGGAGTAGCGTTCGTCTCCTTCGTCTGAAAAGACCCATATCGCCCCCTAGTTTTGGGGAGGAGGACACGTTCACGTCAATAATTAGTGAGTTTAATTATTATGAGCTTAGTCCGATTAAACTGAGACTGTAAACGTACTGAGTGACTCCGGGTTAGAGTGAAACTTCGGCAGCATCCTCGTCTCAGGTGAACCGCGTCCCCTCACGGGTCCAGAACCTCAGAGTGAGAACCTGCAGCAGAGGATCAAAGGACCTGTGTTTGGACGGGACGGTCTCCGAGTGTGTGAGTAATAAATGTTGTTTTGACAGCAGCACGTCGGGACAGGAACCGCGGAGCTGTCCTCAGAGTGAACCTTTAAACCCTTAGACCGACTCCTCTTCCTCACCCCCTCGAACCCCCGCTCTGTCACTACCCTCCATTAAAATCACTCGTTACCTGTCTGCAGTTTACATTAACATCCATCACTACAGAATTATGTCCACAGACTGAACCACCCACTCTGACACACGCTCTTATTTTGAAAGGCAAATTATCTTTAACTCTGCCAAAATATACAAAATAAAAGTCCGGTCACAAAAATTCACCTTCTCTTTTGACAGGTGAGAGTTACAGGTGAGACTAATGAGGACCTGATCACATGACCTCAGAGCTCTGGTGGGATGGACAGGTGTCACCTCCAGGTACACTACAGGCCAAAAGTTTGGAAGATCAGATCTGTTCAAAAAAAGATCATAGTTTCATTTATATAATTTACAACACAGTAAACACGACTATTGTGTAAAGAGTAACTGATCTGAAGACATTCTGACTATAATTATGAGGTATTTGAGTTTTTGTTGTTAGACTTTTTTTAAAGTAACCTCCTCTGGCTTTAACAACAGCTCAGCATATACCAAGTTTTCTAAGGTCTGTTCCAGAGATTACATTCAAGCTTTCTTAAGTTCATTAAAAAGAGACGCTGATTCGTGGGACGCGTTTTTCTGACCGATCGATCCAATTCATCCCGCACAAGCTGAATTGAGAAAGGTCTGGAGACTGAGGGGGCCAAACCATCTTTTGAAGAACACCTTCCTCTTCTCTTTTGTCTATGTAACCCTGACAGAGCTCGGCAGAGTTCTTAGGGTCATTGTCTCACTGCAAAACAAACTTATGAGCCACAAGTCTGAGTCCAGATGGAGCAGCATGGTGCTGGAGGATGGAGTGGTACTGTTCCTTCTTGAACGCAGTTGAGATTTATCAGGATTTTTGTATGCAGACTCTCAAAAGTCAAAAAGTTGAAGTGAATAATCCAACTGTGATTTGTTGTTTTGCTTTTGCGCTGAAGTTGTGACTCTTGCAAATGTTTTCAACTCTAAAAATAAGCACTTATTATCTTTCACTAACATATATCTGGCAATGGTCTGTTAACATCAATGTATATCTGAAGGTTAATGAGTAAAATGATGCATTTCCATGAAAGCAACATCTGATCGTGGAGTAAATACATCCCAAAATACATCAAACTCATGCTGGATTTTAGAAAAAGGTATTGTGAACAAAAACTTGAAGTTACTCCCAACTGTTCCGCCTGAAATGGCCTTGCTTCCAAACTTTTGGCCAGGTCAGGTTGATCCAGGTGAGTTTTCTGATTGGACAGTTTGATGCTCAGGTGTTTTTTACTCACGGCCCCCTGAGTAATCTTTTTTAAAGAGGTGAGCTCCAGGTGAGTTTTTATCACACAGGTGTAACTTCCTTTTTTTAAATTAATTTTAATTAAAAAAGTACAAAATTCAAACAAATAGACGACCTGACAGGTGTGCCCCTGACTGTATGACCTGTCGCTCCTCTCCTCTGATTGGTCGGTGCTTTGAAGGTGTTTTTGTAGAACGGACTTGTGGGTAAAAGATGTTTTGAGGCTCTGGGCTCATCAGCCAACGCCTCACCTGTCTCTCACCTGTAAACCAGGTGAGGCGAGCACAGATAATCCTGAGCTATGTAATTCTATCCTTTCACCAACAATCACCTCATCCTGTCTTCTTATCTTCTTATCTTCTTTTTCTTCTTCTCTGCTGATCTTCATCGCTGCTTTTTCACACGCAAATCATTTCATCCCCCTCTCTTCCTCCTCCTCCTCCTCCTCCTCTTCTTCACCTTCTTCTTCCTCTTTTTCTCCGCTAAATAAATCATCCCGTCTGCTGACATCAGATACCTGTACAAACATCCAGCCGTCACTCTGATGTGGCTCCGGCTAATGGATGTTTTCAGTTTGATGCTACATGCTCCTGATTTACAACAGAGACACAGACAGACGTATGGACGGACGGACGTCTGTGCGAACAGGATAAACTTCATCTGGATCTCTGAGCGGTTCAGTTTTAGACCCGACAGTCGTCTTACAAAGGTTTGATAGGCCTACGTTCACTCGTTCTTGAATTTGCAGCATTTTTATTCATGTTCAAACCGATCAGCCGCCTCCTAAACGTGGCGTCAAGAAGCCCAGTGATGGCGGTCGCCATGTTGGAAATGCTGACTCCTTCTAACTTTCTGCTCATCTGGAAAGAGGAGAGTTTGTTGTAGCTACAAACAAAGTGCAAGAGTGAAACCAGAGGGTGGTCATAACCCCAGTGAAACCTGATTGGTGGCACACATTAGTATATGAACTGTCTGAGATAATGGACCGTGACGAGCCACCGGGTAAAACAAACTCTGAAAAAAAGTCAAGATTGGGCCTCGCTGATTTAACGACGCTAACTTAGGACAGGATCGCACAGTCTGCGGGTTAATTAGGTCATATTTGTTCACAGGGTGTTTCTACCACGAGCAGAGCTAGCACCACCAGCCTTCACCCCTCCTTGTCGGTTACCGCCCACATCCTCCTTATATGTTAGTTTAACCAGAAACAGAAAGAAATAGAAACAGAAACAATATTTTGAAAAGAAGCCGGATGTTTTATTTTGTGTCCGTGCCCGACTTCCTTTCCAGCACGGGTTAATCTGTGCTGAATTTATCCGCCATGCTCCGGCGTCCAGAAAAAATAGAACTCTAGTGATCAGCTGAGGAGTCCGGCGATCCGCAGAGGAACGGAAAGAAGTCGGTGTAAATTGACACGTTAACTTGAATGTTTTCGATCAGCTACGATCGGAGGATACGACCTTTTAGGAGACGATCAGGAGGAAGGTGGAGATTTGGGGTCAGGACCTGTTGTAATAGTGAAAATGTTGATAAATAGTTTGATTGAGTAGAAACTGGTACAGACATGAAGAGTTTCGAGTTTTAACTCGAGAGTTGAATAAACTCAAAGAATCGGACTATCTGACGCGACTGTTTTAGCTCATAATTGATTTAAGTATTTATTGTAAATGTAATAAACACTTTGATAAATAAACAGAATTATTTGTCTTTGATACTAAAATAATGTTTTTAACTACGACTCACGTGTCCTTGTTTACTTCATACCACTCTCGGGAAAGTCAGTACGCTAGCTCGGCCACCTCAGTTAAAGATGTCTGACTCCGCCCCTGGCTAGGGGCGGAGTCAGATATCTGTCATCTGTATCTGACAGTCAATTTAGCCACACCCCTAAATTTGCATAACTCTTATCCTTAGTTTAATGTAACCTGCTGTAAAATTGGACGATTTAACGTGGAGCCCTAAAGAGACGGGCTCTAGTGGACACTTTAGGAACTGCAGTTTTGGGACTTTTCCATGTTTTTTTGTAACATGTCACAAAAATAACCATACAGAGCATTTTTTAAAGACTGACCACAAACAATGAGAGAGAAACCACGGTCGACACGGGTGATTCTATACGCTCCAGATCTATACGGGAAGAGATCTGACTGTCTGTGCTGACTCAAAGGTCTGCAGCTGGAGACGAGGCAGAGGATGATGAAGGTGGAGGAGGAGGAGGATGGGTGGGGGTGTGGTGAGGGAGGGAGGGTGGATGTTAATGCAGGGGGGCCCCCTATAAACAAAGAGCTTCTGCAGAAAGAAACGAAAATCATATCAGCTCCGAGGCCAGAAACACAACTTTAGAAACAACGATCAAAGAGCAGATAAAACTATCAACCTGCACACGCACACACACGCACACACATGCACACACATGCACGCTCTATACGTGTGTGTGTGTGTGTGTGTGTGTGAGTGTCTGGGTGCCGTGAGAAGTCTTATCTGAGCAGCAGGGATGCAGTGAATTCTTAAAAAGACAGGACAGTCTGATCTCTATCTCCCCCTCCCCGTCTCATCAGGACATGACGCTGATTCTGAGACGCTCACCTGACCGTCACTCACCTACCTGTGCAGACAAGACGTTCACACACACACACACACACACACACACACACACACACACACACACACACACACAGAGGTAAGTAGGAGAATAATGTAGAGCAGATTTAGCTCAGCGGTTATTTAAAGCATTCAGCAGATCAGAGCGATACTCTTTAATTCACTGCTTCTCTGTTTACCATGAAACAAAAACAGGCAACGTGTTGACAAACTGAAGCAACATGTTGACAGACTGAAGCAACATGTTGACAGACTGAAGCAACAGGAGAGAAACAGGAAGGAGAAATTGTGAAACATGAGGAATAGAAGTGAATCGATGAAACGGTGGAGGAGGCGAGTGTCCCTCAGACCAGTTTACTCTGGTCTCTCTCTGTTACAGTCAGAGTTGCTCTGTTGCTCTATCGTTGCTGTTATAGTTGCTCAGGTACTGTCCCTCATTGTCCTGTGATGACGGCAGGGTTGCTGAGCATTCTGGGAAATGTCATCTGGTTGTTTATTTGGATCAAACCAGTCATTCCTGTTTCTCCTTTATCTCTTCTCTCCATCCGTCCTTCTCTCCGTTATCTCCTCTCCGCCATCTTCTTCATCTCCTCTTCATCTCCTCTTCATCTCTTCGTCACGTTGCTCTCAGAAACAAACATCACGTACGCATCGGGACCATCATGGCTGCCAGCAGCCGCAACTACAAGGGCAACAGCAGCAACATGCTGGTAGCTTTGAAGTGTCTTCAAAACAAACTAATGATGAGAGCCAACGGAGCAACGAGCCGCGACGCTGCGGGCCAATGTAAACTAACGAGGGCAACAGGGCAACTTTAGAGACTAATGTAAACTACAGAGGGCAACAGGGCAACTTTAGAGACTAATGTAAACTACAGAGGGCAACTTTAGAGACTAATGTAAACTACAGAGGGCAACTTTAGAGACTAATGTAAACTAACGAGGGCAACAGGGCAACTTTAGAGACTAATGTAAACTACAGAGGGCAACAGGGCAACTTTAGAGACTAATGTAAACTAACGAGGGCAACAGGGCAACTTTAGAGACTAATGTAAACTAAAGAGGGCAACTTTAGAGACTAATGTAAACTACAGAGGGCAACAGGGCAACTTTAGAGACTAATGTAAACTAACGAGGGCAACAGGGCAACTTTAGAGACTAATGTAAACTACAGAGGGCAACAGGGCAACTTTAGAGACTAATGTAAACTAACGAGGGCAACAGGGCAACTTTAGAGACTAATGTAAACTACAGAGGGCAACAGGGCAACTTTAGAGACTAATGTAAACTACAGAGGGCAACAGGGCAACTTTAGAGACTAATGTAAACTACAGAGGGCAACTTTAGAGACTAATGTAAACTAACGAGGGCAACAGGACAACTTTAGAGACTAATGTAAACTACAGAGGGAACAGGGCAACTTTAGAGACTAATGTAAACTACAGAGGGCAACAGGGCAACTTTAGAGACTAATGTAAACTAACAAGGGCAACAGGACAACTTTAGAGACTAATGTAAACTACAGAGGGCAACTTTAGAGACTAATGTAAACTACAGAGGGCAACTTTAGAGACTAATGTAAACTACAGAGGGCAACTTTAGAGACTAATGTAAACTACAGAGGGCAACTTTAGAGACTAATGTAAACTAACGAGGGCAACTTTAGAGACTAATGTAAACTACAGAGGGCAACAGGGCAACTTTAGAGACCAATGTAAACTACAGAGGGCAACTTTAGAGACTAATGTAAACTAACGAGGGCAGCAGGGCAACTTTAGAGACTAATGAAAACTAACAAGGGCAACAGGGCAACTTTAGAGACTAATGTAAACTAACGAGGGCAACAGGGCAACTTCAGAGACTAATGTAAACTAACGAGGGCAACAGGGCAACTTTAGAGACCAATGTAAACTACAGAGGGCAACAGGGCAACTCTAGAGACTAATGTAAACTACAGAGGGCAACAGGGCAACTTTAGAGACTAATGTAAACTAACGAGGGCAACAGGGCAACTTTAGAGACTAATGTAAACTACAGAGGGCAACAGGGCAACTTTAGAGACTAATGTAAACTAACGAGGGCAACTTTAGAGACTAATGTAAACTACAGAGGGCAACAGGGCAACTTAAGAGACTAATGTAAACTACAGAGGGCAACAGGACAACATTAGAGACTAATGTAAACTACAGAGGACAACTTTAGAGACTAATGTAAACTACAGAGGGCAACAGGGCAACTTTAGAGACTAATATAAACTAACGAGGGCAACAGGGCAACTTTAGAGACTAATGTAAACTACAGAGGGCAAGTTTAGAGACTAATGTAAACTAACGAGGGCAACAGGGCAACTTTAGAGACTAATGTAAACTACAGAGGGCAACGGGGCAACTTTAAAGACTAATGTAAACTACAGAGGGCAACAGGGCAACTTCAGAGACTAATGACAACTACAGAGGGCAACTTTAGAGACTAATGTAAACTAACGAGGGCAACAGGGCAACTTTAGAGACTAATGTAAACTACAGAGGGCAACAGGGCAACTTTAGAGACTAATGTAAACTAACGAGGGCAACTTTAGAGACTAATGTAAACTAACGAGGGCAACAGGGCAACTTTAGAGACTACTGTAAACTACAGAGGGCAACTTTAGAGACTAATGTAAACTAACGAGGGCAACAGGGCAACTTTAGAGACTAATGTAAACTACAGAGGGCAACTTTAGAGACTAATGTAAACTACAGAGGGCAACAGGACAACTTTAGAGACTAATGTAAACTACAGAGGGCAACAGGGCAACTTTAGAGACTAATGTAAACTAACGAGGGCAACAGGGCAACTTTAGAGACTAATGTAAACTACAGAGGGCAAGTTTAGAGACTAATGTAAACTAACGAGGGCAACAGGGCAACTTTAGAGACTAATGTAAACTACAGAGGGCAACGGGGCAACTTTAAAGACTAATGTAAACTACAGAGGGCAACAGGGCAACTTCAGAGACTAATGACAACTACAGAGGGCAACTTTAGAGACTAATGTAAACTACAGAGGGCAACAGGGCAACTTTAGAGACTAATGTAAACTACAGAGGGCAACAGGGCAACTTTAGAGACTAATGTAAACTACAGAGGGCAACTTTAGAGACTAATGTAAACTAACGAGGGCAACAGGGCAACTTTAGAGACTACTGTAAACTACAGAGGGCAACTTTAGAGACTAATGTAAACTAACGAGGGCAACAGGGCAACTTTAGAGACTAATGTAAACTACAGAGGGCAACTTTAGAGACTAATGTAAACTACAGAGGGCAACAGGACAACTTTAGAGACTAATGTAAACTACAGAGGGCAACAGGGCAACTTTAGAGACTAATGTAAACTAACGAGGGCAACAGGGCAACTTTAGAGACTAATGTAAACTACAGAGGGCAAGTTTAGAGACTAATGTAAACTAACGAGGGCAACAGGGCAACTTTAGAGACTAATGTAAACTACAGAGGGCAACGGGGCAACTTTAAAGACTAATGTAAACTACAGAGGGCAACAGGGCAACTTCAGAGACTAATGACAACTACAGAGGGCAACTTTAGAGACTAATGTAAACTACAGAGGGCAACAGGGCAACTTTAGAGACTAATGTAAACTACAGAGGGCAACAGGGCAACTTTAGAGACTAATGTAAACTACAGAGGGCAACTTTAGAGACTAATGTAAACTAACGAGGGCAACAGGGCAACTTTAGAGACTACTGTAAACTACAGAGGGCAACTTTAGAGACTAATGTAAACTACAGAGGGCAACAGGGCAACTTTAGAGACTAATGTAAACTACAGAGGGCAACTTTAGAGACTAATGTAAACTACAGAGGGCAACAGGACAACTTTAGAGACTAATGTAAACTACAGAGGGCAACAGGGCAACTTTAGAGACTAATGTAAACTAACGAGGGCAACAGGGCAACTTTAGAGACTAATGTAAACTACAGAGGGCAACAGGGCAACCTTATAGACTAATGTAAACTACAGAGGGCAACAGGGCAACTTTAGAAACTAACATAAACTACAGAAGGCAACTTAAGAGACTAATGTAAACTACAGAGGGCAACTTTAGAGACTAATGTAAACTACAGAGGGCAACTTTAGAGACTAATGTAAACTACAGAGGGCAACAGGGCAACTTTAGAGACTAACGTAAACTACAGAGGGCAACTTTAGAGACTAATGTAAACTACAGAGGGCAACAGGGCAACTTTAGAGACTAACGTAAACTACAGAGGGCAACTTTAGAGACTAATGTAAACTACAGAGGGCAACAGGGCAACTTTAGAGACTAATGTAAACTAACGAGGGCAACAGGGCAACTTTAGAGACTAATGTAGACTACAGAGGGCAACAGGGCAACCTGCAATCACATTTCTGTAGTTTTTTAGCCTGCACAGTTTCCATTGGTCTTTTTGAAGTTCACGAGTTTGTTGCGTTGCCCTGCTGCAGGTCAACATGAACCTTTGAGGGCAACGAGGGCTTCAACACAGACCAGAGTAACAGGACAACTCTGCAGACTTATATAAACGACAGACGGCAACATTTCTGCAGAGACAGCGGTGATACAGAGGAAACAGAGCAACAGGAGAAGAGCAGGAGCAGCAGCTGTTTCTTCTTCTGCTGTTTTGACAGAACAGGAAGTGTTCGAGGTCGACTGACGAAGAATGAAGTTTATCTTTTAAGAAACCCGACTGACAGGACGAGTCTGGACCTGAGGGAGAGAGAGAGAGAGCGAGAGAGAGAGGGGGAGAGAGAGAGAGGGGGAGAGAGAGAGAGGGGGAGAGAGAGAGGGAGAGAGAGAGAGAGGTTTGAGCTCTGTAAGCTCTGAAATGAAGCTCCGCCTCCACCACATCTTCATAGTCTTACATGAATCCTGCGATGGCGTAGTGTTGGTGTTACAGTGTTACAGTTGGAAGGATGAGGGGTACACACACACACACACACACACACACACACACACACACACACACACACACACACACACACAGTTGTTCCACCCCGTCTGCTCACACTCATCTTGTCTGTTTCTACTTTTACCCCCGATCTCCACCTTCATCCTGAACGTCTACGAAAAGGTCGTATCCTTTTCAGTCGTAGATTTCCTCTCCTGGAAGGACACAATCTACTGCTATTATGTCTATGTATCTGTCTTTATAGAGACAACTCGTTAACGCGTGATTGTACGTGACTCCATGGGTTCTTGTGAGTTCTTGTGATTCGAGCTTGTAGGAATTGGCGTACAGCAAAAATCGCCACGGTTCCAGATTGGAGCCGTTCTGGATGAGGTGAAAATCCCAGGTTGGAGGGTATCATAATGGACTTTTAGCATCTCAGCAGCTGAGCCGTGTTCACTCATCAGGGTGGGAACTTCTTCTTCTTCTTCTTCTTCTTCTTCTTCTTCTTCTTCTTTGTTTCTGTCTGTTAAAGCTGCATGTTGCTACAATCCCACAGTAGTAGTAGAAGAAGAAGTGCTGTGATCCAGTTTGAGACACAAACAGATTAAAGATTTAATCCAGGATCAGTAAACAGAGATGGAAACATTTCAGAGATTACACTGAGAGGGTATGAGGGACACACACACACACACACACACACACACACACACACACACAGGTAGATGCTGTTTTAAGTCACTGTCACTCGTTCAGCTCTCTCTCTCTCTCTCTAGGTTATCAGTAATCAATACAGATCAATGAGGCTTTCATTTATTGATGGTTGTATTTGGATATTTCGTAAGATGGTAGAAGAGAAGGAGAAGGTCCCGCCTCCTTCGCCTCTGATT